CCATGACCCCCCAGAATGTCCCCCTGACCCATTTCTGTCCCCAGAATGTCCCCATGACCCCCAGAATGTCCCCCTGACCCATTTCTGTGTCCCCAGAATGTCCCCCTGACCCCATTTCTGTCCCCAGAATGTCCCCATGACCCATGACCCCCCCAGAATGTCCCCCTGACCCATTTCTGTGTACCCAGAATGTCCCCATGACCCCCAGAATCTCCCCCTGACCCCATTTCTGTCCCCAGAATGTCCCCATGACCCCCCAGAATGTCCCCCTGACCCATTTCTGTCCCCAGAATGTCCCCCCCGACCTGGCCGTGTGCTGCTTCGTGCTGGAGCAGTCGCTGTCGGTGCGGGCGCTGCAGGAGATGCTGGCCAACAGCTCCGACATCGGCAGCGAGGTGGGTCTGGGGGCCCACGGGGGATTTGGGGGGCAACAGAGGGGATTTGGGGGGCACTAGAGGTGGGTCTGGGGGCCCACGGGGGATTTGGGGGGCAACAGAGGGGATTTGGGGGCAGTAGAGGGGATTTGGGGGGCACTAGAGGTGGGTCTGGGGGCCCAGAGAGGATTTAGAGGGCACCAGAGGGGATTTGGATGGCCCTGAGGGGGTTTGAGGGGCACTAGAGGTGATTTGAGGTCCTTAAGAGGGGATTTGGGGGTCCCATGGGGCACTGGAGGTGGTTTGGGGTCCTTAAGAGGGGATTTGGGGGGCACGAGAGGGGGTTTGGGGTCCTTAAGAGGGGATCTGGGGGGCACGAGAGGGGATTCGGGGGCCACTAGAGATGGGTCTGGGGTTGCACAGGGGATTTGGGGGGCACTAGAGGGGATTTGGGGGGCTCTAGAGGTGGGTCTGGGGTCCCACAGGGCATTTGGGGACCCCCTGAGGGGATTTGGGGGCCACTAGAGAGGATTTGAGGGGCCACTAGAGATGGGTCTGGGGTCCCACAGAGGATTTGGGGGGCATTAGAGAGGATTTGAGGGGTTCTTGAGGTGGGTCTGGGGTCCTAAAGAGGATTTGGGGGGCACTAGAGGGGGTTTGGGGTCCTTAAGAGGGGATTTGGGGGGGCTTTAGGACCCTTGGGGGTTGTCAGGTGGGATCTGGGGGTCTTGGAGGGGTTTTGGGGACACCTGAGGGGTTCCTGGAAGGGGTTTTGGGTCATTTTTGGGGGGTTTAGGATCCTGCAGTTCCTGAAAATTCTGGGGTTCCTTGGGGAGTTTTTGGGGTAATTCTGGGGTTCCTTGAGCAGTTTTTGGGGTAATTCTGGGGCTCCTTGAGGAGTTTTTGGGGTAATTCTGGGGTTCTTTGAGCAGTTTTTGGGGTAATTCTGGGGCTCCTGAGGAGTTTTTGGGGTAATTCTGGGGCTCCTTGAGGAGTTTTTGGGGTAATTCTGGGGTTCCTTGAGCAGTTTTTGGGGTCCTTTTCGGGGTGGGGGTTTTGGGGGGTCCCTGGTGTTTTTGGGGGGGTCTCAGCCCCCCCGTGACCCCCCCACTCTTCTCTCCCCCCGCCCGCCCAGGGGGTCGATCTGGATAAGTGGGTAGGTGCCACTGTGGTGTGGTGACCCCAAGTCCTCATCCTCACCTTCATCACACTCCTCCTCCTCCTCCTCCTCCTCCTCACCCACCCCCCAAATTTTGGGGGGCTCTGCCCAATCCCGCATGGAGCCAGGGGTCTGGGTGTGCCCCCTCCCACCCCCCAAAGTCCCATCCATCCACAGCCCCCCAAATTCCGCATGGACCCCAAAGTGTGAGCGCGGGGGGGAGGAGCATGGGGGGACCCTAAAAAGGGGAGACCCCAAAAAGAGGGATCCCAAATCCCCCCATGAGCATGGGGAGACCCCAAAAAGGGGATCCCAAATCCACCGGGGATCCCAAAAAATTGGGGTGCCAGATTTTGGGTGACCCTGAAATTTGGGATCCCAATTTGGAGTAACCCCAAGAAGGGGATCCCAAATCCATTGGGGATCCCAAAAAATCGGAGACCCAGACATGGGGTGACCCCAAAATTTGGGATCCCAACTTGGGGGAAACATTAATATGGGAGTGACCCCAAAACTTGGGATCCCGGTTTTGGGGAACTCCAAAAGGAGGGATCCCAAATCCATTGGGGATCCCAAAAAATCAGAGACCCAGACATGGGGTGACCCCAAAATTTGGGATCCCAGCTTGGGGGAAACCTTAATATGGGGGTGACCCCAAAATTTGGGGGAAACCTCAATATGGGGGTGACCCCAAAATTTGGGGGAAACCTCAATATGGGGGTGACCCCAAAATTTAGGATCCCAATTTGGGGGAAACCTCAATATAAGAGGGGGCCCCCAAAAAGGGAGACCCTCAATATTAAGGGGGACCCCCAAATTTATGGGAATTTCAATGGGGTGCCCCAAAATTGGGGATCTTGATAAGGGGTGACCCCAGTGGGGAGTGGGACCCTGAAATTGGGGACCCCGATATCAGGGGAGTCCTCAATTTGGGGGGGATCTCACCATGAGGGGGACCCCGAAATGAGGGGGGGTCTGAGGCACAGTGCACCCCAAAACAAGGGGGGCGCAATGCACAGGAGACCCCAACACGGGGAGACCCCAAAATGGGGGGACCCGAAAACAAAAGGAGACCCCAAAACAAGGGGGGACCCCAAAACAACAGGGGTGCAATGCACAGGAGACCCTAACACGGGGAGACCCCAAAACAAGGGGGGGACCCCAAAACAAAGGGGAGGACCCCAAAACAAGGGGGAACCCCAAAACAAGGGGAAGACCCCAAAACAAAGAGGCAGCGATACACAAGGAGCTATATCTGAAACATGGAACCCGCAGGGGGTTTTTTTGGGGTTCAAGGGTTTTTTTTGGGGGGTCCAGGAGGCCTCAGGGGCTTTTGGGGTCCCCTCCTTGACCCCCCTGTGCCCCCCAAGTCCTCTCAGGGTGGGGGACACCGGACGCTGCTCTACGGCCACGCCATCCTGCTGAGGCACTCCCACAGCGGCATGGTGAGTCTGGGGGGGCTCTGGGGGGTTTGGGGGGGCTATGAGGGTTTTGGGGTGCTCGGGGGGATTTTGGGGACCCCCAATAACCCCGTGTCCCCCCCCCCAGTACCTGTGCTGCCTGACCACGTCCCGCTCGGTCACCGACAAGCTGGCCTTCGACGTGGGGCTGCAGAAGGATGCAGCAGGTAAAGGGGGGACCCCGAGGGGTTTTGGGGTTCCCCCAGGTGTGGGGGGTTGGTTTTGGGGTGTTTTGGGGTGCTGATTTGGGGTGCTGATTTGGGGTGTGCCCCCCCAGGTGAGGCGTGCTGGTGGACGATGCACCCGGCGTCCAAACAGCGCTCGGAGGGGGAGAAGGTTCGGGTGGGAGACGACCTGATCCTGGTGAGCGTGTCCTCGGAGAGATACCTGGTGAGAGGGGACACCTGGGGACACCTGGGGACACCTGGGGACATGTGGGGACATGAGGGGACACCTGGGGACATGTGGGGACATGGGGGGATAGGAGGAAACACGGGGACATGGGGGCACAGGGCCCTGACCTGATCCTGGTGAGCGTGTCCTCGGAGAGATACCTGGTGAGAGGGGACACCTGGGGACACCTGGGGACACCTGGGGACATGGGGGGACACAGGGACATGGGGGGGACACAGGGATCCCCCCACACCCTGACCTGATCCTGGTGAGCGTGTCCTCGGAGAGATACCTGGTGAGAGGGGACACCTGGGGACACCTGGGGACATGGGGGGACACAGAGGGATGGGGGGACATGGGGGGACACAGGGACATGGGGGGGACACAGGGATCCCCCCACACCCTGACCTGATCCTGGTGAGCGTGTCCTCGGAGAGATACCTGGTGAGAGGGGACACCTGGGGACACCTGGGGACACCTGGGGACATGTGGGGACATGAGGGGACACCTGGGGACATGTGGGGACATGGGGGATAGGAGGAAACACGGGGACATGGGGGCACAGGGCCCTGACCTGATCCTGGTGAGCGTGTCCTCGGAGAGATACCTGGTGAGAGGGGACACCTGGGGACGCCTGGGGACACCTGGGGACATGGGGGGACACAGGGACATGGGGGGGACACAGGGATCTCCTGACCTGATCCTGGTGAGCGTGTCCTCGGAGAGATACCTGGTGAGAGGGGACACCTGGGGACATGGGGGGACACCTGGGGACACCTGGGGACATGGGGGGACACCTGGGACACCTGGGGACACCTGGGGACATGGGGGGACACCTGGGGACATGAGGGGACACCTGGGGACACAGAGGGATGGTGGGGACACAGGGATCTCCTGACCTGATCCTGGTGAGCGTGTCCTCGGAGAGATACCTGGTGAGAGGGGACACCTGGGGACATGGGGGGACACCTGGGGACACCTGGGGACATGGGGGGACACCTGGGGACACCTGGGGACACCTGGGGACATGGGGGGACACCTGGGGACACAGAGGGATGGGGGGGACACAGGGATCTCCTGACCTGATCCTGGTGAGCGTGTCCTCGGAGAGATACCTGGTGAGAGGGGACACCTGCGACACCTGGGGACACCTGGGGACACCTGGGGACATGGGGGGACACTGGGGACATGGGGGGGACACAGGGATCTCCTGACCTGATCCTGGTGAGCGTGTCCTCGGAGAGATACCTGATGAGAGGGGACACCTGGGGACACCTGGGGACACCTGGGGACATGGGGGGACACAGGGACACCAGGGGACACCTGGGGACATGGGGGGACACCTGGGGACATGAGGGGACGCCTGGGGACACAGAGGGATGGGGGGGACACAGGGATCTCCTGGCCTGATGCTGGTGAGCGTGTCCTCGGAGAGATACCTGGTGAGAGGGGACACCTGGGGACACCTGGGGACACCTGGGGACACCTGGGGACACCTGGGGACACAGAGGGATGGGGGGGACACAGGGATCTCCTGACCTGATCCTGGTGAGCGTGTCCTCGGAGAGATACCTGGTGAGAGGGGACACCTGCGACACCTGGGGGGACACCTGGGGACACTGGGACATGGGGGGACACCTGGGACACCTGGGACACCTGGGGACATGAGGGGACACCTGGGGACACAGAGGGATGGTGGGGACACAGGGATCTCCTGACCTGATGCTGGTGAGCGTGTCCTCGGAGAGATACCTGGTGAGAGGGGACACCTGGGGACACCTGGGGACACCTGGGGACACCTGGGGACATGGGGGGACACTGGGGACATGGGGGGGACACAGGGATCTCCTGACCTGATCCTGGTGAGCGTGTCCTCGGAGAGATACCTGATGAGAGGGGACACCTGGGGACACCTGGGGACACCTGGGGACATGGGGGGACACAGGGACACCAGGGGACACCTGGGGACATGGGGGGACACCTGGGGACACAGAGGGATGGGGGGGGACACAGGGATCTCCTGGCCTGATGCTGGTGAGCGTGTCCTCGGAGAGATACCTGGTGAGAGGGGACACCTGCGACACCTGGGGGGACACCTGGGGACACCTGGGGACACTGGGGACACCAGGGGCACGTGTCCCACCTGTGTCACCCGTGTCACACCCGTGTCCCACGTGTCCCAGCACCTCTCCACGGCCTCGGGGGAGCTGCAGGTGGACGCCTCCTTCATGCAGACCCTGTGGAACATGAACCCCATCTGCTCGGGCTCCGAGGAAGGTGACACCTGAGGCGCCCCAAACTTGTGTGTGGGGGGGTCCTTTGGGGTGTCCCCAACACCCTGACCCCCCAAAATGTCCCCAAAATGTCCCCTCAGGGTTTGTCACCGGCGGCCACGTCCTGCGCCTGTTCCACGGCCACATGGACGAGTGCCTGACGCCCACGGCCCCCGAGCAGGGCGAGGAGCGCAGGTGGGGCTGTCCCCAGTTTGCCCCCAAATTTGGGCTGGGGGGGACATTTGGAGGGTGTCCCCAACTTGCTGTGACCCCCTCCCCCTTTGTCACCTCCCAGCAGCGTCGTCAACTACGAGGGCGGCGCCGTGTGCGCCCACGCCCGGTCCCTGTGGCGCCTGGAGCCCCTGCGCATCAGGTAAGGGGACATCAAGGGACACGGGGGGACACGGGTGTGTCACCACCCCCAGGGGACACTGGGGACACTCTGTGGGATCTCCCCAGGGGGGGTTTGGGGTCATGGAGTGTCCCCAAGATGTGTCGCTGTGTCTTATTCTGGTGTCACCTCTCGGCATCTCCTTGTGTTCCCGTGTCCCTGTGGCACATCTGCCTGTGTCCCCATGTCGCTGTGACACATCCTGTGCCACCGCATGTCCTTGTGTTCCCATCCCCATATCCCCGTGACCCATCCCTGTGTCCCCTGTGTCCCCCCATGTCCTCATGTCCCCATCCCGGTGTCCCCTGTGTCACCCTGTGTCCCTGTGACACATCTGCATGTCCTCACCGTGTGTCCCCTGTGTCAACCCATGTCCTCATGACCCCTCCCCGTGTCCGCTGTGTCACCCCATGTCCCCATGACCCATCCCCATGTCCCCTGTGTCACCCCATGTCCTCATGACCCATCCCGGTGTCCCCTGTGTCACCCCATGTCCCTGTGACACATCCGCATGTCCTCACCGTGTGTCCCTACGTCCGCCCATGTCCTCATGACCCCTCCCCATCTCCCCTGTGTCACCCCTTGTCCCCATGACCCATCCCAGTGTCCCAGCCTCCTTGGTGACATCATTGTCCCCTGCCTGTGTCCCCCAGCTGGAGCGGGAGCCACCTGCGTTGGGGACAGCCCTTCCGCCTGCGCCACGTCACCACCGGCCGCTACCTGGCGCTGACCGAGGCCACCGGGCTGGCCATGGTGGAGGCCACGGCGGCCAACACGCGCGTGGCCACCTTCTGCTTCCGGGCCTCCAAGGTGGGAGTGTCACCTCTGTCCCCATCCCTGTCCCCATCCCTGTCCCCAACACGCGCGTGGCCACCTTCTGCTTCCGGGCCTCCAAGGTGGGAGTGTCACCTCTGTCCCCATCCCTGTCCCTGTCCCCATCCCTGTCCCTGTCCCCATCCCTGTCCCCAACACGCGCGTGGCCACCTTCTGCTTCCGGGCCTCCAAAGTGGGAGTGTCACCTCTGTCCCCATCCCTGTCCCCAACACGCGCGTGGCCACCTTCTGCTTCCGGGCCTCCAAAGTGGGAGTGTCACCTCTGTCCCCATCCCTGTCCCCAACACGCGCGTGGCCACCTTCTGCTTCCGGGCCTCCAAGGTGGGAGTGTCACCTCAGTGTCCCCATCCCTGTCCCTGTCCCCATCCCTGTCCCCAACATGCGCGTGGCCACCTTCTGCTTCCGGGCCTCCAAGGTGGGAGTGTCACCTCTGTCCCCATCCCTGTCCCTGTCCCCATCCCTGTCCCCAACACGCGCGTGGCCACCTTCTGCTTCCGGGCCTCCAAGGTGGGAGTGTCACCTCTGTCCCCATCCCTGTCCCTGTCCCCATTCCTGTCCCTGTCCCCATCCCTGTCCCCAACACGCGCGTGGCCACCTTCTGCTTCCGGGCCTCCAAGGTGGGAGTGTCACCTCTGTCCCCATCCCTGTCCCTGTCCCTGTCCCTGTCGCCATCCCTGTCCCCAACACGCGCGTGGCCACCTTCTGCTTCCGGGCCTCCAAGGTGGGAGTGTCACCTCTGTCCCCATCCCTGTCCCTGTCCCCATCCCTGTCCCCAACACGCGCGTGGCCACCTTCTGCTTCCGGGCCTCCAGGGTGGGAGTGTCACCTCAGTGTCCCCATCCCTGTCCCTGTCCCCATCCCTGTCCCCAACACGCACGTGGCCACCTTCTGCTTCCGGGCCTCCAAGGTGGGAGTGTCACCTCAGTGTCCCCATCCCTGTCCCTGTCCCCATCCCTGTCCCCAACACGCACGTGGCCACCTTCTGCTTCCGGGCCTCCAAGGTGGGAGTGTCACCTCAGTGTCCCCATCCCTGTCCCTGTCCCCATCCCTGTCCCCAACACGCGCGTGGCCACCTTCTGCTTCGGGCCTCCAAGGTGGGAGTGTCACCTCTGTCCCCATCCCTGTCCCTGTCCCCATCCCTGTCCCCAACACGCGCGTGGCCACCTTCTGCTTCCGGGCCTCCAAGGTGGGAGTGTCACCTCTGTCCCCATCCCTGTCCCCAGCCTGCTCCTGGGGTCTGTCCCCGTCACTGTCCCCATCCCTGTCCCCAACACGCGCGTGGCCACCTTCTGCTTCCGGGCCTCCAAGGTGGGAGTGTCACCTCTGTCCCCATCCCTGTCCCTGTCCCCATTCTTGTCCCTGTCCCCATCCCTGTCCCCAACACGCGTGTGGCCACCTTCTGCTTCGGGCCTCCAAGGAAGAAGTGTCACCTCAGTGTCCCCATCCCTGTCCCCATCCAGACCTTGTCCTGACCCTGTCCCTGTCAGTGTCCCCACCCTGTCCCCACCCTGACCGTCCTGACCCCCCGTGTCCCCCCGGCCCCGCAGGAGAAGCTGGAGACGCCCCCCAAGCGGGACATCGAGGGCATGGGGCCCCCCGAGATCAAGTATGGGGAGTCCCTGTGCTTCCTGCAGCACAGCGGCAGCGGCCTCTGGGTCACCTACGCCGCCCCCGACCCCAAGGCCCTGCGCCTCGGGCTGCTCAAGAGGAAGGTGGGACCCCCAAAATCACCGGGGGGACCCCAAAATCACCTCTGAGGAGGGTTTTGGGGGGAGTTCATGGGGGATTTTGGGGGTTTTGAGAGCAACAGCGGCCTCCGGGTCACGTACGCTGCTCCTGACCCCAAGGCCCTGCGCCTCGGGCTGCTCAAGAGGAAGGTGGGACCCCAAAATCACCGGGGGGACCCCAAAATCACCTCTGGGAGGATTTGGGGGGAGTTTTGGGGTGTTTTAGTGGGTTTTGAGAGCTCCAGCGGGCTGTGGGTCACCTACGCCGCGCCCGACCCCAAGGCCCTGCGCCTCGGGCTGCTCAAGAGGAAGGTGGGTTTGGGGGGAGTCTCTGTGGTTTCAGGGGGCTCTCTCTGGGTTCAGGGGGGGGTCTCTGAGGTTTGGGGGACCCCTGTGACCCCGCTTTGCCCCCCAGGCCATCCTGCACCAGGAGGGGCACATGGATGATGCTCTGACCCTGAGCCGCTCCCAGCGCCAGGAGTCGCAGGCGGCTCGGATGGTCTTCAGCACCACGGGGCTCTACGGGGCCTTCATCAGGTCTGGGGGTCCCTGGGGGGGTCCTGGGGGGTTCTGGGGTGTCCTGGGGATCCCTAGGGGGTTCAGAACCTCCTGGGGGGTGTCAGAAACACCTGGGGGTTCCTGGGGATCCTGTGGATGGTCTTCAGCACCACGGGGCTCTACGGGGCCTTCATCAGGTCTGGGGGTCCCTGGGGGGGTCCTGGGGGGTTCTGGGGTGTCCTGGGGATCCCTAGGGGGTTCAGAACCTCCTGGGGGTGTCAGAAACACCTGGGGGTTCCTGGGGATCCTGTGGATGGTCTTCAGCACCACGGGGCTCTACGGGGCCTTCATCAGGTCTGGGGGTCCCTGGGGGGGGGTCCTGGGGGCTCCATGAGGGTTTTGAGGGGGGTCCTGGGGGTCCCTGGGAGGAGTCAGAACCACCTGGGTGTCCTGTGGTGGTTTCTGTGGGTGGTCTGGGGCCTCCGTCTGCTCTGGGGGTCTCGGTGTGGTCCGGGGTGATCCTGGGCAGTTTTGGGGGCGTTTTTAGGGTGGTCCCAACGTTCTGACCCCCCTGTTCCTCCCCAGGAGCCTGGAGAGCCTCCAGGGCCGCCCACGGGGGTCTCAGGGTGGTCTGGGGGATCCTGGGCTGTTTTGGGGGCGTTTTTAGGATGTTCTGACCCCCTGTCCCCCTCCCCAGGAGCCTGGGCAGCCTCCAGGGCCGCCCGCGGGGGTCCCGCGGTGATCCTGGGCAGTTTTGGGGGCGTTTTTGGGGTGATCCGGACGTTCTGTTCCTCCCCAGGAGCCTGGGCAGCCTCCAGGGCCGCCCGCGGGGGTCTCAGTGTGATCCGGGGGGTCCTGGGGGTGTTTTTAGGGTGTTTTTAGGATGTTCTGACCCCCCTGTCCCCCTCCCCAGGAGCCTGGACAGCCTCCAGGGCCGCCCGCGGGGGTCCCCGCCGCCCCCCCTGCCCATCGCGGGGGTGATCCTGAGCCTGCGGGACCTGATCGGGTACCTGGAGCCGCCGCCGCCCGAGCTGCGGCACGAGCAGCGCCAGGGCCGCCTGAGGGCGCTGCGGGCCCGCCAGAGCCTCTTCCAGCAGGAGGTGAGACCCCTCCCCAAATCTGGGACAGGCTAAACTGGGGGTTACAGGGTCAAACTCGGGGTTAATTTGCCGTTAAACTCGGGGTTAGAGGGGTTAAACCTGTGCCCCAGGGGGCATCGCCAGAGCCTCTTCCAGCAGGAGGTGAGACCCCCGGGACCACCCCCAAATTTGGGAGATCACAGTGGGGTCGTGGAGGTCCTGGGAGGTGTCACAGAATGGGAGGGAGGTCCCAGTTTGGGGGTCACCAGGTGGGTATCCCAATTTGGGGGTCCCAGTTTGAGTGTCCCAGTTTGGGGGCCACCAGGTGGGTATCCCAATTTGGGGGGTCCCAGGATGTTGGGGGGCTCCCAGGGTGGCTGCCCCAGTTTGGGGGTCCCGGGGGGGGGTCTCACAGCCCCCTCCCCACCCCACAGGGGATGCTGACGCTGGTGCCAGTTTGGGGCTCCCAGGCTGGGTGCCCCAGTTTGGCGGTCCCGGGGGGCTCTGGGGGGCTCCCAGGGTGGCTGCCCCAGTTTGGGGGTCCCAGGGGGGGTCTCACAGCCCCCTCCCCACCTGCAGGGGATGCTGACGCTGGTGCTGAGCTGCATCGACCGCCTGAGCGCCTACAGCACCGCGGCGCAGTTCGGGGAGGCCGCGGGCGAGGAGGCGGCGGCGGCCTGGAAGGAGATCGTGAACCTGCTCTACGAGCTGCTGGGTGGGACTGGGGGCAGAGATGGGGCAGATATGGGGGTTATGGGGCAGATATGGGGCAGATATGGGGGGTTATGGGGCAGTTCTGGGGGTTATGGGGCAGATATGGGGGTTATGGGGCAGAGGTGGTGGCAGCCTAGAAGGAGATCGTGAACCTGCTCTACGAGCTGCTGGGTGCGGCTGGGGGCAGAGATGGGGGGCTGTGGGGGGTTATGGGGCAGATATGGGGCAGATATGGGGGTTATGGGGCAGTTCTGGGGGTTATGGGGCAGTTCTGGGGGTTATGGGGCAGATATGGGGGTTATGGGGCAGAGGAGGTGATGGCCTGGAAGGAGATCGTGAACCTGCTCTACGAGCTGCTGGGTGGGACTGGGGGCAGAGATGGGGCAGATATGGGGGTTATGGGGCAGATATGGGCAGATATGGGGGTTATGGGGCAGATGTGGGGGTTATGGGGCAGATATGGGAGTTATGGGGCAGATGTGGGTGCCATGGGGCAGATGTCAATGCCATGGGGCAGATGTCAGTGCTATGGGGTAGATGTGGGTTCTGTGGGGCAGATGTAGGTTCCATGGGGCAGACGTGGGTGCTGTGGGGCAGATGTCAGTGCCATGGGGCAGATATGGGTTCTGTGGGGCAGATGTGGGTTCCATGGGGCAGACGTGGGTGCTGTGGGGCAGATGTCAGTGCCATGGGGCAGACGTGGGTGCCATGGGGCAGATATGGGTTCTGTGGGGCAGATGTGGGTTCCATGGGGCAGACGTGGGTGCTGTGGGGCAGATGTCAATGCCATGGGGCAGATGTGGGTGCTGTGGGGCAGATGTGGGTTCCATGGGGCAGACGTGGGTGCTGTGGGGCAGATGTCAATGCCATGGGGCAGATGTGGGTGCTATGGTGCAGACGTGGGTGCCATGGGGCAGACGTGGGTGCCATGGGGCAGCCCTGACCCCTGCCCGTGCCCCCCAGCCTCGCTGATCCGGGGGAACCGAGCCAACTGCGCGCTCTTCTCCACCAACCTGGACTGGCTGGTCAGCAAACTGGACAGGCTGGAGGCCTCCTCGGGTCAGTGGGGCAGCCATGGGGGCTTCTGTGGGTCTGGGGTCTCTCCATGGGGTTGGGGTCCCTCCATGGGGCTGGGGTCTCTCTCGTGGGTCTGAGGTCCCTCCCATGGCTTTGACCGCCCCCTCCCATGGTTCTGGGGTCTCTCCTGTGGGTCTGACCCCACTCCTGTGGGTCTGGGGTCTCTCTTATGGGTCTGGGGTCTCTCTGTGGGTCTGGGGTCCCCTCATGGACCCCCCTCCCCCCGTGGATGTGGCACTGCTGTGGGTCTGGGTTCCCTCCTATGGATCTGACCCCACTGTGGGTCTGAGGTCTCTCCCATGGGGCTGGGGTCCCTCTGCTGGGTATGACCCCTCTGGTGGGTCTGGGGTCTCATCCCCCCTGGGTCTGGGGTCCCTCCTGTGGGTCTGGGGTCTCTCTGGTGTTTGTGACCCCCCTGTGTTGCCCCCTGCCCAGGCATCCTGGAGGTGCTGTACTGCGTGCTGATCGAGAGCCCCGAGGTGCTGAACATCATCCAGGAGAATCACATCAAATCCATCATCAGCCTGCTGGACAAGCACGGCCGCAACCACAAGGTGAGTGAGGGTGCCCAGGTGTGCCAGGTGTGTGCCAGGTGTGTGCCAGGTGTGTGCCAGGTGTGTGCCAGGTGTGTGCCAATGTGTGTGCCAGGTGTGTGCCCAGGTACACATCAAATCCATCATCAGCCTGCTGGACAAGCACGGCCGCAACCACAAGGTGAGTGAGGGTGCCCAGGTGTGCCAGGTGTGTGCCAGGTGTGCCAGGTGTGTGCCAGGTGTGTGCCAGGTGTGTGCCAATGTGTGTGCCAGGTGTGTGCCCAGGTACACATCAAATCCATCATCAGCCTGCTGGACAAGCACGGCCGCAACCACAAGGTGAGTGAGGGTGCCCTCAGGTGTGCCAGGTGTGTGCCAGGTGTGTGCCAGGTGTGCCAGGTGTGTGCCAGGTGTGTGCCAATGTGTGTGCCAGGTGTGTGCCCAGGTACACATCAAATCCATCATCAGCCTGCTGGACAAGCACGGCCGCAACCACAAGGTGAGTGAGGGTGCCCAGGTGTGCCAGGTGTGTGCCAGGTGTGCCAGGTGTGTGCCAGGTGTGTGCCAATGTGTGTGCCAGGTGTGTGCCAATGTGTGTGCCAGGTGTGTGCCCAGGTACACATCAAATCCATCATCAGCCTGCTGGACAAGCACGGCCGCAACCACAAGGTGAGTGAGGGTGCCCAGGTGTGCCAGGTGTGTGCCAGGTGTGCCAGGTGTGTGCCAGGTGTGTGCCAGGTGTGTGCCAATGTGTGTGCCAGGTGTGTGCCCAGGTACACATCAAATCCATCATCAGCCTGCTGGACAAGCACGGCCGCAACCACAAGGTGAGTGAGGGTGCCCAGGTGTGCCAGGTGTGTGCCAGGTGTGTGCCAATGTGTGTGCCAGGTGTGTGCCAATGTGTGTGCCAGGTGTGTGCCCAGGTACACATCAAATCCATCATCAGCCTGCTGGACAAGCACGGCCGCAACCACAAGGTGAGTGAGGGTGCCCAGGTGTGCCAGGTGTGTGCCAGGTGTGTGCCAATGTGTGTGCCAGGTGTGTGCCAATGTGTGTGCCAGGTGTGTGCCCAGGTACACATCAAATCCATCATCAGCCTGCTGGACAAGCACGGCCGCAACCACAAGGTGAGTGAGGGTGCCCAGGTGTGCCAGGTGTGTGCCAGGTGTGCCAGGTGTGTGCCAATGTGTGTGCCAGGTGTGTGCCCAGGTACACATCAAATCCATCATCAGCCTGCTGGACAAGCACGGCCGCAACCACAAGGTGAGTGAGGGTGCCCAGGTGTGCCAGGTGTGTGCCAGGTGTGCCAGGTGTGTGCCAGGTGTGTGCCAGGTGTGTGCCAATGTGTGTGCCAGGTGTGTGCCCAGGTACACATCAAATCCATCATCAGCCTGCTGGACAAGCACGGCCGCAACCACAAGGTGAGTGAGGGTGCCCAGGTGTGCCAGGTGTGTGCCAGGTGTGCCAGGTGTGTGCCAGGTGTGTGCCAATGTATGTGCCCAGGTACACATCAAATCCATCATCAGCCTGCTGGACAAGCACGGCCGCAACCACAAGGTGAGTGAGGGTGCCCAGGTGTGCCAGGTGTGTGCCAGGTGTGCCAGGTGTGTGCCAGGTGTGTGCCAGGTGTGTGCCCAGGTACACATCAAATCCATCATCAGCCTGCTGGACAAGCACGGCCGCAACCACAAGGTGAGTGAGGGTGCCCAGGTGTGCCAGGTGTGTGCCAGGTGTGTGCCAGGTGTGTGCCAATGTGTGTGCCAGGTGTGTGCCAGGTGTGTGCCCAGGTACACATCAAATCCATCATCAGCCTGCTGGACAAGCACGGCCGCAACCACAAGGTGAGTGAGGGTGCCCAGGTGTGCCAGGTGTGTGCCCAGGTGTGCCAGGTGTGTGCCAGGTGTGTGCCAGGTGTGTGCCAGGTGTGTGCCCAGGTACACATCAAATCCATCATCAGCCTGCTGGACAAGCACGGCCGCAACCACAAGGTGAGTGAGGGTGCCCAGGTGTGCCAGGTGTGTGCCAGGTGTGCCAGGTGTGTGCCAATGTGTGTGCCAGGTGTGTGCCAATGTGTGTGCCAGGTGTGTGCCCAGGTACACATCAAATCCATCATCAGCCTGCTGGACAAGCACGGCCGCAACCACAAGGTGAGTGAGGGTGCCCAGGTGTGCCAGGTGTGTGCCAGGTGTGTGCCAGGTGTGTGCCAATGTGTGTGCCAGGTGTGTGCCCAGGTACACATCAAATCCATCATCAGCCTGCTGGACAAGCACGGCCGCAACCACAAGGTGAGTGAGGGTGCCCAGGTGTGCCAGGTGTGTGCCAGGTGTGCCAGGTGTGTGCCAGGTGTGTGCCAATGTGTGTGCCAGGTGTGTGCCCAGGTACACATCAAATCCATCATCAGCCTGCTGGACAAGCACGGCCGCAACCACAAGGTGAGTGAGGGTGCCCAGGTGTGCCAGGTGTGTGCCCAGGTGTGCCAGGTGTGTGCCAGGTGTGTGCCAGGTGTGTGTGCCAGGTGTGTGCCAGGTGTGTGCCCAGGTACACATCAAATCCATCATCAGCCTGCTGGACAAGCACGGCCGCAACCACAAGGTGAGTGAGGGTGCCCAGGTGTGCCAGGTGTGTGCCAGGTGTGCCAGGTGTGTGCCAGGTGTGTGCCAGGTGTGTGCCCAGGTACACATCAAATCCATCATCAGCCTGCTGGACAAGCACGGCCGCAACCACAAGGTGAGTGAGGGTGCCCAGGTGTGCCAGGTGTGTGCCAGGTGTGTGCCAGGTGTGTGCCAATGTGTGTGCCAGGTGTGTGCCCAGGTACACATCAAATCCATCATCAGCCTGCTGGACAAGCACGGCCGCAACCACAAGGTGAGTGAGGGTGCCCAGGTGTGCCAGGTGTGTGCCAGGTGTGTGCCAGGTGTGCTCAGGTGTGCCAGGTGTGCTCAGGTGTGCCAGGTGTGTGCCAATGTGTGTGCCAGGTGTGTGCCCAGGTACACATCAAATCCATCATCAGCCTGCTGGACAAGCACGGCCGCAACCACAAGGTGAGTGAGGGTGCCCAGGTGTGCCAGGTGTGCTCAGGTGTATCCCCAGGTGTCCCCAGGCACACTCAGGTGTGTCCCCAGCTGTCCCCAGGCACACTCAGGTGTCCCCAGGCACACTCAGGTGTCCCCATCTGTCCCCAGGCACACTCAGGTGTCCCCAGGCACACTCAGGTGTGTCCCCATCTGTCCCCAGGCACGCTCAGGTGTCCCCAGGCACACTCAGGTGTGTCCCCATCTGTCCCCAGGCACACTCAGGTGTCCCCGGGCACACTCAGGTGTGTCCCCAGCTGTCCCCAGGCACACTCAGGTGTATCTCCAGGCACACTCAGGTGTGTCCCCATCTGTCCCCAGGCACACTCAGGTGTATCTCCAGGCACACTCAGGTGTGCCCCCAGGTGTCCCCAGGCACACTCAGGTGTGTCCCCATCTGTCCCCAGGCACACTCAGGTGTGTCCCCAGGTTCACTCAGGTGTGTCCCCACAGGTGCTGGACGTGCTGTGCTCGCTGTGCGTCTGCAACGCCGTCGCCGTGCGCTCCAACCAGAACCTGATCACCGAGAACCTGCTGCCCCGGCGGGACCTGCTGCTGCAGACCGGCATGGTCAACTACGTCACCAGGTGGGACCTGGGCGGGGGTCCTGGGGGTCCTGGGGGGCTTCGGGGGGTCCTGGGGAGGGGAGTTATGGGGGTTTTGGGGGGTTTCTGGGGGGTCTGGAGGTGGTTGAGGTGCGCCTGGAAGTTCTTGAGATGCTCCTGGGCACCTTTGAGGTGGGATTTGGGGTTCTCACGGTGGGATTTGGGTTCTCATGGTGGGATTTGGGGTTCTCAAGGTGGGATTTGGGGATCTCATGGTCGGATTTGGGTCTCTGGGGATGGGATTTGGGTTCCCAAGGTGCAGTTTGGGGCTCTCATGGTGAGATTTGGGGCTCTCAAGGTGGGATTTGTGTTCTCATGGTGGGATTTGGGGTTCTCATGGTGGGATTTGGATTCTCGTGGTGGGATTTGGGGTTCTCGTGGTGGGATTTGGGGTCCTCATGGTGGGATTTGGGGTTCTTGGGGTGCAATTGTCCCCGTTCCCACAGCGTGCGCCCCAACCTGTTTGTGGGCACGGCCCCTGGCTCCACGCAGTTCCTTGTGGTGGGATTTGGGGTTCTCATGGTGGGATTTGGGGTTCTCAGGGTGGGATTTGTGTTCTTGGGGTGCAATTGTCTCCGTTCTCTGTCAGCGTGCGCCCCAACCTGTTTGTGGGCACAGCCCTGGCTCCACGCAGTTCCTCATGGTGGGATTTGGGGTGGAATTTTGGGTTCCCAACGAGATGTCCCCGTTCCCGCAGCATGCGCCCCAACCTGTTTGTGGGCACGGCCCCTGGCATTTCTTCATGGTGGGATTTGGGGTTCTCCTGGTGGGATTTGGGGTTCTCAGGGTGGGATTTGTGTTCTTGGGGTGCAATTGTCTCCGTTCTCTGTCAGCGTGCGCCCCAACCTGTTTGTGGGCACGGCCCTGGGCTCCACGCAGTTCCTCATGGTGGGATTTGGGGATCTCCTGGTGGGATTTGGGGTTCTCATGGTGGGATTTGGGATTCTCAGGGTGGGATTTGTGTTCTTGGGGTGCAATTGTCTCCGTTCTCTGTCAGCGTGCGCCCCAACCTGTTTGTGGGCACGGCCCCTGGCATTTCTTCATGGTGGGATTTGGGGTTCTCCTGGTGGGATTTGGGGTTCTCAGGGTGGGATTTGTGTTCTTGGGGTGCAATTGTCTCCGTTCTCTGTCAGCGTGCGCCCCAACCTGTTTGTGGGCACGGCCCCGGGCTCCACGCAGTTCCGCTGCTGGTACTTCGAGGTGGCCGTGGAGCGCGCCCAGCCCTTCGTCACGGCCGTGCCCACCCACCTGCGCGTGGGCTGGGGGGCGGCCGGGGGCTTCCGGCCCGCCCCGGGCGGGGGCGCGGGCTGGGGCGGCAACGGCGCCGGGGACGACCTCAACTCCTTCGCCTTCGACGGCCTCCACCTGTGGACAGGTGAGGGACGAGGGGCACCTGGGACCACCCCTGGGACCACTCTGGGATTGCCCTGGGACCACCCCGGGACCACCCCGGGACCACTCACCTTGGATCTACCCTGGGACCACCGTGGATCTACCCTGGGATCACTCTGGGAACGCCCTGAGATCCCTCTGGGACCGCCCTGGGACTGCCCTGGGTCTACTCTGGGATCCCCCAGAACAACCCTGGGGACCCCCATGGGACTCACCTGGCTCCACCCTGGAACTCCCTGGGAACCCCCAGGGACCACCCCAAGACCACCTTGGGTCCACTCTGGGACCACCCCGAGACCATCCTGGGACCACCGCAGTTCCACCCTGGGACCACCCCGGGACCCCCCTGGGACCACATTGGGACCATCCCAGGTCCACTCTGGGACCACCCTTTAACTCCCTGGGACCCATTTTGGGACCACCCTGGGTCTACTCTGGGACCCCCCAGAACCACCCTGGGAATGCCCTGGGTCCATTTGGACCACCCCGAGACCACCCTGGGTCCACTCTGGGACCTCCCTGGGACCACTCTGGGACCAACCCGGGTCCATTCTGAGACCCCCTGTGACCCCCTTGTGACCCCCTAACCCCGCTGTGACCCCCCTGTGACCCCTGTGTCCCCTCAGGGGGTGTCCCCAAGGCCGTGGGGTCACCCCAACGCCGCGCCCTGGCCGAAGGGGACGTGGTCAGCTGCTGCCTGGACCTGGGGGTCCCCAGCGCCTCCTTCCGCCTCAACGGGGCCCCGGTGCAGGGGGTGCTCGAGGGCTTCAACCTGGACACGCTGTTCAGCCCCGTGGCCAGCTTCTCGGCGGGGGTCCGGTGAGAGGGGGGGACACCCCAAAATGGGGGGGTGGGAGACCTGAAAGGGGCTGGGACCCCTAAACTGGGGGGTGGGAACCATGAAAGGGGCTTCTATGGGTCCCTCCAGGCTGTGGTTTCTCCTGTAGGGTCTGTGGGGTTTCTATGGGGTTTCTGTGGGTCCGGCTCTCACTCGGGGTCCCCCCTGTCCCCCCAGGCTCCGGTTCCTGCTGGGGGCTTTCTATGGGGTCTGTGAGGTTTCTATGGGGTCTGTGAGGTTTCTATGGGGTTTCTGTGGGTCTGGCTCTCACTCGGGGTCTCCCCTGTCCCCCCAGGCTCCGGTTCCTGCTGGGGGGTTTCTATGGGGTCTGTGAGGTTTCTATGGGGTCTGTGAGGTTTCTATGGAGTTTCTATGGGTCCGGCTCTCACTCTGGGGTTTCTGTGGGTCTGGCTCTCACTCGGGGTCTCCCCTGTCCCCCCAGGCTCCGGTTCCTGCTGGGGGCTTTCTATGGGGTCTGTGAGGTTTCTATGGGGTCTGTGAGGTTTCTATGGGGTTTCTGTGGGTCTGGCTCTCACTCGGGGTCTCCCCTGTCCCCCCAGGCTCCGGTTCCTGCTGGGGGGTTTCTATGGGGTCTGTGAGGTTTCTATGGGGTCTGTGAGGTTTCTATGGAGTTTCTATGGGTCCGGCTCTCACTCTGGGGTTTCTGTGGGTCTGGCTCTCACTCGGGGTCTCCCCTGTCCCCCCGGGCTCCGGTTCCTGCTGGGGGCTTTCTATGGGGTCTGTGAGGTTTCTATGGGGTCTGTGAGGTTTCTATGGGGTTTCTATGGGTCCGGCTCTCACTCTGGGGTTTCTGTGGGTCCGGCTCTCACTCGGTGTGCCCCCTTTGCCCCCCAGGCTGCGGTTCCTGCTGGGGGGCCGGCACGGCGAGTTCCGTTTCGTGCCCCCTCCCGGGCTATGCCCCCTGTGCCGAGGCGCTGCTGCTGGGGGGTTTCTATGGGGTTTCCATGGGGTTTCTGTGGGTCCGGCTCTCACTCGGTGTGCCCCCTTTGCCCCCCAGGCTGCGGTTCCTGCTGGGGGGCCGGCACGGCGAGTTCCGTTTCGTGCCCCCTCCCGGGTACGCCCCCTGTGCCGAGGCGCTGCTGCCCCGGGAGCGGCTGCGGCTGGAGCCGCTCACCGCCTACCGCGGCTCGGCCCCGCCCGGCGCCCGCAGCCTGCTGGGGCCCAGCCGCGCCCTGCCCCACACCGCCTTCACCCCCTGCCCCGTGGACACCTGCCAGGTGCGCGGGGAGAGCGGTTTGGGGGGGTCGGAATGGGGTTTCGGGATGATGGAGGTGGGATTTGGGGGGTTTGTGGGTGTTTGGAGGGGGTTTTGGGGGATTGGGACAGGGTTTCGGGGGGTTTGGGGGGATTGGGATGGGGTTTCGGGGTGATGGGAGGAGATTTCGGGTTTGGGGGCTTGGGATGAGGTTTCGGGGGGATTTGGGGGGATGGAGGTGGGATTTGGGGGGATTTGGGGATGTGGAGGGGGAGTTTGAGGGGATGGAGGTGGGATTGTGGGTGTTTGGAGGGGATGGGAGGGGGATTTGGGGGCATTGGGACAGGGTTTCGGGGGGTTTGGGGGGATTGGGATGGGGTTTCGGGGTGATGGGAGGAGATTTCGGGGGGTTTGGGGGGATTGGGACAGGATTTCAGGAGATTTAGGGGGATTTGGGGGGATGGAGGGGATGGAGGAGTTTTGGGGTGGTTTTGGGGGATGGAGGTGGGATTTGTGGGGGTGGAGGCAGGATTTGGGAGATTTGGGGGATGGAGGTGGGATTGGGGGGATTGGGGTAGAGTTTAGGGCGGTTAGTGGATGTTTTGGGGTGATTGTGACAGGGTTTTGGGGGTTTAGGGGGATTTTGGGGATTTTTGTGGGGCTTGAAGGGGAATTTGGAGGTGCTTGAAGAGATTGGGGGCAGTTTGGGGAGTTTTGGGGTCCAACACCCCATTTTTCCCCCAACCCAGATCGTGCTGCCCCCACACCTGGAGCGCATCCGGGAGAAGCTGGCGGAGAACATCCACGAGCTCTGGGCCCTGACCCGCATCGAGCAGGGCTGGACCTACGGGCCTGTGAGTGGGGCACCCCAAAATCCTTCCTGGACACCCCGAAATCCCCCAGGAAACCCCAAAATCACCTGGGAACCCCAAACCCCACAAAAATCCCATAAAAACCCCAAACTCGCCTTGAGCTCTGGGCCCTGACCCGCATCGAGCAGGGCTGGACCTACGGGCCTGTGAGTGGGGCACCCCTAAATCCCTCCTGGGCACCCCCAAATTCTCTGGGAACCCCAAAATCCCCTGGGAACCCCAAACCCCATAAAACCTCATAAAAACCCCACAAAAAACCCCAAACCCACATTTTTGGGGTATCCCAGTCTGGATTTTGGGGTGTCCCAGTGTCCAGGAGGTGTTTTTGGGGTTCCCTAAATTGGGGTTCCCCCTTTTCAGGATCCCTTTTTGGGGTTCCTCAAGGTTTGGGCTCTTTTCGAGGTGATCCCATGGGTGCCTTTGGGATTTTCCCTTTCAGGTCCATTTTTGGGAGGTCCCAGTCTGGATTTCGGGGTGTCCCAGTGTCCAGGAGGTGTTTTTGGGGTGCCCCACTGGAGTTGTGCCATTTCAGGATCACTTTTTTGGGGTTCCCAAGGGGATTTGGGGGTGTGAAGGTGGGTTTGGGTCCATTTTGAGGTGATCCCATGGGGCGCCTTTGGGATTTTCCCTTTCGGGTCGGTTTTTGGGGGGTCCCTGTCTGGATTTTGGGGTGTCCCGGTGTCCATGGGGTGTTTTTGGGGTGCCCCAGGTCCGGGATGACGTGCAGCGCCTGCACCCCTGCTTGCTGAGCTTCCACAGCCTCCCCGAGCCCGAGCGCGGCTACAACCTGCAGATGTCGGGGGAGACCCTCAAGTAAGGGGGGGGCACTGGGAATTTGGGGGTCCCCCCCTCTTTGGGGAACCCCCCCGGGAGAGGGGAGGTGGGTTTGGGGAGGAATCACCCCAAATGGAGTGGGTTGGGGTTCCCTCTGAGCCTGGGGGTGGTTTTGGGGTCACTTCAGATTGGGGGGACTTTGGGGAGCTTTGGGGTCACCCCTCATCTCAGACTGGGGGGACTTTGGGGGTTTTGGGGTTTCAGGTGGTTTGGGGTCACCCTTCCCTCACACTGGGGGACTTGGGGGGATTTTTGGGGTTCAGATGGTTTTGGGGTCACCCCCTCACCTCAGACTGGGGAGGACTTGGGGGTTTTGGGGTTCAGATGGTTTTGGGTCCCCCTTCACTTCAGACTTGGGGGAACTTGGGTGGGTTTTGGGGTCCCCCACTTTGAGGTGTATCCCAAAACAGGCTGGGATTTTTGGGGTCCCCCCATCTCTGAAGCCCCCCTGGAGTTGGGGTGCTGGATTTGGGTTTTGAGGAGGGGTCTGCGATTTGGGGGTGCTGATTTTCGGGGTGTCCCCAGGACGCTGCTGGCCCTGGGCTGCCACGTGGGGATGGCGGACGAGAAGGCCGAGGAGAACCTGAAGAAAAATACAAACTGCCCAAAACGTGGGTTTGGGGGTCCCACTTTGGGGGGTCCCAGTTTGGGGGGTCCCTGTAGGGGATCCCAGTTTAGGGGACTGGGAGGGGTTGGGGGTCCCAGTTTGGGGGGGCTGGGAGGGGCTGGGGTCCCAGTTTGGGGGGTCCCTGTAGGGGATCCCAGTTTGAGGTCCCAATTTGGGGTCCATTAAATAAAGTCCCAGTTTGGGGTGTTCCAGTTTGGGGCGTCCCAGTTTGGGGGTGTCCCAGTCTGGAAGTCACAGTTTTGGGGTGCTGGAGGAGCTTCTGGGGGGTCCTTACAGGGATCCCCATGGGTTGAGGGGGTCCCTCAGGTGTGTCCCCCCCATTCCCACCTTGTCCAACAGGTAGGGGTTGAGTTGGGGATGTCCCATTGAGTTGGGACATACCGGTTTGGAGACCATGGAGGACATTGGGGGTCCCCATTGGTGGGGACAGTTCTGGGGGTCCCGGGGTGGTCCCACGGATGTCCCACAGGTGTGTCCCCCCCGCCCAGGTACACCATGTCCAACAAGTCAAGGTTGGGGTTGGGATGTCCCAGTTGATTTGGGATATCTCAGTTTGGTGACCATTGAGGACGTTTGGGGTCCCATTGGTGGGGACAGTTCTGGGGGTCCCGGGGTGCCCCGTGGAGGTCCCAAGGTGGTCCCACAGGTGTCCCACAGGTGTGTCCCCCCCCGCCCAGGTACACCATGTCCAACGGGTCAACGGCTCAAGGTTGGGTTGGGATGTCCCAGTTTGGAGACCATTGAGGAGATTTGAGGTCCCCACAGGTGGGGGCAGTTCTGGGGGTCCCAGGGTGGTCCCAAGGGTGGTCCCACAGGTGTCCCACAGGTGTGTCCCCCCCCCGCCCAGGTACACCATGTCCAACGGGTCAAGGGCTCAAGGTTGAGTGGGGATATCCCAGTTTGAAGACCATTGAAGTTCGATGGGTTCTCCGTGGGTTGGGGGTCCCGGGTGCCCTGGGGGCGGTCCCACAGGTGTGTCCCCCTGCCCAGGTACACCATGTCCAACGGGTACAAGCGGCCCCGCTGGACCTGTCCCACGTGCGGCTGACGCCGGCCCAGCTGACCCTGGTCGATCGCCTGGCCGAGAACGGCCACAACGTCTGGGCCCGGGACCGGTGCAGCAGGGCTGGACTACAGCACCACGCAGGTGGGGACCCTGGGGACACGCTGGGGACACGCTGGGGACAGCACCGAGGGACCCCCACCCGCCCCTCACCCACCCAAACCCTCCCACGGACGCCCCAAAACCCCCTTGTCCCTGTGGTGTCACTGTCCTGCGTCCCATGGCCGTGTCCCCATGTCCCCACATCTCTGGAGGTGTCCCCATGCCCCTGAGCCTGGTGTCCCCATGTTCTCATGTCCCCATGTCCCCACACCTCTGGGGGTGTCCCCATGTCCCCACACCTGTCGGGGTGCCCCCATATCCCCGTGTCCCTTATGCCCCTGTGCCTGGTGTCCCCATGTCCCCATGGCTGTGTCCTCATGTCCCCACATCCCCACACCTATGGGGTATCCCCTTGTCCTCATGGCCCTGAGCCTGGTGTCCCCATGTCCCCATGGCCGTGTCCTCATGTCCCCACATCTGTGGGAGTGTCCCCATGTCCTCATAGCCCCAAGCCTGGTGTCCCCATGTCCCCACACCTCTGGGACTGTCTCTACTCCCCTGAGCTCAGTGTCCTCATGGCTGTGTCCCCGTGTCCCCACACCCCAAGCTTGCTGGTCTCCATGTCCCCATGGCTGTGTCCCCATGTCCCCATGGCCATGTCCCCATGTCCCCACGCTGTCCCCGTGTCCCCAGGACATCAAGAACAAGCGGAACCCTCGGCTGGTGCCCTACAACCTGCTGGACGAGGGCACCAAGGCCACCAACCGCGAGAGCCTGTGCCAGGCCGTGCGCACCCTGCTGGGCTACGGCTACAACATCGAGCCCCCGACCAGGAGACGCTGTGAGTGGGGGGCTCGGGGACACCTGGGGACACCTGGGGACGTTTGGGGACATCTGGCAGCTGGTGGTGCCGTTTGGGTGCCGTTTTTGGGGTCTCTGTGTCCTGTTTTGGGGTGCCGACCCCTCTCTTCTCCCCAGCCTCACATGGTGTCCCCTCAAGGGTCCCGGCACCCCCCAGCCACGGCTGTTGGTGCTGTTTGGGTACTGTTTTTGGGGTTCCATGTCCCATTTTTGGGGTTCTGTGTCCTGTTTTTGGGGTTCCATGTCCCATTTCTGGAGTTCCATGTCCCGTTCTTGGGGTCTTTATGTCCTATTTTGGGGTCCTGACCCTCTGTCTCCCCCAGCCCTCACACGGTGGTCCCCTCGAGGGGTCCCAGCAGCCCTCGGCTGCAGCTCTTGATGCTGTTTGGGTGCCGTGTTTAGGGTTCCATATCCCATTTTTGGGGCTCTCAGGATGCCGTTTTTGGGGTGCTGACCCCCCGTGTCTCCCCAGCCTCTCAGGGTGCAGTTCCCGGGGGTCCCCGCGCCCCCCGGCCGCCGCTGTTCCGCGCAGATCGGGGCTCTCTGTGCTGTTTTTGGGGCTCTCTGTGTGCTGTTTTTGGGGCTCCCTGGGTGCTGTTTTTGGCGTTCCATGTCCCATTTTTGGGGTGCTGACCCCCCGTGTCTCCCCAGCCTCTCAGGGTGCAGTTCCGGGGGTCCCCGCGCCCCCCGGCCGCCGCTGTTCCGCGCAGATCGGGGCTCTCTGTGTGCTGTTTTTGGGGTTCTCTGTGTGCTGTTTTGGGGCTCCCTGGGTGCTGTTTTTGGCGTTCCATGTCCCATTTTTGGGGTGCTGACCCCCTGTGTCTCCCCAGCCTCTCAGGGTGCAGTTCCCGGTGGTCCCCGCGCCCCCAGCCGCGGCTGTTCTGCGCAGATGGGGCTCTCTGGGTGCTGTTTTTGGGGCTCTCTGTGTGCTGTTTTGGGGCTCCCTGGGTGCTGTTTTTGGCGTTCCATGTCCCATTTTTGGGGGTGCTGACCCCCGTGTCTCCCCAGCCTCTCAGGGTGTCCCCCCCGGTGGTCCCCGCGCCCCCCCGGCCGCGGCTGTTCTGCGCAGACCGGGGCTCTCTGGGTGCTGTTTTTGGGGCTCTCTGGGTGCCGTTTTTGGGGGTACCATGACCGTTTTTGGGGTTCCATGTCCCATTTTCGGGGTGCTGACCCCCGTGTCTCCCCCAGCCTCTCAGGGTGTCCCCCCCGGTGGTCCCCGCGCCCCCCGGCCGCAGCTGTTCCGCGCAGATCGGGGCTCTCTGGGTGCTGTTTTTGGGGCTCTCTGGGTGCCGTTTTTGGGGTACCATGACCCGTTTTTGGGGTTCCATGTCCCATTTTCGGGGTGCTGACCCCCGTGTCTCCCCCAGCCTCTCAGGGTGTCCCCCCCGGTGGTCCCCGCGCCCCCCGGCCGCCGCTGTCCGCGCAGACCGGGGCTCTCTGGTGCTGTTTTTGGGCTCTCTGTGTGCTGTTTTGGGGCTCTCTGGGTGCTGTTTTTGGGGCTCTCTGTGTGCTGTTTTGGGGCTCCCTGGGTGCTGTTTTTGGCGTTCCATGTCCCATTTTTGGGGTGCTGACCCCCCGTGTCTCCCCAGCCTCTCAGGGTGCAGTTCCCGGGGGTCCCCGCGCCCCCCGGCCGCAGCTGTTCCGCGCAGATCGGGGCTCTCTGGGTGCTGTTTTTGGGGCTCTCTGGGTGCCGTTTTTGGGGGTACCATGACCCGTTTTTGGGGTTCCATGTCCCATTTTTGGGGTGCTGACCCCCTGTGTCTCCCCAGCCTCTCAGGGTGTCCCCCCCGGTGGTCCCCGCGCCCCCCGGCCGCGGCTGTTCCGCGCAGATCGGGGCTCTCTGGGTGCTGTTTTTGGGGTTCTCTGTGTGCTGTTTTGGGGCTCCCTGGGTGCTGTTTTTGGCGTTCCATGTCCCATTTTTGGGGTGCTGACCCCCTGTGTCTCCCCAGCCTCTCAGGGTGTCCCCCCCGGTGGTCCCCGCGCCCCCCGGCCGCGGCTGTTCCGCGCAGACCGGGGCTCGGCCGTGCGCAGCGGCCGCTGGTACTTCGAGTTCCAGGCGGTGACGGCCGGGGAGATGCGCGTGGGCTGGGCCCGGCCCGGGCTGAGACCCGACACCGAGCTGGGCGCCGACGACATGGCCTTCGTCTTCAACGGGCACCGGGTGAGCCTGGGGACAGCCCTGGGGACAGGCAGGGACAGGGAGGGACACGGGGGACACACAGGGACAGACGGGGACATGTAGGGACATTTGGGACACTCAGGGACACACCTGAGTCACCTTCTATGACCTCCCTGTGTTCCCTGTGACCCTCTGGTGTCCCCAGTGTCCCCAGGCCCAGCGGTGGCACGTCGGGGGCGAGTCCTTTGGCTGTCCCTGGCAGGCTGGGGACGTTGTGGCTCTGTGTGACCCCTGATATCCCCTGTGACCCCCTGGTGTCCCCAATGTCCCCAGGCCCAGCGGTGGCACGTCGGGGGCGAGTCCTTTGGCTGTCCCTGGCAGGCTGGGGACGTCGTGGGTCCCTGGTGTCCCCTGTGACCCCCTGGTGTCCCCAATGTCCCCAGGCCCAGCGGTGGCACGTGGGGGGCGAGTCCTTCGGGCGCCCCTGGCAGGCTGGGGACGTCGTGGGCTGCCTCATCGACCTGGGCGAGTGCCACATGAGCTTCACCCTCAACGGGGAGGTGCTGATCGGGGACGGCGGCTCCGAGGTGGCCTTCAGGGACTTCGAGGTGGCCGACGGTGAGAGGGGGGGCACCGGGATTGGTGACAGCCCCACGGTGTCACCTGGGGCTGGGGGTGGAGGGGGAGTGGGGCTGGGGGCTCTGGGGGTGGGGCTGGGGGCTCTGGGGGTGGGTCTGGGGGCTTCAGAAATGGGGCTGGGGGCTCTGGGGTGGGTCTGGGGGCTCTGGGGGTCTCAGCCCTGACCCCCCCGTGCCCCCCAGGCTTTGTGCCCGTGTGCAGCCTGGGGCTGGGCCAGGAGGGGCACCTGAACCTGGGCCAGGACGTTGGCACCCTGCGCTACTTCGGCATCTGCGGCCTCCAGGAGGGCTACGAGCCCTTTGCCATCAACATGAAACGCCCCATCGCCCTCTGGTTCAGCCACAGCCTGCCCCAGTTCATCCCCGTGCCCCCCGAGCACCCCCAGCTCGAGGTGAGGGCTGGGCAGGGGTCTCTGGGGGGGAATTGGGGGGTTTGGGGGGTTCTTTGGGGTCCCCATCGCCCTGTGGTTCAGCCACAGCCTGCCCCAGTTCATCCCCGTGCCCCCCGAGCACCCCCAGCTCGAGGTGAGGGGGATTTGGGGGGTTTGTGGGGTTTGTGGGGGGGTTTGGGGTCCCCATCGCCCTGTGGTTCAGCCACAGCCTGCCCCAGCTCATCCCAGGGCCCCCCGAGCACCCCCAGCTCGAGGTGAGGGGGATTTGGGGGGATTTGGGGGGGATTTGGGGTCTCTGGGGGGAATTTGGGGTCTCTGAGGGGGGTTTGGGGGTCCCCATCGCCCTGTGGTTCAGCCACAGCCTGCCCCAGCTCATCCCAGGGCCCCCCGAGCACCCCCAGCTCGAGGTGAGGGGGATTTTGGGGGGGGTTGGGGGGGGATTTGGGGTCTCTGAGGGGCATTCAGGGTATTAAGGGAGTCCCTGAAAGTCCCCAAATGTCCCCAAAATGGGTGGGAATCCCCATCCCAAGGGGATTCCCCATTTCTGGGTGTCCCCAAAACCAGGATGAAGTGTCCCCAAAGTGGGGTGAAGTGTCCCCAAAATGCTGTGACAGCCACCCCTAGGGAATTCCTCATCTCTCAGCGTCCCCAGAATGAGGTGAAGCGTCCCCAAAATGAAGGATCCCAAACAGGGTGAAATATCCCCAAAACCGGGTCCCACCCATCCCTGGGGGGTTCCCTGTCCCTGAAGTGTCCCTAAAACTGGGTGAAGCATCCCCAAAACGAGGTGAAGTTCCCCCAAAACTGGGTCCCGCCTATCCCCAAGGGGTTTCCTGTCCCTAAGTGTCCCTAAAATGAGGTGAAGCATCCCCAAACAGGGTGAAGTGTCCCCAAAATGGGGAGAAGTGTCCCCAAAACGGGGTGAAGTGTCCCCAAAATGAGGTGACATCCTTCCCTAGGGGATTCCCCATCCCTGACTGTCCCCAAAGTGAGATTAAGTGCCCCCAAAACAAGGGGAGGTGCCCCAAAACAGAGTGAAATATCCCCCAAACCGTGTCCCACCATCCCCGGGGTCCCCGCGGTGCCACCCCCTCGGCCGTCCCCGCAGGTGACCCGCCTGGACGGCACCGTGGACACCCCTCCGTGCCTCCGCCTGTCGCACCGCAGCTCCGGGACGCCCGCGGCGCCGCCGGAGCTGCTGTTCCTGCGGCTGAGCCTGCCGGTGCAGTTCCACGGCACGTTCCGCTGCACGCCCGGCGCCACGCCGCTGCCGCAGGCGCCGCCGCCGGAGCCCCCCGAGGACGCGGGCGCGGAGCCGCTGTCCGAGTTCGAGCGGCTGCGGCGCTCGGCCGGGCCCCGCAGCGCCGAGGGGGACGAGGGAGCCGAGAAGGGAGCGCCGGGGGCGGCGCCCGGGGCTGCTGCCGGTGCTGCTGCCGCCGCTGCGGCCCGGGAGCCGCCGCGGGGAGAGAACGAGAAGGACGCGACCACCGAGAAGAGCAAGACCAGGAGGGGGTGAGCGGGGTGGGGGGTCCCCAGTATTGGTGCGGGGCAGCAAAAGGGGGGTCCCCAATATTGCTGGGGGGCTGCAAAAGGGGATGGGGGGCAGCAAAAGGGGGGGTTCCCAATATTGCTGGGGGGCTGCAAAACGGGGTGGCAGCCGCTGCTTGGGGGTCCCCAATTCCGGACGGTCCCCAAAAGGCGGTGACACCCATCCCTGGGGGGTCCCTGAGCATCGCCAGTCTGGCAGTTAAGGGGTGTTGTTGGGGGGGTTCCCCGGGGGTCTTTGGGGGTCCCTGCGGGTCCCCAGAGCGGGGTGACCCCCCCGGTGCCCCCCAGGTTCCTGTTCAAGGGCCGGAAGACGCCGTTCGCGCCCCCCCCCGCGCCCCCTCCCGTGCCCAGGCTGGAGGAGGACGTGGTGCCCGACGAACGCGACGACCCCGAGGTCATCATGAACACCACCACGGTATGGACCCCAAAATACCCCCAAAACCTCCCCAAAAACCCCAAATCCCCCAGCCCCCGAGGTCATCATGAACACCACCACGGTATGGACCCCAAAAACACCCAAAATACCCCCAAAAACCTCCCCAAAAACCCCAAATCCCCCAGCCCCCGAGGTCATCATGAACACCACCCACGGTATGGACCCCAAAAACACCCAAAATACCCCCAAAAACCTCCCAAAAACCTCAAATCCCCCAGCCCCCGAGGTCATCATGAACACCACCACGGTATGGACCCCAAAAACACCCAAAATACCCCAAAAACCTCCCCAAAAACCCCAAATCCCCAGCCCCCGAGGTCATCATGAACACCACCACGGTATGGACCCCAAAAACACCCAAAATACCCCCAAAAACCTGCCCAAATCCCCGAAAACCTCAAATCCCTCAAACCTTGAGGTCATCACGAACACCACCACAGTATGGGATCCCTGAGACCCCCCCAAAACACCCTGTCCCATGTCCCTTGTCCCTCTGGCTGTTCCTGTCCCTGTCCCCATGTCCCTGACCGTGTCCCTTGTCCCCAGTACTATTACTCAGTGCAGCTGTTTGTGGGGCAGTGCCTGGGTGGGCTGGGTCACCTGTCCCTGTCCCTGTCCCTGTCCCTGTGGCTGTCCCTGACACTGTCCCTTGTCCCCAGTACTATTACTTGGTGCGGCTGTTTGCGGGCCAGGAGCCGGGCAGTGCCTGGGTGGGCTGGGTCACCTGTCCCTGTCCCATGTCCCTGTCCCCATGGCTGTCCCTGACACTGTCCCTTGTCCCCAGTACTATTACTCAGTGCAGCTGTTTGTGGGGCAGTGCCTGGGTGGGCTGGGTCACCTGTCCCTGTCCCTGTGTCCCTTGTCCCTGTGGCTGTCCCTGACCGTGTCCCTTGTCCCCAGTACTATTACTTGGTGCGGCTGTTTGCGGGCCAGGAGCCGGGCAGTGCCTGGGTGGGCTGGGTCACCTGTCCCTGTCCCTGTCCCCTGTCCCTGTGGCTGTCCCTGACACTGTCCCTTGTCCCCAGTACTATTACTCAGTGCAGCTGTTTGTGGGGCAGTGCCTGGGTGGGCTGGGTCACCTGTCCCTGTCCCTGTCCCCTGTCCCTGTGGCTGTCCCTGACACTGTCCCTTGTCCCCAGTACTATTACTCGGTGCGGCTGTTTGCGGGCCAGGAGCCGGGCAGTGCCTGGGTGGGCTGGGTCACCTGTCCCTGTCCCCATGTCCCTGTGTCCCTTGTCCCTGTGTCCCTGTCCCCTGTCCCCGTGGCTGTCCCTGACACTGTCCCTTGTCCCCAGTACTATTACTCGGTGCGGCTGTTTGCGGGCCAGGAGCCGGGCAGTGCCTGGGTGGGCTGGGTCACCTGTCCCTGTCCCCATGTCCCCTGTCCCTGTGGCTGTCCCTGACACTGTCCCTTGTCCCCAGTACTATTACTCGGTGCGGCTGTTTGCGGGCCAGGAGCCAGGCAGTGCCTGGGTGGGCTGGGTCACCCCCCATTTCCACCAGCACGACCCCGATTTCGAGCTGAGCCGCGTGCGCAGCGTCACCGTCACCATGGGCGACGACCGCGGCAACGTGCACGACAGGTACCCCATGGGGACCCCAAAAATACCCCAAAGAGACCCCAAATGGAACCCCAAAAGGGTCCCCAGATGCGATCCCAAAGGGATCCCAAATTGCATCCCAAATAGGACCCTAACAAGACCCCAAAAGGGACCCCTAAACAGGATCCCTAAATGGGACCCTGAGCTGGATCCCAAAGAGACCCCAAAAGAGACCCCAAAAGGGGATTCCCAAACAGGATGCCAAGTGGGATCCCAAAGAGACCCCAAAAGAGACCCCTAAATGGGACCCTAAGTGGGATCCCAAAGAGACTCCTAAGAGACCAAGGGATCCCAAAGAGACCCCAAAAGGGACCCCTAAACAGGATCCCTAAATGGGACCCCAAATGGGATCCCAAAGGGACCCCAAAGGCACCCCAAACAGGATCCCAAAGGGACCCTAAATGGGACTCCCAAATGGAACCCTAAATAGGATTCCAAGAAGACCCCAAACAGGACCCTGAAATTGGACCCCCAAATGGGACCCCAAACAGGACCCTGAACTTGGACCCCCAAATGGGACTCTAAATGGGACCCCAAAGAGATCCCAAAATGGGACCCCTAACGGGTCAACTGCCCCATGGTTTGGACATATTTCTGGGGGTTTCTCACCCCCTTTTTCCCCCTTAGCATCAAGCGCAGCAACTGCCCCATGGTGTGGGGGTGAAATAGGGGAGGGGTCCATGATCTTGGGGGTATTTTGGGGGGTTTTGGGGGTCTCACCCCCTTTTTCTCCCCAGCATCAAGCGCAGCAACTGCTACATGGTGTGGGGTTATTTTGGGAGGTTTTGGGGTATTTTGGGGGTGTTTTGGGGTGGTCTCATCCCCTTTTCCCCCCCAGCATCAAGCGCAGCAACTGCTACACGGTCTGGGGGTATTTTGGGGGAGTTTTGGGGGTCTCACCCCCTTTCCCCCCCCCCAGTATCAAGTGCAGCAACTGCTACATGGTGTGGGGGTATTTTGGGGGGATTTTGGGGTATTTTGGTGTTTTTTTTTGGGGTCTCACCCCCTTTTTCTCCCCAGCATCAAGCGCAGCAACTGCTACATGGTGTGGGGGGGGGAGTTTGCGACCCCCACCCAGCAGGCCAGGGTGTCCCACACGGACCTGGTCATCGGCTGCCTGGTGGACCTGGCCACGGGGCTCATGACCTTCACAGCCAACGGCAAAGAGATCAACACCTTCTTCCAGGTGAGCTGGGACCCCTCCCCTGACCCCCCCCAGGTGAGGTTTGGGGGTCCCAGCCCACCCCGGGGGTCTCACAGCAGCGTGGTGCCCACAGGTGGAGCCCAACACCAAACTGTTCCCGGCGGTGTTCGTGCAGCCCACCACCCAAAATGTGCTCCAGTTTGAGCTGGGCAAGCTCAAGGTGAGGAATGGGACCCCCAGCGGGTGGATGGTGGGGGATGAGACCCTCGAGACCCCCCAGAAACCCCCCAAAACTCCCCCAAAATCCCCAGGTCACCATGAACACCGCCACAGTATGGGACCCTTGAGACCCCCCACAAAAATCCTCAAACCCGCAGGTCATCATGAACACCATCATGGTACAGGACCCCTGAGACCCCCCCCCCCAAAACCCAAAACCTCCCACCCACACCCTAAACACCCCCTCCTGCACCCCAAATATCCCCAAACCCTCCTCAGCTCATCATGAACACCACCATGGTACAGGACCCCTGAGAGCCCCCAAAATCCCCAAACCCTCAGATCATCGTGAACACCACCATGGTACAGGACCCCTGAGAGCCCCCCAAACCCCAAATCCCCCCCAAACCCCAGGGTCATCATGGGCACCACCATGGTACAGGACCCCTGAGACCCCCCCCAAAACCCAAATCCCCCCCAAACCCAGGGTCATCATGGGCACCACCATGGTACAGGACCCCTGAGAGCCCCCAAAATCCCCAAACCCTCAGCTCATCATGAACACCACCATGGTACAGGACCCCTGAGAGCCCCCCAAACCCCAAATCCCCCCCAAACCCCAGGGTCATCATGGGCACCACCATGGTACAGGACCCCTGAGACCCCCCCCAAAACCCAAATCCCCCCCAAACCCAGGGTCATCATGGGCACCACCATGGTACAGGACCCCTGAGAGCCCCCAAAATCCCCAAACCCTCAGCTCATCATGAACACCACCATGGTACAGGACCCCTGAGACCCCCCCCAAACCCCAAATCCCCCCCAAACCCAGGGTCATCATGGGCACCACCATGGTACAGGACCCCTGAGAGCCCCCCAAACCCCAAAATCCCCAAACCCCAGGGTCATCATGAACACCACCATGGTACAGGACCCCTGAGACCCCCCCCAAACCCCAAATCCCCCCCCAAACCCCGAGATCATCGTTCTGGGGGGGTTATTGAGGATGGGAAGGGACTGGGGGACAGCTGGGAGCACTGGTGAGGCGATTCAGGAGCTGCCAGGTGGAACAAGGAGAGCTTTGGGGACGATCTTTGGGCTCTGCAGGGCGACCCCGGAGGAACTCAGTGCCGGGGGTCCCCCTGACAGCCCCGTGTCCCCCCAGAACATCATGCCCATCTCGGCGGCCATGTTCAGCAGCGAGAGGCAGAACCCGGCGCCGCAGTGCCCGCCCAGGCTGGTGATCCAGCACCTGACCCCGGTCACCTGGAGCCGCATGCCCACCGAGTACCTGGCCGTGGAGAGCGCCCGGCTGGGCGAGCGCCAGGGCTGGGCCGTGGAGTGCTCCGAGCCCCTGCAGATGATGGCCCTGCACATCCCCGAGGAGGACAGGTGCGTGGGGACATCCCTCAGGGACACCCCAGGGACATCCAGGGACACCCCTCAGGGACACCAAATGGCACCCCTAAACGGGATCGCAAAGAAATCCCAAATGGCATCCCTAAATGGGATCCCAAAGAAATCCCAAATGGGACCCCTAAATGGGATCCCAAAGAAATCCCAAATGGCACCCCTAAACAGGATCGCAAAGAAATCCCAAATGGCATCCCTAAATGGGATCCCAAAGAAATCCCAAATGGGACCCCTAAACGGGATCCCAAAGAAATCCCAAATGGCACCCCTAAACAGGATCGCAAAGAAATCCCAAATGGCATCCCTAAATGGGATCCCAAAGAAATCCCAAATGGGACCTCTAAACGGGATCCCAAAGAAATCCCAAATGGGATCCCAAATTGAATCCCGAATAGGGCAACTGTCCCATGGTCTGGGGGTATTTTGGGGGAATTTTGGGGGTCTCATCCCCTTTTTCCCTGCAAGATCAAGCGCGGCAACTGCCCCATGGTGTGGGGATTAAATAGGGGAGGGGTCCATGGTCTGGGGGGGTTTTTGCACATCCCCGAGGAGGACAGGTAGGGGACACCCCTCAGGGACATCCCCGGGGACACCCTCAGGGACACCCAGCCTCGTGGGGTTCTGTCCCATGGGGTCCCAGCCCCAGGAGACCTTGGGGTCTGACCCTAAAAGTGTCATCCCCAGCAGACCTTGGGGTCCGTCCCAAAAGTCCCAGCCCCAGGAGAGTTGGGGTCCCATCCCCAGCAGACCTTGGGGTCTCACCCCAAAAGTCCCATCCCCAGGAGATTGTGGGGTCCCAGTCTAAAAATCCCATCCCCAAGAGACCTTGGGGTCTCATCCCAGGGGTCCAACCCTGTGTCCCCCTCCCCTGACCCCCATTCCCTGTCCCCCCAAGGGGTCCCACCCCATATCCCCCCATTCCCCCCCCCTAGAGCCCCCACCCCACGTGCCCCCCACCCCGACCCCTGTGACGGTGTTCACAGGGGTCTTAGGATGAGGAAAGAGATGCAGATATGACTTTATCTTTCAGAAGGCTTGGTTTATTATTTTATGATATAGATTACATTGAAACTATACTAAAAGAATAGAAGAAAAAGTTTCATCGGAAGGGTAGCTAAGAATAGAAAGGAAAGGATGATAACAAAGGTTTGTGGCTCAGGCTCTGTGTCCAAGCCAGCTGAGATGTGATTGACCATTAATTATAAACCACCACATGAGACCAATCCCAGATGCACCTGTTGCATCCCACAGCAGCAGATAACCATTGTTTACATTTTATTCCTGAGGCCTCTCAGCTTCTCGGCAGGAAAAATCCCAAGGAAAGGATTTTTCATAAAAGTTGTCTGCGACAGACCCCCATTTCCCCCCCAGGTGCATCGACATCCTGGAGCTGTGGGAGCGCGAGGAGCTGCTGCAGTTCCAGTGCCACACGCTGCGCCTCTACTGCGCCGTGTGCGCGCTGGGCAACAACCGCGTGGCGCACGCGCTGTGCAGCCACGTGGACCAGGCCCAGCTGCTCTTCGCCATCGAGAGCCCCGAGCTGCCGGGGCCCCTGCGCGCCGGCTACTACGACCTGCTGCTGGCCATGCACCTGGACGCGGCGCAGCGCGCCCGCTCCTCCATGAGCGCCGAGTTCATCGTGCCCATCACCGAGGCCACGCGCGCCATCGCGCTCTTCCCCGACGGAGGCCGCTGCCCGGGGCCCCCGGGCGTGGGGCCCAGCGCCTGCCTGAGACCCCAGCCCCATTTCTCGGAGCCGTGCTTTATCCGGGCGGGGGGCGGCGGGGGGCGGGCGCCGCTCAGCCCGGCCATCCCGCTGGACGAGCTGGGGGCCAAGGCCATGCGCATGCTGGCCGAGGCCGTGGCCGGAGGGGGTCCCCACGCCCGGGACCCCGTGGGGGGCAGCGTGGAGTTCCAGTTGGTGCCGGTGCTCAAACTGGTGTCGGCGCTGCTGGCCGTGGGAGCGCTGGGCGACGACGACGTGCGGCGAGTGCTGCGCATGATCGAGCCCCGCGTGTTCGGCGAGGGACGGCGGGAGGAAGGAGAGGGGGAGGAGAAGGAGGAGGAGGAGGAGGAGGTGAAGGCCATCGAGGCTGGCGAGGAGGAGGAGGAGGATGAGGAGGCGAGGAGGAAAAAGGCCGTGGAGGCTGGAGAGCTGGAGGAAGAGGAGGAGGAGGAGGAGGAGGAGGGAGTGAGGAGGAGGAAGGCCATCGAGGCTGGAGAGCTGCAGGCGGAGGAGGAGGATGAGGAGGAGGCCAGGAGGACGAAGGCCATTGAGGCTGGGGAGGTGCAGGAGGAGGAGGAGGAGAAGGAGGAAGAGGAAGAGCTGGAGGAGGGGCTGCTGCAGATGAAGCTGCCGGAGTCGGTCAAGCTGCAGGTGAGGGAGGGGACAGGGGTGGGGGGTTTGTGTCCCCTCGCTGTCCCCTCTCTGTGTCCACGTCATGTCCCCTCCCTGGGCTCTCCTTCCCGGTGTCCTTGTCCCCTCCCCAGGGTCCCTGTCCCAGTGATGCCCTGGGGTCCCCATCCCCATGGTGTCCCCAATGCCCCCCATGTCCCTGATGTCCCCATGTCCCTGATGTCCCCCATGTCTCTGATGTCCCTGGCATCCCCATGTCCCTGACGTTCCCCATGTTCCTTGATGTCCAGATGTCCCTGATATTCCCATGTCCCTGGTGCCCCCAATGTCCCTGATGTCCTCGCAGATGTGCCACCTGCTGCAGCACCTGTGCGAGCGGGAGCTGCAGCACCACATGGAGGTCCCTGTGTCCCCAGTGCCCCAATGTCCCTGATGTCCCCAGTGTCCCTGACACCCTGATGTCCCCATGTCCCCACAGATGTGCCACCTGCTGCAGCACCTGCGTGAGCGGGAGCTGCAGCACCACATGGAGGTCCCTGTGTCCCCCATGTCCCCAGTGCCCCAATGTCCCTGACATGCCCATATCCCTGATGTCCCCCATGTCCCTGACGTCCCCGTGTCCCCGCAGATGTGCCACCTGCTGCAGCACCTGTGCGAGCGGGAGCTGCAGCACCGCGTGGAGGTCCCTGTGTCCCCAATGTCTCTGATGTCCCCAGTGTCCCCATGTCCCCAGTGTCCCCGTGTCCCCGCAGATGTGCCACCTGCTGCAGCACCTGTGCGAGCGGGAGCTGCAGCACCGCGTGGAGGTCCCTGTGTCCCCATTGTCTCTGATGTCCCCAGTGTCCCCGTGTCCCCGCAGATGTGCCACCTGCTGCAGCACCTGTGCGAGCGGGAGCTGCAGCACCGCGTCGAGGCCATCGTGGCGTTCTCGGAGCGCCACGTGCAGCGGCTGCAGCGGGACCAGCGGCGCCGCTACGGGCGCCTCATGCGCGCCCTGACCATGTCGGCGGCAGAGACCGCCCGGCGCACCCGCGAGTTCCGCTCGCCGCCGCAGGAACAGGTGGGGACAGCGCGGGGACAGAGTGAGGGCAGAATGGGGACAGAGGGAGGGCAGAGTGGTGACAGCGTGGGGACAGTGCGGGGACAGACCGGGGACAGAGTGGGGACAGAGTGGGGACAGACCGGGGACAGAGTGGGGACAGAGTGGGACAGGATGGGGACAGCATGGGGACAGAGGGAGGGCAGAGTGGTGACAGCGTGGGGACAGTGCGGGGACAGACCGGGGACAGAGTGGGGACAGAGTGGGGACAGAGGGAGGGCAGAGTGGTGACAGCGTGGGGACAGCGCGGGGACAGACCGGGGACAGAGTGGGGACAGAGTGGGACAGGATGGGGACAGCATGGGGACAGAGGGAGGGCAGAGTGGCGACAGCGTGGGGACAGTGCGGGGACAGACTGGGGACAGAGTGGGGACAGAGTGAGGGCAGAGTGGTGACAGCATAGGGACAGAGGGAGGGCAGAGTGGTGACAGCGTGGGGACAGTGCGGGGACAGACCGGGGACAGAGTGGGGACAGAGTGGTGACACTGCAGGGACAGGATGGAGACAGAGTGGGGACAGTGTGGGGACAACATGGGGACAGTGTGGGGACAGAGTGAGGGTAGGATGGGGACAGAGTGGGGACAGAGCAGGGACAAAATAGGGACAGAGCTGGGGCAGAGTGGGGACAGAATTGGAGCAGAGTGGGGACAGAATGGGGGCAGAGCAGGGACGGAGGGACAGGATGGGGATGGCATGGGGACACTGCAGAGACAGCGTGGGGACACAACTTTGGGTGGGAGAATGGGGATGTGCATGGGGACACCTTGGGGACACTGCTGGGGACATGGCCTTGGCTGGGATGTGCATGGGGACATGTGAGGGAACTGTGGGAATGGGGAAATTTGGTGGGGACGTGTGGGGCACACAGGGAGGGATGTACAAGGAGGGCCCCGTGACCTGGTGTCCCCCTGTGTCCCCATGTCCCTGTGTCCCCTTGTCCCCAGATCAACATGCTGATGCAGTACAAGGGAGGGGCTGAGGATGAGGAGTGTCCCGTGCCTGGGGACATCCGGGACGAGCTGCTGGACTTCCACAATGACCTGCTGGCCCACTGCGGTGAGGGGGGGACAGGGACACCCCCTGGGCCTGGGGACAACCCCTCTGGGCTTGGGGACAATCCCCTGGGCTTGGGGACAATATCCAGAGGTTTGAGGACACCCCCTGGGCGTGGGGACACCCCCAGTTGAACTGGGATCTCCCCATTGGAACTGGAACCCCCATTGTGGGACCCCAGAGACCCCTGGGAACACAGGGACTCCATCCAGGGATCCTGAGCCCCCTCCTTGGGGACACCCCCGTGACCCCCCCGTGTCCCCCAGGCATCGAGCTGACGGAGGAGGAAGAGGAGGAGGAGGAGGAGACGTCGCTGCGGCAGCGGCTGCTGGGGCTGGTGCAGAAGGTGGTGGGGGTCCGGGGCCCCCCCAAGGAGGAGGAGACGCCCCCCGAGGAGCCCCCGGTGCCCAGTGAGGAGGGGACAGGGGGGTGGGGACAGGGACACTCGGCTGGGTCTGGGACATGGCCGAGGTGGCATTGGGATGACACACGACGTGTCCCCAAGGAGTTGGTCAGGGTGTCCTCAAGGAGGCCAAGGTGGCATCAGGGTGACACATGAGGTGTCACCAAGGAGTTAGTCAAGATGTCCTCAAGGAGTTGGCCAAGGTGTCCTCAAGGTGACACACAAGGTGTCCCCAAGGTGCCAACCAAGATGTCACCAGGATACGGCCAACCTGTCCCCAAGGTGCTGGCCAAGATGTCCCCAAGGTGGCAGCGCTGCAGGAGCTCATCTGGCAGACCATGGGCACGGGAGTCACTGTGTCCCCAATGTCCCCATTGTCCCTGATATCCCCAATGTCCCCGATATCCCCAATGTCCCCATTGTCCCCAATGTCCCCAGGCATGCTGCAGGAGCTGATCTCGCAGACCATGGTGCACTGGGTCACTGTGTCCCCAATGTCCCCATTGTCCCCAATGTCCCCAGGCACGCTGCAGGAGCTGATCTCGCAGACCATGGTGCACTGGGTCACTGTGTCCCCACTGTCCCCATTGTCCCCAATGTCCCCAGGCACGCTGCAGGAGCTGATCTCGCAGACCATGGTGCACTGGGTCACTGTGTCCCCAATGTCCTCAATGTCCCCATTGTCCCCAATGTCCCCAGGCACGCTGCAGGAGCTGATCTCTCAGACCATGGTGCACTGGGTCACTGTGTCCCCACTGTCCCCATTGTCCCCAATGTCCCCAGGCACGCTGCAGGAGCTGATCTCGCAGACCATGGTGCACTGGGTCACTGTGTCCCCAATGTCCTCAATGTCCCCATTGTCCCCAATGTCCCCAGGCACGCTGCAGGAGCTGATCTCTCAGACCATGGTGCACTGGGTCACTGTGTCCCCAATGTCCCCATTGTCCCCATTGTCCCCAGGCACGCTGCAGGAGCTGATCTCTCAGACCATGGTGCACTGGGTCACTGTGTCCCCAGTGTCCCCATTGTCCCCAATGTCCCCAGGCACGCTGCAGGAGCTGATCTCGCAGACCATGGTGCACTGGGCACAGGAATCACTGTGTCCCCAATGTCCCCAATGTCCCTGATACCCCCAATGTCCCTGATATACCCAATGTCCCTGCTGTCCCCAGTGTCCCCACTGTCCCCATTGTCCCCAGGCACGCTGCAGGAGCTGATCTCGCAGACCATGGTGCACTGGGTCACTGTGTCCCCAATGTCCCCAATGTCCCCGTTGTCCCCATTGTCCCCAGGCACGCTGCAGGAGCTGATCTCGCAGACCATGGTGCACTGGGTCACTGTGTCCCCAATGTCCCCAATGTCCCTGATATACCCAATGTCCCTGCTGTCCCCAGTGTCCCCATTGTCCCCATTGTCCCCAGGCACGCTGCAGGAGCTGATCTCGCAGACCATGGTGCACTGGGTCACTGTGTCCCCAATATCCCCAGTGTCCCCATTGTCCCCAATGTCCCCAGGCACGCTGCAGGAGCTGATCTCGCAGACCATGGTGCACTGGGCACAGGAATCACTGTGTCCCCAATGTCCCCAATGTCCCTGATATACCCAATGTCCCTGCTGTCCCCAGTGTCCCCATTGTCCCCATTGTCCCCAGGCACGCTGCAGGAGCTGATCTCGCAGACCATGGTGCACTGGGTCACTGTGTCCCCAGTGTCCCCATTGTCCCCAGGCACGCTGCAGGAGCTGATCTCGCAGACCATGGTGCACTGGGTCACTGTGTCCCCAATGTCCCCAATGTCCCTGATATACCCAATGTCCCTGCTGTCCCCAGTGTCCCCATTGTCCCCATTGTCCCCAGGCACGCTGCAGGAGCTGATCTCGCAGACCATGGTGCACTGGGTCACTGTGTCCCCAATGTCCCCAGTGTCCCCATTGTCCCCAATGTCCCCAGGCACGCTGCAGGAGCTGATCTCGCAGACCATGGTGCACTGGGCACAGGAATCACTGTGTCCCCAATGTCCCCAATGTCCCTGATACCCCCAATGTCCCTGATATACCCAATGTCCCCAATGTCCCTGCTGTCCCCAGTGTCCCCAGTGTCCCCAATGTCCCCAGGCACGCTGCAGGAGCTGATCTCGCAGACCATGGTGCACTGGGCACAGGAATCACTGTGTCCCCAATGTCCCCAATGTCCCTGATATACCCAATGTCCCTGATATACCCAATGTCCCTGCTGTCCCCAGTGTCCCCATTGTCCCCAGTGTCCCCAGGCACGCTGCAGGAGCTGATCTCTCAGACCATGGTGCACTGGGCGCAGGAATCACTGTGTCCCCAATGTCCCCAATGTCCCTGATACCCCCAATGTCCCTGATATCCCCAATGTCCCCATTGTCCCCATTGTCCCCAGGCACGCTGCAGGAGCTGATCTCGCAGACCATGGTGCACTGGGCACAGGAATCACTGTGTCCCCAATGTCCCCAATGTCCCTGATATACCCAATGTCCCTGCTGTCCCCAGTGTCCCCATTGTCCCCATTGTCCCCAGGCACGCTGCAGGAGCTGATCTCGCAGACCATGGTGCACTGGGCGCAGGAGTCGTTCATCCAGAGCCCGGCGCTGGTGCGGGCCATGTTCAGCCTGCTGCACCGGCAGTACGACGCGCTGGGCGAGCTGGGCCGGGCGCTGCCCAAGGCCTACGCCATCAGCGCCACCTCGGTGCCCGACACCACGGCCCTGCTCGAGTGCCTGGGCCAGATCCGCTCGCTGCTCATCGTGCAGATGGGCCCCGAGGAGGAGAACCTCATGATCCAGAGCATCGGGTGCGTGGGCGGCTCAGTGTCACCCTGCGTCCTGTCTGGGTCGCCCTGTGTCCTCCTATGTCCACCTTGTGTCCTTGTGTCCCCTTGTGTCCTCTCTGTGTCACCCTGTGTCCCCCTTGTGTCCACCCTGTGTCCTCCTTATGTCCTCTCTGGATCACTCTGTGTCCTCTCTGGGTCACCCTGGGTCACCCTGTGACCCCTTGTGTTCTCCTGTGTCACTCAGTGTCCTCTTGTGTCCTCCTTATGTCCTCTCTGGGTCACCCTGTGTCTTTCTGTGTTACCTGTGTCTTTGTTTGTGTCCACCCTGTGTCCCCTTGTGTCCTCCTTGTGTCCTTCTCTGTCCTCCTGTGTCCCCCTGTGTCCCCATCCAGGCACCCTGAGAACCCCCCCAAACCCCCCAAATCTGCCCCTGAACACCCCATAACCCACCTGAACACCCCATAACTCCCACAAACCCCCCAAATGTGTCCCTAAACACCCCACAACCTCCCAAACACCCCAAATCTGCCCCTGAGCACCCCAAATCTGCCCCTGAACACCCCATTACTCCTCTGAGCCCCCCAAATCTGTGATCCCCCCCGTGTCCCCCCAGGAACATCATGAACAACAAGGTGTTCTACCAGCACCCCAAATCCCACCTCAGCACCCCATAACCCCCCCCAAAACCCCCAAATCTGCCCCTGAACACCCCCCTGACCCCCCCAAATCTGTGACCCCCCCCCAAATCTGTGCCCCCCCCAGGAACATCATGAACAACAAGGTGTTCTACCAGCACCCCAACCTGATGCGGGCCCTGGGCATGCACGAGACGGTGATGCAGGTGATGGTCAGCGTGCTGGGCGGTGGCGAGTCCAAGGTGAGCCCCCCCACCCTTGGGTGCCCCCCTGGGGACCCCCCCCGGAGCTGCCCTGACCCCCCGGTGCCCCCCAGGAGATCCGGTTCCCCAAGATGGTGACCAACTGCTGCCGCTTCCTCTGCTACTTCTGCCGCATCAGCCGCCAGAACCAGCGCTCCATGTTCGACCACCTGGGCTACCTGCTGGAGAACAGCGGCATCGGCCTGGGTGAGACACCTGGGACCCTCCCGTGTCCCCAGTGCCACCCCCATGTCCCCAGTGCCATCCCCATCCCCTCCCTGCCACCCCCTGTCCTGTCCCTGCCACCCCACCTGGGCTACCTGCTGGAGAACAGCGGCATCGGGCTGGGTGAGACACCCCAAAACCCCTCTGGGACCCCCCTGTGTCCCCAGTGCCACCCCCATGTCCCCAGTGCCACCCCCATCCCCTCCCTGCCACCCCCTGTCCTGTCCCTGCCACCCCCACCTGGGCTACCTGCTGGAGAACAGCGGCATCGGGCTGGGTGAGACACCCCAAAACCCCCCTGAGATCCCCAAAACCCTCCTGGGATCCTCCCATGTCCCCAGTGCCACCCCCATGTTCCCAGTGCCACCCCCTGTTCCCTTCCTGCCACCCCCACCTGGATTCTCACCTCCCCCTGCCACCCCTCCTTGTCACCTCTTTCCCCTCCTGTCCCCTTGGGGCTCCTTTAGGACACCATGAGGGGGGACTCTGCCCCCTACTCTGTCCCCCAGTGTCCCCTGACCTCTCTGTCCCCATTGTCCCCAAGCACACCTTGAGGAGGGGTCTCTGTCCCCAGTGTCCCCTGACCTCTCTGTCCCCATTGTCCCCAAGCACACCTTGAGGAGGGGTCTCTGTCCCCAGTGTCCCCTGACCTCTCTGAACCCATTGTCCCCAAGGCATGCAGGGCTCCACCCCCCTGGACGTGGCGGCCGCCTCCGTCATCGACAACAACGAGCTGGCGCTGGCCCTCAAGGAGCAGGACCTGGAGAAGGTGGGGACAGCCCTGTGTCACCTCCATGTCACCTCTGTGTCCCCTGGTGTCCCCTGGGGCAGGTGGTGACGTACCTGGTGGGCTGCAGAGCTGCCCCATGCTGCTGTACCCCAAAACTCTCTGTGTCCCTGTGTCCCCTCATGTCCCCTCATGTCCCCTGGTGTCCCCTCATGTCCCCGGTGTCCCCTGGGGCAGGTGGTGACGTACCTGGCGAGCTGTGGCCTGCAGAGCTGCCCCATGCTGCTGTACCCCAAAACTCTGTGTGTCCCCTCATGTCCCCGGTGTCCCCTGGGGCAGGTGGTGACGTACCTGGTGGGCTGCAGAGCTGCCCCATGCTGCTGTACCCCAAAACTCTCTATGTCCCTGTGTCCCCTCATGTCCCCTCGTGTCCCCTGGTGTCCCCTGATGTCCCCGGTGTCCCCTGGGGCAGGTGGTGACGTACCTGGCGAGCTGTGGCCTGCAGAGCTGCCCCATGCTGCTGGCCAAGGGTTACCCCGACATCGGCTGGAACCCCTGCGGGGGTGAGAAGTACCTGGACTTCCTGCGCTTCGCCGTCTTCGTCAACGGTGAGACACCCCAGGTGTCCCCAGGTGTCCCTCAGGTGTCCCCAGGTCCCCTCAAGGGGGTCCCTGTGTCCTCCCCACGCCCTTCATGGCAGCACTATCTGGATTTTATGTGCTTTGCCATCTTTGTCACTGGTGAGAGACCCCTGAGTGTCCCTCAGATGACCCTCAGGTATCCCTCAGGTGTCCTTCAGGTGTCCCCAGATGTCCCCAGGTCTCCCTCAGGTGTCCCTGTGTCCTCTCATGGGACCTCCCAGGTGTCCCCCTGTCCCCTCCTGTGGGTCTGTGTTTGGGGGTCCTTTTTAGGGGTCCCTGTGAGTTTTGGGGTCCTGTTCCTGCAGGGGAGAGCATGGAGGAGAACCCAGTTTGAGGTTCTCAGTTGGGTTCTCTGGGACTCCCTGTGCTGGGGGTTTTGGGGTTCCCTGTTTTAGGGCTTTTAGGGTTCCCTGTTTTGGGGGCTCCGGGATTCCCTGTTTTAGGGGTTCTTTGGATTTGTGTTTTGGGTATTCTGGGGTGTCCCTGTGACTTTTGGGGTCCCATTCCCCAGGGGAGAGCGTGGAGGAGAACGCCAACGTGGTGGTGCGGCTGCTGATCCGGGACTCTCTGTTTTAGGGATTTTAGGATTCCCTGTTTTAGGGATTTTTCAAGTTTGTGTTTTGGGAATTCTGGGGTGTCTCTGTGACCTTTGGGGTCCCGTTCCCAGGGGAGAGCGTGGAGGAGAACGCCAACGTGGTGGTGCGGCTGCTGATCCGGCGTCCCGAGTGCTTCGGGCCGGCGCTGCGGGGCGAGGGCGGCTCGGGGCTGCTGGCCGCCATCCAGGACGCCCTGAGCATCGCCCAGGACCCCGCCCGGGACGGGCCCAGCGGCCGCAGGGAGAGGAGGCCGTGAGCAGTGGGATTGGGATTGGGATTGGGATTGGGTGGGACTGGAATGGGAACCCTGCACGGGACGGGCCCAGCGGCCGCAGGGAGAGGAGGCCGTGAGCAGTGGGATTGGGATTGGGATTGGGATTGGGTGGGACTGGAATGGGAACCCTGCACGGGACGGGCCCAGCGGCCGCAGGGAGAGGAGGCCGTGAGCAGTGGGATTGGGATTGGGATTGGGATTGGGATTGGGATTGGGATTGGGACTGGAATGGGAACCCTGCACGGGACGGGCCCAGTGGCCGCAGGGAGAGGAGGCCGTGAGCAGTGGGATTGGGATTGGGATTGGGATTGGGATTGGGATTGGGTGGGACTGGAATGGGGACCCTGCACGGGACGGGCCCAGCGGCCGCAGGGAGAGGAGGCCGTGAGCAGTGGGATTGGGATTGGGATTGGGATTGGGATTGGGTGGGACTGGAATGGGAACCCCGCCCGGGACGGGCCCAGCGGCCGCAGGGAGAGGAGGCCGTGAGCAGTGGGATTGGGATTGGGATTGGGATTGGGTGGGACTGGAATGGGAACCCTGCACGGGACGGGCCCAGCGGCCGCAGGGAGAGGAGGCCGTGAGCAGTGGGATTGGGATTGGGATTGGGATTGGGATTGGGATTGGGATTGGGACTGGAATGGGAACCCTGCACGGGACGGGCCCAGTGGCCGCAGGGAGAGGAGGCCGTGAGCTGTGGGAATGGGAATGGGGTTGGGATTGGGATTGGGAATGGATGGGACTGGAATGGGGACCCTGCACAGGATGGGCCCAGCAGCTGCAGGGAGAGGAGGCTGTGAGCGCCAGGAGTGGGATTGGGATTGGGATTGAGTGGGGTTGGGATGGGATTGGGATTGGGATGGGATTGGGTGGGATTGGGATGGGGACCCCGCCCGGGATGGGCCCAGCAGCTGCAGGGAGAGGAGGCTGTGAGCGCCAGGAGTGGGAGTGGGGTTGGAGTTGGGATTGGGATGGGATTGGGTGGGGTTAGGAACGGAATTAGGAATGGGATTGGGAATGGGATTGGATGGGACTGGAATGGGATTGGGAATGGGATTGGGATTGGGATTGGATGGGACTGGAATGGGAATGGGAATGGGAATGGGATTGGGAATGGGAATGGAATTAGGAATGGGATTGGGATTGGGATTGGGATTGGGTGGGAATGGGATTGGAATTAGGAATGGGATTGGGATTGGGTGGGAATGGGACTGGTGCTGGGAATGGGAATGGGAATGGGAATGAGACTGGAAATGGGATTGGATGGGGTTGGGAATGGAATTGGGATCAGGAATGGGGTTGGGATGAGGATGAGGATGAGATGTCCATGGTGAGAAATGCAAGTGAGGCTGAAGACAGAACAGAGCAGGCATCAAGCCGTGAATGAAAGGGGGATGAAGATGGGCTGGAACGGGATGGGCTGAAGATGACAATTCTGGGATGGCCTGGGGGACCCCATGGTGACCCCCTGACCCCTCAGACCCCCCGTTCCCCCCAGGTTCGGGCCCGAGGAACCCCCCGAGGAGAACCGGGTGCACCTGGGCCACGCCATCATGTCCTTCTACGCCGCCCTCATCGACCTGCTGGGCCGCTGCGCCCCCGAGATGCACGTACGGACCTGGGGGCTTTGGGGGGGCTCAATGGCTCAAGGGGGTCCTGGGGGGGGTCAGCACTCGGGGTGTGACCTCCCCCCCTCCCTGTGTGACCCCCACAGCTGATCCAGGCGGGGAAGGGGGAGGCCCTGCGGATCCGGGCCATCCTGCGCTCGCTCGTCCCGCTCGAGGACCTGGTGGGGATCATCAGCCTCCCCCTGCAGATCCCGGCGCTGGGAAAAGGTGGGGAGGGGTCCCCAAACCTGGGGAGGGGTCACTGGGATGGGGGACACCCCAAAATGTGGGGACTGGGGTGGGGGACACCCCAAAATGTGGGGACCTGGTGGGGATCATCAGCCTCCCCCTGCAGATCCCAGCACTGGGAAAAGGTGAGGAGGGGTCCTCAAACCTGGGGGGGGGAAACCCCAAAATGTGGGGACTGGGATGGGGGTCATCAGCCTTGACGGCTCTTTGGGGAGTTTTGGGGTGCCCTGAGTTTTGGGGTCCCGCAGATGGGAACGTGGTGGAGCCCCCCATGGCCACCAGCCGGGCTGGGGGACTCTGGGACCCCAGGATTTGGGGGGATTCCTGGCTGTTTTAGGGTTTGTGGAGTTTTGGGGTGCCCTAAATTTTGGGGTCCCGCAGATGGGAACGTGGTGGAGCCCCCCATGGCCACCAGCCGGGCTGGGGGACTCTGGGACCCCAGGATTTGGGGGGATTCCTGGCTGTTTTAGGGTTTGTGGAGTTTTGGGGTGCCCTAAATTTTGGGGTCCCGCAGATGGGAACGTGATGGAGCCCCATATGGTCACCAGCCAGGCTGGGGGGCTCTGGGGACCCCAGGATTTGGGGGATTTCGGGCTGTTTTAGGATTTGGGTCTGTTTGTGGAATTTTGGGGTGCTCTGAATTTTGGGGTCCCGCAGATGGGAACGTGGTGGAGCCCCGCATGGCCGCCAGCTTCGTCCCCGAGCACAAGGCGCCCATGGTGCTGTTCCTGGACCGCGTTTATGGCGTGCAGAACCAGGAGTTCCTGCTCCACGTGCTGGAAGTGGGGTTCCTGCCCGACATGCGTGCGGCCGCCTCGCTGGACACGGTGAGGGGCACCCCAAAACCCCCCGGGGCTCCCCAAAACTCCCTGCAGGGTTCATTGGGCCTGCAGCAGGGGCCTCGGGTCAGCCCTGTTCCCTCCTGTGGGTCTGGGATCCCCCAAATGTTCCTTATCGGATGGGTGTGGGGTCCCCCAAATATTCCCTATGGGATGGGTGTGGGGTCACCCCAACCTTCCCTGTTTGACCCCCCAAATCTTCCATATGGGACAGGTGTGGGGTCCCCCAAATCTCTCCTGTGAGATGGATTTGGGGTCACCCCAATCTTCCCTGTTTGAGCCCCCCAGATCTCCCCCATGGGTTCCCTGTTTGACCCCCCAGATCTTCCATACGGGGTGGATTTGGGCTCACCCCAATCTTCCCTATTTGATGCCCCAAATATTCCATATGGGATGGATTTGGGATCACCCAAATCTTCCCTGTTTGATGCCCCAAATATTCCATATGGGATGGATTTGGGATCACCCAAATCTTCCCTATTTGATGCCCCAAATATTCCATATGGGATGGATTTGGGATCACCCAAATCTTCCCTATTTGATGCCCCAAATATTCCATATGGGATGGATTTGGGCTCACCCCAATCTTCCCTATTTGATGCCCCAAATATTCCATATGGGATGGATTTGGGATCACCCAAATCTTCCCTGTTTGATCCCCCAGATCTCCCCCATGGGTTCCCTGTCTGACCCCCCAAATCTCCTCTACGGGACACATCCTCAAACTCCCCCCCATGGGACCCCTCTGTCCCCTGTCCCCTCAGGGTGTGTCCCCACCCTGTGTGACCCCCCTGGTGTCCCCCCCAGGCCACGTTCAGCCCCATATCTCCCCACGGGACACACATCCCCAAAGTCCCCCCATGGGACACCCCTGTCCCCTGTCCCCTCAGGGTGTGTCCCCACCCCGTGACCCCCCCGGTGTCCCCCCCAGGCCACGTTCAGCACGACGGAGATGGCGCTGGCGCTGAACCGGTACCTGTGCCTGGCGGTGATGCCGCTCATCACCAAGTGCGCGCCGCTGTTCGCGGGCACCGAGCACCGCGCCATCATGGTGGACTCCATGCTGCACACCATCTACCGCCTGTCGCGCGGCCGCGCCCTCACCAAGGCCCAGCGCGACGCCATCGAGGAGTGCCTCATGGCCCTCTGCAGGTGGGACCCCAAACGGGCACCAAAATGGCACCGTGGGCCCCGGGGGTTGGTGGCTGGCACCAAAAGCAGCCCAACTCTTGTGGGGAACCCAACCGCCATGGCCAACCCAACCGCCATGGCCAACCCAACCCAACCGCCATGGCCAACCCAACCGCCATGGCCAAGCCAACCCAACCGCCATGGTCAAGCCATTGACCGCCATGGTCAACTCAACCTCCATGGTCTACTCAGCTGCCATGGTCAGCCCAACCCCATGGTCATCCCAAACGTCAAGGCCAACCCAACTGCTATGGTCAGCCTAACTGTGTCATGGTCAACCCAACTGCCATGGTCAGCGCAACTCTTATGGCCAGCCCAACCGCCATGATGAACCCAGCTATCATGGCCAACCCAACCACCATGGTCAACCCAACCGCGATGGCCAACTCAACCACCATGGTCAACTCATCCCCCCTGGTCAACTCAACTCTTGTGGCCAACCCACCTGCCATGACCAACTCAACTGCCATGGTCAACTCAACTCTCATGGCCAACCCAACCACCATGATCAACCCAACTGCCATGGTCAACCTGACCACCATGGTCCACCCAATCCCCATGGCCAACTCAAGAGCCATGGTCAACTCAACCTTCAAGGCCAACCCAACCTTCTTGGTCAACTCAACTGCCATGGCCAACCCAATCCCACAGCCAGCCACTCCCCGTGTCCCTCCCCGAGGCCCAGCATGACCCCACCGAGTGTCTCATGGTGAACCCCCAGACCCCCCTGACCCCCCATTTCCCCCCCAGGTACATCCGCCCCTCGATGCTGCAGCACCTCCTGCGCCGCCTCGTCTTCGACGTGCCCATCCTCAACGAGTTCGCCAAGATGCCCCTCAAGGTAAGCCCCGGGGGTGTCCCGGTGCCCTGACCCCCCCAGAGTGACCACAGAGCGACCACAGAGTGACCACCCGTGTCCCCCCAGCTGCTGACCAACCACTACGAGCGCTGCTGGCGGTACTACTGCCTGCCCAGCGGCTGGCCCAACATGGGCGTCAGCTCCGAGGAGGAGCTGCACCTCACCAGGAAGCTCTTCTGGGGCATCTTCGACTCCCTGGCGCACAAGGTGGGGTCACGGGGCGGTGACACACCTGGGGGACACACCTTGGTGGGGGGACACCTGGGGGGACACACCTGAGGGACACACCTTGGGGAGATACACCTGGGTGTGGTGGTGGTGGGGATGGAGTGGTGGTGGGAACGTGGGAATGGGGGTGAGGGGGACGTGGGGACAGAGGGGACACTGGGACACGGAGCTGGGGGTGATGGGATATGGGCATGATGGGGATATGAGGATGGAGCTTCCCCAGGAAGCTCTTCTGGGGCATCTTCGACTCCCTGGCGCACAAGGTGGGGTCACGGGGCGGTGACACACCTGGGGGACACACCTTGGTGGGGAGACACCTGGGGAGACACACCTGAGGGACATACCTGAGGGACAGACCTGGGTATGGTGGTGGTGGGGACGTGGTGGTGGTGGGAACGTGGGAATGGGGGTGAGGGGGATGTGGAGAGGTTGGGGTGGGGGGGGATGAGGATGTGGGGACAGTTGTGACATTGGGACACAGAGCTGGGGGTGATGGGGACGTGGGCATGATGGGGACATGGGGATGGTGACACTGCGGGGAGCATGGGGATGGTGACAATCAAGGGACATGGGGATGGTGACATTGGGGGGAGATGGGGATGGTCATAGTGGGGACAAGGGCATGGTGACAGTGGGAATATGGGGATGGTGACACTGGGGACATGGGGATGGTGACAATCAAGGGACATGGGGATGGTGACACTGGGAATATGGGGATGGTGACATTGGGGTCATGGGGATGGGGGTGATGGTAGCACTGGGGAGATGAGGATGGTGACACTGGGAACGTGGACATGGGGATGGTGACATTAGGGGGAACATGGGATGGTGACACTGGTGCCACAGGGATGATGATACTGGGGGGACACGGGGATGGTGACACTGGGGACATGGCCCTGGTGACACTGGTGCCACAGGGATGATGACGTTGAGGGAACACGGTGCTGGTGCCTGTGGTGGCCCTGGTGTCACCGGTGCCACAGGGATGATGACACTAAGGGAACATGGCACTGGTGCCACAGGGATGATGACACTGGGGACATGGCCCTGGTGACACTGGTGCCACAGGGATGATGACGTTGAGGGAACACGGTGCTGGTGCCTGTGGTGGCCCTGGTGTCACCGGTGCCACAGGGATGATGACACTAAGGGAACATGGCACTGGTGCCACAGGGATGATGACACTGGGGACATGGCCCTGGTGACACTGGTGCCACAGGGATGATGACGTTGAGGGAACACGGTGCTGGTGCCTGTGGTGGCCCTGGTGTCACCGGTGCCACAGGGATGATGACACTAAGGGAACATGGCACTGGTGCCACAGGGATGATGACACTGGGGACATGGCCTTGGTGTCACCTGAGCCACAGGGATGATGACGTTGAGGGAACATGGTGCTGGTGCCTGTGGTGGCCCTGGTGACACAGGGCTGGTGACACCAGTGCCACAGGGATGATGACACTGGAGGAACATGGCTCTGGTGGCTGTGGTGGCCCTGGTGACACCGGTGCCACAGGGATGATGACACTGGAGGAACATTGCACTGATGGCACCCGTGCCACAGGGACGATGACACTGGGGGATCACGGGGCTGGTGCCTGTGGTGGCCCCGGTGTCACTGGTGCCACAGGGACAATGACACTGAAGGATCATGGCACCAGCTCCTGTGGTGGCCCTGGTGTCACCGGTGCCACAGGGACGATGACACTGGGGACATGGCCCTGGTGTCACCGGTGCCACAGGTATGATGACACTGGTGACATGGCCCTGGTGTCACCGGTGCCACAGGGACGATGACACTGGGGGATCACGGCACCAGTTCCGGTGGTGGCCGTGGTGTCACCGTGTCCCCGTCCCCGCAGAAGTTCGAGGCCGAGCTCTACAAGCTGGCCATGCCGTGTCTCTGCGCCATCGCCGGCGCGCTCCCGCCCGACTACGTGGACGCCAGCTACTCGTCCCGCACCGAGAAGAAGGCCTCGGTGGACGCCGAGGGCAACTTCGACCCCAAACCCGTCGAGACCCTCAAGTAGGGCTCCCACAGACCCCTCCCCTGCCAGCAGGAGCCCCCCGACCCCATCTGTGCTCATCCAGATCCTCATTGAGAGCCCCCAGCCCCATCCAGATCCTCATGGAGAGCCCCCAACCCCATCTGTCCTCATCCAGATCCTCATGAAGATCCCCCGTCCTCATCCAGATCCTTTTGGAGAGCCCCCAACCCCATCCAGATCCTCGTGGAGAGCCCCCAACCCCATCCCTCCTCATGCAGAGACCCCCGACCCCATCTGTCCTCATCCAGATCCTCATGAACATCCCCCGTCCTCATCCAGATCCTCATGGAGAGCCCCCAACCCCATCCCTCCTCATCCAGAGACCCCCGACCCCATCCATGCTCATGGAGAGCCCCCAGCCCCATCCAGATCCTCATGGAGACCCCCAAACCCACTCATCCTCATCCAGATCCTCATGGAGACCCCCCGACCCCATTTATCCCCCTGGAGAACCCTCCCCAACCCCATCTGTCCTTATCCAGAAATCCCCAATTTGTCCATCCTCTTCCTCATCCTCATGGAGACCCCTCCCCAGTCCGTCCTCATCCTCATGGAGACCCCCACCCTCTCCCAGACCCCCCCAACCCCATCCAGGCCCCCATGGGGTTCATCCATCCTCATCCTCGTGTCCCCCCTGACCCCGCTGTCCCCCCCTGACCCCGCTGTCCCCCCTGACCCTGCTGTCCCCCCTGACCCCGCTGTCCCCCCTGACCCCAGTGTCCCCCCCTGACCCCAATGTCCCCCCTGACCCCACTGTCCCCCCCTGATCCCGCTGTCCCCCCTGATCCCGCTGTCCCCCCTGACCCCACTGTCCCCCCCCGACCCCGCTGTCCCCCCTGACCCCGCTGTCCCCCCCTGACCCCGCTGTCCCCCCTGACCCCACTGTCCCCCCCTGACCCCAATGTCCCCCCTGACCCCAGTGTCCCCCCTGACCCCGCTGTCCCCCCTGACCCCGCTGTCCCCCCCTGACCCTGCTGTCCCCCCTGACCCCAATGTCCCCCCTGACCCCAGTGTCCCCCCCTGACCCCAATGTCCCCCCTGACCCCGATGTCCCCCCTGACCCCACTGTCCCCCCCTGACCCCGCTGTCCCCCCTGACCCCGCTGTCCCCCCTGACCCCAATGTCCCCCCCTGACCCCAATGTCCCCCCTGACCCCGCTGTCCCCCCCTGACCCCGCTGTCCCCCCTGACCCCAGTGTCCCCCCCTGACCCCGCTGTCCCCCCTGACCCCAGTGTCCCCCCTGACCCCGCTGTCCCCCCTGACCCCAATGTCCCCCTTGACCCCACTGTCCCCCCCTGACCCCAATGTCCCCCCTGACCCCGCTGTCCCCCTGTGTCCCCCCAGTGTCATCATCCCCGAGAAGCTCGACGGTTTCATCAACAAATACGCCGAGTACACGCACGAGAAGTGGGCTTTCGACAAGGTGGGGACCCCCCGAGACCCCCCAGACCTGTGGGACCCCCCAGACCCCTGGGACACCCCCGGGATCCCCTCTGAGCCCCCCAAAATCTGCACAACCCCGGAGCTGCTGCAGCTCCATGGAGCGCCTGGCACCTTCAACCCTTGGTGACCCCCCAAATCTCTGTTATCCCCCCAAATCTCCTCTGTCACCCCCAAATCTCCTGTGTCCCCCCTAAATCTCCTCTGTCCCCCCACCCTGATGTCCCCAAGCCCCCCTGACTTTTGTGTCCCCCTCCCCAGATCCAGAACAATTGGACTTTTGGGGAGACCGTGGACGAAGAAGCCAAAACCCACCCGATGCTGAGACCCTACAAAACCTTTTCTGAGAAGGTACCACGGGACCCCCCGCGACCCCCCCAAAAACCCAGGGGGACACCCCCAGACCCAGAGGGTCTCCCCGAACCTGGAGGGACACCCCCAAACCCAGGGGGACACCCCCAAACCCCCAGGACCAGGAGGTCTCCTGGTGGCCACCAAAGCCGCGTTGGGACCCCCCAGCCCCTTCCCTCCTCCTCCTCATAGACCCCCCCCAAACCCCCTGATTTTGGGGAGCCCCCTGACCCCCCAGACCCAGAGGGACCCCCCCCAAACCCAGGGGCACACCCCCAAACCCAAATGGACACCCCCAGACCCAAGGGGACACCCCCAGACCCACCAAGGCCACGCTGGGAGCCCCCAGCCCCTTCCCTCCTCCTCCTCATGGACCCCCCCCAAACCCCCCGATTTTGGGGTGCCCCCTGACTTCCCCTGACCCCCCCAGACCCAGAGGGACCCCTCAAACCCATATGGACCCCTCAAACGCAGGGGGGACACCCCCAGACCCACCAAGGCCACGCTGGGAGCCCCCAGCCCCTTCCCTCCTCCTCCTCCTCATGGACCCCCCCAAACCCCCCGATTTTGGGGTGCCCCCTGACCCCTTGGGACCCCCCAGGACAAGGAGATTTACCGGTGGCCCATCAAGGAGTCCCTCAAGGCCATGCTGGCCTGGGAGTGGACGGTGGAGAAGGCGCGGGAAGGGGAGGACGAGCGCGCGGAGAAGAAGAAAACGCGAAAAATCTCCCAAAACGCCCAGGTGGGACCCCAAAAACACCTCGGGAGGGGATTGGGGCGCCCCAAAATCATCTGGGTGGAGGTGAGGGGTGTGGAGAACCCCAAAAACACCTCGGGAGGGGATTGGGGCACCCCAAAATCGTCTGGGGGAGGTGGAGGGGGGGTTAAGGGTGTGGAGAACCCCAAAATCACCTTGGGGGAGATGAGGGGTGTGGAGAACCCCAAAAACACCTCGGGAGGGGATTGGGGCACCCCAAAATCGTCTGGGGGGAGGTGAGGGGTGTGGAGAACCCCAAAAACACCTCGGGAGGGGATTGGGGCACCCCAAAATCGTCTGGGTGTGTGGAGAACCCCAAAAACACCTCGGGAGGGGATTGGGGCACCCCAAAATCGTCTGGGTGTGTGGAGAACCCCAAAAACACCTCGGGAGGGGATTGGGGCGCCCCAAAATCATCTGGGTGTGTGGAGAACCCCAAAAACACCTCGGGAGGGGATTGGGGCACCCCAAAATCGTCTGGGGGGAGGTGAGGGGTGTGGAGAACCCCAAAAACACCTCGGGAGGGGATTGGGGCGCCCCAAAATCGTCTGGGGGGAGGTGAGGGGTGTGGAGAACCCCAAAATCACCTCGGGGGGAGGTGGTGAGGGGAAAAGGGAGACCCCGAAATATTGGGGACCCCCTGACCCCCCCCAAATGTCACCCCCCCCCCCCCCAGGCCACCTACGACCCCTCCCATGGGTACAGCCCCCAGCCCGTGGACCTGAGTGGGGTCACTCTGTCCAGGGAGCTGCAGGTGAGGGTCCCAATGTCCCCAAATGTCACCTCAGTGTCACCCCAGGGTCACCCAGTGTCACCCCAATGACCCCAAATGTCCCCCAGTGTCACCCCAGTGTCACCTCAGTGTCACCCAGTGTCGCCCAGTGTCACCCCAGAGTCACCCAGTGTCACCCCAGTGTCGCCCAGTGTCACCCCAGAGTCACCCAATGTCACCCCAGTGTCACCCAGTGTCACTTCAGTGTCACCCAGTGTCGCCCAGTGTCACCCAATGTCACCCAGTGTCGCCCAGTGTCACCCAGTGTCACCCCAGTGTCGCCCAGTGTCACCCCAGAGTCACCCAATGTCACCCCAGGGTCACCCAGTGTCACCCCAGTGTCACCCAGTGTCACCTCAGTGTCGCCCAGTGTCACCCCAGAGTCACCCAATGTCACCCCAGTGTCACCCAATGTCACCCCAATGTCACCCAGTGTCACCCCAGAGTCACCCCAGAGTCACCCAATGTCACCCCAGTGTCACCCAGTGTCACTTCAGTGTCACCCAGTGTCGCCCAGTGTCACCCAATGTCACCCAGTGTCGCCCAGTGTCACCCAGTGTCACCCCAGTGTCGCCCAGTGTCACCCCAGAGTCACCCAATGTCACCCCAGTGTCACCCAGTGTCACCCCAGTGTCACCCAGTGTCGCCCAGTGTCACCTCAGTGTCACCCAGTGTCACCCAATGTCACCCAGTGTCGCCCCAGTGTCACCCCAATGTCACCCAGTGTCACCCAGAGTCACCCCAGTGTCACCCCAATGTCACCCAGTTTCATCCCAGTGTCACCCCAATGTCACCTAATGTCACCCCAGTGTCCCCCAGTGTCCCCAATGTCACCCCAGTGTCACCCCAGTGTCCCCCAGTGCCACCCCAGTGTCACCCCAATGTCACCCCAATGTCACCCCAGTGTCATCCCAGAGTCACCCAGTGTCACCCCAATGTCACCCCAATGTCACCCAGTGTCACCCAGTGTCACCCCAGAGTCACCCCAGTGTCATCCCAGAGTCACCCAATGTCACCCCAATGTCACCAGTGTCACCCAGTGTCCTTTTGTGTCCCTCCTGTCCTCCTGAGACCCCCAAATGTCCCCCCCAATGTCTCCTTGTGTTCCCTGGGGTCCTCCCCGGGGGGTGGCCCCTAAACCCACCCCAAATATCCCCCTAAGACCACCCCAAATTCCCCCAAATCCCCCCTAAAACCACCCCGAATCCTCCCAGATCTCCACTAAAACCACCCCAAATCACCTCAAATGCCCCCAAAACCACCCCAAATCCCCCGGAAACCACCCCAAATCCCTCCTAAATCCCCCGAAAACCACCCCAAATCACCTCAAATGCCCCCAAAACCACCCCAAATCCCCCGAAAACCACCCCAAATCCCTCCTAAATCCCCCGAAAACCACCCCAAATCCCTCCTAAATCCCCCGAAAACCACCCCAAATCCCTCCCAAATCCCCCGGAAACCACCCCAAATCGCCTCAAATCCCCCTAAAACCACCCCAAATCCCTCCTAAATCCCCCGAAAACCACCCCAAATCACCTCAAATGCCCCCAAAACCACCCCAAATCCCCCGAAAACCACCCCAAATCCCTCCCAAATCCCCCGGAAACCACCCCAAATCGCCTCAAATCCCCCTAAAACCACCCCAAATCCCTCCTAAATCCCCCTAAAACCACCCCAAATCCCTCCTAAATCCCCCGAAAACCACCCCAAATCCCTCCTAAATCCCCCGAAAACCACCCCAAATCCCTCCTAAATCCCCTAAAACCACCCCAAATCGCCTCAAATCCCCCGAAAACCACCCCAAATCCCTCCTAAATCCCCCTAAAACCACCCCAAATCCCTCCTAAATCCTCCGAAAACCACCCCAAATCGCCTCAAATCCCCCGAAAACCACCCCAAATCCCTCCTAAATCCCCCAAAAACCACCCCAAATCACCTCAAATGCCCCCAAAACCACCCCAAATCCCTCCTAAATCCCCCTAAAACCACCCCAAATCGCCTCAAATCCCCCTAAAACCACCCCAAACCCCCCCTAAAATCTCCCCAAATCCCCCCAAACCCCCCAGGCCATGGCGGAGCAGTTGGCTGAGAACTACCACAACACCTGGGGCCGCAAGAAGAAGCTGGAGCTGGAGGCCAAGGGTGAGACCCCTCCCCAAATTGGGGGGGACCCCTGGGACACCCCCTGGGATACCCCCTGGGTCACCCTCGACCCCAGGGGAGCTGGAGGCCGAGGGTGAGACCCCTCCCAAATTGGGGGGGGACCCCCTAAAACACCTCCAGGACACCCCTGGGACACCCCCAAAGCCCAGGGGAGCTGGAGGCCGAGGGTGAGACCCCTCCCCAAATTGGGGGGGACCCCTGGGACACCCCCTGGGATACCCCCTGGGTCACCCCCAAAGCCCAGGGGAGCTGGAGGCCGAGGGTGAGACCCCTCCCCAAATTGGGAGGGTCCAGGGTGTAATTTGGGAGTTCCAAGGAGTTGAATTGGACGTTCCATGGAGTGGATTTGGGGGTTCCAAGGGGCGGATTTGGGGGTTCCAAGGGGTGGATTTGGGGGTTCCAAGGAGTGGATTTGGGGGATTCCACAGAGTTGATTTGGGGTCTCCAATGGGTGGATTTGGGGGTTCCAAGGGGTGGATTTAGGGGTTCCAAGGGGTGGATTTAGGGGTTCCAAGGAGTGGATTTGGGGGATTCCACAGAGTTGATTTGAGGGTTCCAAGGGTTGAATTTGGGGTCTCCAATGGGTGGATTTGGGGGTTCCAAGGGGTGGATTTGGGGGATTCCACAGAGTTGATTTGGGGGTTCCAAGGGGTGGATTTGGGGGTTCCAAGGGGCGGATTTGGGGGTTCCAAGGGGTGGATTTAGGGGTTCCAAGGGGTGGATTTGGGGGATTCCACAGAGTTGATTTGGGGGTTCCAAGGGGCGGATTTGGGGGTTCCAAGGGGTGGATTTGGGGGTTCCAGGGGGTGGATTCGGGGTCTCCAATGGGTGGATTTGGGGGTCCCAAGGGGTGGATTTAGGGGTTCCAAGGGGTGGATTTAGGGGTTCCAAGGAGTGGATTTGGGGGATTCCGCAGAGTTGATTTGGGGGTTCCAAGGGGCGGATTTGGGGGTTCCAGGGGGTGGATTCGGGGTCTCCAATGGGTGGATTTGGGGGTTCCAAGGGGCGGATTTGGGGGTTCCAGGGGGTGGATTCGGGGTCTCCAATGCCGCTTTGGGGCGCAGGAGGGGGCTCCCACCCGCTGCTGGTGCCCTACGACACGCTGACGGCCAAGGAGAAGGCGCGGGACCGCGAGAAGGCCCAGGAGCTGCTCAAGTTCCTGCAGCTGCACGGATACGCCGTGACCCGGTCAGGGGACGCCCCAGAACCCCCCGGGGCACCCCAAAACACCCTCAGGGACAGCTGGAACCCCAGCGGGAACCTGGAGCGTGGGGTGGGGGGACAGCAGGGACTGGGGAGGGAATTGGGGGTCCTGGGGGGGGGAGTCTAAAAGCACAAAAATCCCCAAATTTAGGGGGGATTTGGGAGTGGGGGGGTGCCAGGGGTCCAGGTATTGGGGGGATTCCAAAATCCCCCCAAAATCCGCACAAAATCCTCCCAAAATTCCCGCAAAATCCTCCTAAGATCCCCCTATAATTCCCCCCAAAATTCCCCCCAAAATCCCCCCCAATCTCCCTAAAATCCCCCTAAAATCCCCCCAAAATCCCCCTAAAATCCCTCCAATAAATCTCTTTTAAATTCCCTCAAAATCCCTCCAAAATCCCCCTAAAATCCCCCAAAAATCTCCTTAAAATTCCCCCAAAATCCCCCCAAAATCCCCCAAAACCCCCCCTAAAATCCGGGGGTGACCCCAAGATGTGCAGCACTCGGGGCTGGTGGGAGCGCAGGGGGGTCTGGGGGATTTGAGGGCACTTTAGGCGGTCTCAGGGTGATTTGGGGAGGGGGTTCTGAGTTTCGGGGTCCCCCCCCCGTGGCAGGGGGCTCAAGGACATGGAGCTGGACACGTCGTCCATCGAGAAACGCTTCGCCTTCGGCTTCCTGCAGCAGCTGCTGCGCTGGATGGACATCGCCCAGGAGTTCATTGCGCACCTGGGTGAGACCCCAAAACCATGGGAGCACCCCAAAATCCTGGGGGGCACCCTCAGACCCCCCCCAGACCCCCCAAATATTCCCTGATCCCCTAGGAGTCCCCCAAGTCCTCTGGTAGTTCCCCCAGCCTTTGGCTGGACATCGCCCAGGAGTTCATTGCGCTCCTGGGTGGGACCCCAAATCTTGGGGGACACCCCGGAATCCTGGGGGACACCCCAAATTCCGTGAGGGTCACCCCAAAATCCTGGGGGGGCACCTTCAGAACCCCTCAAATCCCTGTGATCCCCCCCAAATCCTCTGCGAGTCCCCCAGCCCTTGGCTGGACATCGCCCAGGAGTTCATTGCGCCCCTGGGTGAGACCCCAAAATCCCGGGGGGCAACCCCAAAACCCTGGGGGACACCCCAAAATCCCCGGGGACATCTTCAGATACCCCCCAAACCCCTGCGATCCCCCCCAAATCCTCTGTGAGTTTCCCAAACTCCTGTGAGTCCCCCAAATCCCCTGGGAGTTCCCTTGGCTGGACATCACCCAGGAGCTCATTTTGGTGAGACCCCAAATCTTGGGGACACCCCCAAAATCCTGGGGGTCACCCCAATGCCACGGGACCCCCCCCAGGACCCCCCTGACCCCCATTTCCCCCCCCAGAGGCCGTGGTCAGCAGCGGGAGGGTGGAGAAATCCCCCCACGAGCAGGAGATCAAGTTCTTCGCCAAGGTCGGGGGGACCCCAAAAATGGGGAGGGGACACCCCAAAAATGGGGAGAGACACCACAAAAATGGGGGGGGGAAACACCCCAAAAACGGGGACAGGAGACCCCAAAATTGGGGAGGGGACACCTCAAAAATTGGGGAGAGAACACCCCAAAAATGGGGAGGAGCGACCCCAAAAACAGGGAGGGGAGACCCCAAAACTGAGGAGGGAACGCCCAAAATCAGGGATGGGACACCCCAAAATCAGGGAGGGGACACCCCAAAATTGGAGATGGGAGACCCCAAAAATGGGGAGGGGACACCCCAAAATTGGGGGGAAAACACCCCAAAAATGGGGACAGGAGACCCCAAAATTGGGGAGGGGACACCCCGGAAATGGAGATGGGAGACCCAAAATTCAGGGATGGGATGCCCCAAAAATGGGGAGGGACACCCTAAAATCAAGGAGGGGACACCTCAGAAATGGAGGGGACACCTCAAAAACGGGAGGGACACCCCAACAACAGAGATAGGAGACCCCAAAACTGGGGAGGGGACACCCCAAAATTGGAGATGGGAGACGCCAAAATCGGGGATGAGGCACCCCAAAATTTGGGATGGGAGACCCCAAAAATGGAGGAGAGGCTCCCTAAAATTGGGGATGAGGCACCCCAAAATTTGGGATGGGACACCCCAAAAACTGGGGTGGGACGCCCCAAAAACCCCTCAAAATGGGGGAGGACAGGGGATTTTGGGGTTTCTCTGGGGTATTCGGGGTTTTTGCGGGGTATTTGGGGTCTCTAAGGGATATTTGGGGTTCCCTGTGGGTTTTGGGGGTCCCGCTGACCCCTCCCCGGTGCCCCCCCAGATCCTGCTGCCCCTCATCAACCAGTACTTCCACAACCACTGCCTCTATTTCCTGTCCACCCCGGCCCAGGTGCTGGGCAGCGGCGGCCACGCCTCCAACAAGGAGAAGGAGATGATCACCAGGTGGGACCCCAAAATCGCCCTGAATTCCCCACAAAATCCCCTGAAATCCCACCCACAAAATCCCCACAAAATCCCCACAAAATCCCCTAAAATCCCACCCCAAAATCCTCCCAAAATCCCACCCCAAACACCCCTCCAAGCCTCAAATCCCAACCCCAAAACCCCCACAAAATCCCCACAAAATCCCCTAAAATCCCACCCCAAAATCCTCCCAAAATCCCACCCCAAACACCCCTCCGAGCCTCAAATCCCAACCCCAAAACCCCCCAAAATCCCCACAAAATCCCCTAAAATCCCACCCCAAAATCCTCCCAAAATCCCACCCCAAACACCCCTCCGAGCCTCAAATCCCAACCCCAAAACCCCCCCAAAATCCCCACAAAATCCCCTAAAATCCCACCCCAAAATCCCACCCCAAAATCCCACCCCAAACACCCCTCCGAGCCTCAAATCCCAACCCCAAAATCCCACAAAATCCCCACAAAATCCCCTAAAATCCCACCCCAAAATCCTCCAAAATCCCACCCCAAACACCCCTCCGAGCCTCAAATCCCAACCCAAAACCCCCCAAAATCCCCACAAAATCCCCTAAAATCCCACCCCAAAATCCTCCCAAGATCCACCCCAAACACCCCTCCGAGCCTCAAATCCCAACCCCAAAATCCCCACAAAATCCCCACAAAATCCCCTAAAATCCCACCCCAAAATCCCACCCCAAACACCCCTCCGAGCCTCAAATCCCAACCCCAAAATCCCCACAAAATCCCCACAAAATCCCCTAAAATCCCACCCCAAAATCCTCCCAAGATCCCACCCCAAACACCCCTCCAAGCCTCAAATCCCAACCCCAAAATCCCCACAAAATCCCCACAAAATCCCCTAAAATCCCACCCCAAAATCCTCCCAAAATCCCACCCCAAACACCCCTCCGAGCCTCAAATCCCAACCCCAAAATCCCCACAAAATCCCATGCCCAAAATCCCTCGAGCCCCAAATCCTAACCCCAAACCCCCGCTAAAATCCCACCCCCAAAATCCCCTAAAATCCATGCCAAAATCCCACCCCCAAAATCCCCACAAAATCCCAGCCCAACCCCCCCCAAAATCCCATCCCAAAATCCCTCAAGCCCCAAATCCCACCCCAAAACCCCCCCGAAGTCCCACCCCAAATCCCCCTCCAAGCCCCAATTCCCAACCACAAAAACCCCTGAGCCCCAAATCCCACCCCAAAATCTGACCAAACCCAAAATCCCCGAGCCCCAAATCCCACCCCAAAATCCCCCCGAGCCCAAAATCCCAACCCCAAAATCCCAACCCCAAAATTCCCCCACACCCCAAATCCCCATGCAAACCCCTCAAATTTCGCATTTGGGGTCCCTGGGGTTTGGGCTTTTCGGGACCCCCCTGACCCCTTTGTGTCCCTCCTGGGGGGTTTTGGGGACCCCCCCTGACCCCTTTGTGTCCCTCCTGGGGGGGTTTTGGGGAACCCCCCTGACCCCTTTGTGTCCCTCCCTTGGGGTTTGGGGTTTTGGGGACCCCCCCTGACCCCTTTGTGTCCCTCCCTTGGGGTTTGGGGTTTTGGGGACCCCCCCCGACCCCTTTGTGTCACCCCCAGCCTCTTCTGCAAACTGGCCGCGCTCGTCCGGCACCGCGTGTCCCTGTTCGGTAACTGGGGACACTGGGGACACTGTGGGGGCACTGGGGGGATTGGGGGACGCTGGGGACGCTTGGGTGACACGGGGACACACTGGGGAGACACTGTGGGGGCACTGAGGGGGACACTTGGACACAGGGACTCACTGGGGACACTGGGATGGACTGGGGACACTGGGGGGCACTGAGGATACTGGGGGGCACTGGGAACACTGGGGTGACACTGGAGGGGCACTGGGGACACTGTGGGGACCCTGAGGGGGACTGGGAGGAACTGGAGACACTGGGGGGACACTGTGGGGGCACTGGGGACACTGTGGGGGCTCTGGGGACACTGGGGGGGGACCCTGGAGACACACTGGAGGGACACTGGGGGGGACTGGGCACACACTAGGGGACACTGGAGACACACTGGGGACACACAGCGGGGCACTGGGGACACTGGGACGCACTGGAGGGACACTGGGACGCACTGGGACATACTGGGGTGTCACACTGGGACCAGCGGTGGCGCTGTCCCCCCCCAGCTGATGTCCCTGTCCCCACCCAGGCACAGACGCCCCGGCCGTGGTGAACTGTCTGCTCATCCTGGCACGGTCCCTGGACGCCAGGTGGGGACAGCGGGGACACGGCGGCCGTGTGTCCATCCGTGTGTGTCTGTCACCGTGTCCCCGATGTCCCCAGTGTCCCCAGGACGGTGATGAAGTCGGGCTCCGAGATCATCAAGGCCGGGCTGTGTCCCTGATACCCCCATTGTCCTGGATGTCCCCAATGTCCTGGGTGTCCCCAGTACCCCCAATGTCCCCAGTGTCCCCGATGTCCCCAAGACGGTGATGAAGTCGGGCTCCGAGATCATCAAGGCTGGGCTGTGTCCCTGTGTCCCTGTGCCAGTCCCCATGTCCCCAATGTCCCCAATGTCCCTGCTGTCCCCAGTGTCCCCAACATCCCCAGTGTCCCCAGGACGGTGATGAAGTCGGGCCCCGAGATCGTCAAGGCCGGGCTGTGTCCCTGTGTCTGTGCCCATGTCCCCAATGTCCCCAATGTCCCTGCTGTCCCCAATGTCCCCAACATCCCCAATGTCCCCAGGACGGTGATGAAGTCGGGCCCCGAGATTGTCAAGGCCGGGCTGTGTCCCTGTGTCCCTGTGTCCCTGTGTCCCTGTGTCTCTGTGTCCCTGTGTCAGTGTCCATGAACCTGATACCCCCAATGTCCCCAATGTCCCAGCTGTCCCCAAATGTCCCCAACGTCCCCGCTGTCCCCAGGACGGTGATGAAGTCGGGCCCCGAGATTGTCAAGGCCGGGCTGTGTCCCTGTGTCCCTGTGTCCCTGTGTCCCTGTGTGTGTGTCCCTGTGTCAGTGTCCATGTCCCTGATACCCCCAATGTCCCCAATGTCCCAGCTGTCCCCAAATGTCCCCAACGTCCCCGCTGTCCCCAGGACGGTGATGAAGTCGGGCCCCGAGATTGTCAAGGCCGGGCTGTGTCCCTGTGTCCCTGTGTCCCTGTGTCTCTGTGTCTCTGTGTCCCTGTGTCAGTGTCCATGTCCCTGATACCCCCAATGTCCCCAATGTCCCAGCTGTCCCCAGGACGGTGATGAAGTCGGGCCCCGAGATCGTCAAGGCCGGGCTGTGTCCCTGTGTCCCTGTGTCCCTGTGTGTGTGTCCCTGTGTCTCTGTGTCCCTGTGTCAGTGTCCATGTCCCTGATACCCCCAATGTCCCCAATGTCCCAGCTGTCCCCAAATGTCCCCAATGTCCCCGCTGTCCCCAGGACGGTGATGAAGTCGGGCCCCGAGACTGTCAAGGCCGGGCTGTGTCCCTGTGTCTGTGCCCATGTCCCTGATACCCCCAATGTCCCTGCTGTCCCCAAATGTCCCCAATGTCCCCAATGTCCCCAGGACAGCGATGAAGTCGGGCCCCGAGATCGTCAAGGCTGGGCTGTGTCCCTGTGTCCCTGTGCCAGTGCCCATGTCCCTGATACCCCTGGTACCCCAAATGTCCCTGCTGTCCCCAATGTCCTGAATGTCCCCAACGTCCCCAGGACGGTGATGAAGTCGGGCCCCGAGATCGTCAAGGCCGGGCTGTGTCCCTGTGTCTGTGCCCATGTCCCTGATACCCCCAATGTCCCAGCTGTCCCCAAATGTCCCCAATGTCCCCGCTGTCCCCAGGACGGTGATGAAGTCGGGCCCCGAGATTGTCAAGGCCGGGCTGTGTCCCTGTGTCCCTGTGTCCCTGTGTCTCTGTGTCTCTGTGTCCCTGTGTCTGTGCCCATGTCCCTGATACCCCCAATGTCCCAGCTGTCCCCAAATGTCCCCAATGTCCCCGCTGTCCCCAGGACGGTGATGAAGTCGGGCCCCGAGATCGTCAAGGCCGGGCTGCGCTCGTTCTTCGAGTCGGCGGCCGAGGACATGGAGAAGTTGGGGGAGCAGCTGCGGCTGGGCCGGGGGACCCCGACCCGCGCCCCCACCAAGGGCGTGGCCCAGAATGTCACCTACACCTCGGTGGCACTGCTGCCCGTGCTCACCGCCCTGTTCGAGCACCTGGCACAGCACCAGTTCGGGGACGACGTCATCTGTGAGTGACACGGGGACAGGGGGACAGTGGGGACACGGGGACAGCAGGAGGAACAAGGGGACAGTGGGTACAGGGGGACAGCAAGGAGGATAGAGGGACAGGGGGACAGCGGGGACAGGGGGTCAGAAGGGGGGGACAGGGTCAGCAGGAGGGGACAGGGGGACAGCAGGGACACAAGGACAGTGGGATGGAGGGGAGGACAGGGGGGGACAGGGGGACAGCAGGACAATGTGGGGGGACAGGGACAGCAGTGGGGGACAGCGGGGACAGGAAGATGGGGACAGTGGGGACAGGGGGACATAATGGAGTCTGGGGAGGTGATGGGGACAGGGCGCTTTGGGACACAAGGACATGTTGGGGACATGGGGACAGGGTGTGGATGGGGAGGACATGGTGGGGACGTGGTGGGTACACAGTGAGGACATGTTGGGGACAGGGGGACATTAAAGGGAGGTGGGGACAGAGGATGGATTTGGTAGGGTCAGGGGCATGGGGACACTGTGTGGGAGGACATGGGGACATGCTGGGGACACGGGGACAGCTGGTGACACCGCTGTCCCCGCAGTGGACGACGTGCAGGTGTCCTGTTACCGCATCCTGTGCAGCATCTACAGCCTGGGCACCGCCCGCGGGCCCCTCGTGGACAGGTGGGGACCCCAAAAACCCCAGCAGGGACCCCAAAACCTCCAGCAGGGACCCCAAAAACCCCAACAGGGACCCCAAAACCTCAGTGAGGACCCCAAAAACCCCGGAGGGGTCCCAAAAACCCCTCGATGTCCCTTGGTGTCCCCACAGGCAGAGGCCGGCCCTGGGCAAGTGCCTGGCCATGGCCATGGGGATCCTTGGGGTGTCCATGGGGTGCCATGGGGTGTCCATGGGGTGACCCCTCGATGTCCCCAATGTCCCCAATGTCCCCACAGGCAGAGGCCGGCCCTGGGCGAGTGCCTGGCCCGCCTGGCCGCCGCCATGCCCGTGGCCTTCCTGGAGCCGCAGCTGAACCACCTGAACCCCAGCTCCGTGTACAGCACCAAGAGCGCCCGCGAGCGCGCCCGTGCGTGCCACCTCCCTGTCACCTCCCTGTCACCTGGGTCATCTGTCTCACCTCTGTGTCACCTGTGTGTCACCTGGGTCACCCCAGTGTCACCTGTGTCCAACCCCTCTCCCTCTGTCCCCAGTGCTGGGTGTCCCATCATGGGTGGAGGAGCTGTGTCCCCTTGGGATGTCCCCAGTCCCTGTCCCCGTGTCGCCAACCCTGTCCCCGTGTCCCCAACCCTGTCCCTGTGTCCCCATCTCCCCTCAGGGTGTCCGCAACCCCTGTCCCCATGTCCCCAACCCCATCCCCATGTCCCCAGCCCTGTCCCTGTGTCCCCATCTCCCCTTGGGATGTCCCCTGCTCGCCTCAGGGTGTCCCCATCTCATCTTGGGGTATCCCCAACCCTGTTCCTGTCCCCATGTCCCCAGTGCTGGGTCTCCCATCCCGAGTTGAGGAGCCGTATCCCCATGGGATGTCCCCAACCCCTGTCCCCATGTCCCCAGTGCTGGGTCCCCTTGGGATGTCCCCAACTCGGTCCCCATGTCCCCAACCCTGTCCCTGTGTCCCCAGTGCTGGGTCTCCCCTCCCGTGTCGAGGAGCTGTGCCCCCATCTCCCCTCAGGGTGTCCCCTGCTCCCCTTAGGATGTCCCCAACCCTGTCCCCATGTCCCCAATGTGTCCTTGTCCCCATGTGTCCCCAGTACTGGCTCTCCCCTCCCGAGTCGAGGAGCTGTGTCCCCTCGGGATGTCCCCAACCCTGTCCCCATGTCCCCTTCAGTGCTGGGCCTCCCGTCCCGCGTCGAGGAGCTGTGTCCCCTCGGGATGTCCCCAACCCTGTCCCCATGTCCCCAATGTGTCCTTGTCCCCATGTGTCCCCAGTGCTGGGTCTCCCATCCCGCATCGAGGAGCTGTGTCCCCTCGGGATGTCCCCAACCCTGTCCCCATGTCCCCAGTGCTGGGTCTCCTCAGGATGTCCCCAACCCTGTCAGGATGTCCCCAGCCCTGTCCCCATGTGTCCCCAGTGCTGGGCCTCCCGTCCCGCGTCGAGGAGCTGTGTCCCCTCGGGATGTCCCCAGCCCTGTCCCCATGTCCCCTTCAGTGCTGGGCCTCCCGTCCCGCGTCGAGGAGCTGTGTCCCCTCGGGATGTCCCCAGCCCTGTCCCCATGTCCCCTTCAGTGCTGGGCCTCCCGTCCCGCGTCGAGGAGCTGTGTCCCCATGGGATGTCCCCAACCCTGTCCCCATGTCCCCCTCAGTGCTGGGCCTCCCGTCCCGCGTCGAGGAGCTGTGTCCCCTCGGGATGTCCCCAACCCTGTCCCCATGTCCCCCTCAGTGCTGGGCCTCCCGTCCCGCGTCGAGGAGCTGTGTCCCCTCGGGATGTCCCCAACCCTGTCCCCATGTGTCCCCAGTGCTGGGCCTCCCGTCCCGCGTCGAGGAGCTGTGTCCCCTCGGGATGTCCCCAACCCTGTCCCCATGTCCCCCTCAGTGCTGGGTCTCCCGTCCCGCGTCGAGGAGCTGTGTCCCCTCGGGATGTCCCCAGCCCTGTCCCCATGTCCCCCTCAGTGCTGGGCCTCCTGTCCCGCGTTGAGGAGCTGTGCTCCCAACCCCTGTCCCCATGTGTCCCCAGTGCTGGGCCTCCCGTCCCGCGTCGAGGAGCTGTGTCCCCTCGGGATGTCCCCAACCCTGTCCCCATGTCCCCAATGTGTCCTTGTCCCCATGTGTCCCCAGTACTGGCTCTCCCCTCCCGAGTCGAGGAGCTGTGTCCCCTCGGGATGTCCCCAGCCCTGTCCCCATGTGTCCCCAGTGCTGGGCCTCCCGTCCCGCGTCGAGGAGCTGTGTCCCCTCGGGATGTCCCCAGCCCTGTCCCCATGTCCCCAATGTGTCCTTGTCCCCATGTGTCCCCAGTACTGGCTCTCCCCTCCCGAGTCGAGGAGCTGTGTCCCCTCGGGATGTCCCCAGCCCTGTCCCCATGTCCCCCTCAGTGCTGGGCCTCCCATCCTGCGTCGAGGAGCTGTGTCCCCTCGGGATGTCCCCAGCCCTGTCCCCATGTCCCCCTCAGTGCTGGGCCTCCCGTCCCGCGTCGAGGAGCTGTGCCCGGACCTGCCGGACCTGGAGCGCCTCATGGGTGACATCGGCGGCCTGGCGGACTCGGGCGCGCGCTACACGGAGATGCCGCACGTCATCGAGGTGGCGCTGCCCATGCTGTGCCACTACCTGCCCCGCTGGTGGGAGCGCGGCCCCGACGCCGCCCCCCAGGGCCCCTGGGCCACCGAGGTCACCGGGCACCACCTCAACGCCCTGCTGGGCCACATCCTGCGCATCGTGGTCAACAACCTGGGCATCGACGAGGCCTCCTGGATGAAGAGGCTGGCGGGTGAGGGGGCCCAAGGGGGATGGTGGCGCTGGGTGGCTCTTGCAGGGCATTCTAGTGGGTTTCAGTGGTCCCAGGATGGTGTTGGTGGCCCTGGGTGGCTTCTGCAGGTCATTGTGGTGGGTTTTGGTGGTCCCAGGATGGTGCTGGTGGCCCTGAGTGGGTCCCGTAGGGCATTCTGGTGGGTTTTGGCAGTGCCAGGATGGTGTTGGTGACCCTGGCTGGGTCCTGCAGATGATGGTGGTGGGTTTCAGTGGTCCCAGGATGGTGCTGGTAGCCACAGGCAGGTCCTGCAGGTCATTCTGGTGGCCCTAGGTGGGTTTTGGTGGTCCCAGGATGGTGTTGGTGGCCCTGGGTGGGTCCTGCAGATGATGGTGGGGGCCATGTATGGTTCTGGGGGTGTTTTGGTGGCCCCGACGCTCACAGTGGCCACATTTACCCGCAGTTTGCACCCAGCCCATCGTGAGCAAGGTGCGGATGGAGCTGGCCTGGGGATGTTTTGGTGGCCCAGGGCTGTCCCAGGGGTGTTCTGGTGGCCCTGGGGCTCACAGTGGCCACATTTACCCGCAGTTTTCACCCAGCCCATCATGAGCAAGGCACGGCCGGAGCTGCCCCAGGGGTGTTTTGGTGGCCCAGGGCTGTCCCAGGGGTGTTCTGGTGGCCCTGGGGTGGTCCCAGGGATGTTTTGGTGGTCCCAGGGCTGTCCCAGGAGTGTTCTGATGATCCCAGGGGCGTTTTGGTGGTGCTGGGGTGGTTCTGGTGGCCCCAGGGCTCACCGTGGCCACATTTACCCACAGTTTGCACCCAGCCCATCGTGAGCAAGGCGCGGCCGGAGCTGGCCTGGGGATGTTTTGGTGGCCCAGGGCTGTCCCAGGGGTGTTCTGGTGGCCCCAGGGCTCACAGTGGCCACATTTACCCACAGTTTGCACCCAGCCCATCGTGAGCAAGGTGCGGATGGAGCTGGCCTGGCGGTGTTTTGGTGGTCCCAGGGGTCTTTTGGTGGCTCTAGGGTGGTCCCAGGGGTATTTTGGTGGCCCTGGGGCTCACAGTAGCCACGTTTACCCGCAGTTTTCGCCCAGCCCATCGTGAGCAAGGTGCAGCTGGAGCTGCCCCAGGGTGGTCCCAGGGATGTTCTGGTGGCCCTGGGGTGGTCCCAGGGGTATTTTGGTGGCCCCGGGGCTCACAGTGACCATGTTTACCCCATGTTTACCCGCAGTTTTCGCCCAGCCCATCGTGAGCAAGGCGCGGCCGGAGCTGCTGCGCTCCCATTTCATCCCCACGCTGGGGCGGCTGCGCAAGCGCGCGGGGAAGGTGGTGGCCGAGGAGGAGCAGCTGCGGCTCGAGGGCAAGGCCGAGGCCGAGGACGCCGAGCTGCTGATCCGCGACGAGTTCTCGGTGCTCTGCCGCGACCTCTACGCGCTCTACCCGCTGCTCATCCGCTACGTGGACAACAGCCGGTGAGCAGGGGATGGGGACAGTGCCATGGGGATGGGAACAGTGCCATGGGCTTGGGATCATGGCCATGGAACACTGCTCTACCCGCTGCTCATCCGCTATGTGGACAACAGCCGGTGAGGAGGGGATGGGGACAGTGCCACAGGGGGCTGGGGACACTGCCATGGGGCTGGGGACAGTGTCATGGGGCTGGGGACAGTGCCAGGGGGCTGGGGACAGTGTCACAGGGGGCTGGGGACAGTGCCAGGGGCTTGGAATTATGGCCATGGGACACTGCTCTACCCGCTGCTCATCCGCTATGTGGACAACAGCCGGTGAGCAGGGGATGGGGACAGTGTCACAGGGGGCTGGGGACACTGCCATGGGGCTGGGGACAGTGCCAGGGGACTGGGGACAGTGCCATGAGGGGCTGCTCTACCCGCTGCTCATCCGCTATGTGGACAACAGCCGGTGAGGAGGGGATGGGGACAGTGTCACAGGGGGCTGGGGACACTGCCATGGGGCTGGGGACACTGCCATGGGGCTGGGGACACTGCCATGGGCTTGGGATCATGGCCATGGGACACTGCTCTACCCGCTGCTCATCCGCTACGTGGACAACAGCCGGTGAGGAGGGGATGGGGACAGTGCCATGGGGCTGGGGACACTGCCATGGGGCTGGGGACAGTGCCATGGGGCTGGGGACAGTGCCAGGGGGCTGGGGACAGTGTCACAGGGGGCTGGGGACAGTGCCAGGGGCTTGGAATTATGGCCATGGGACACTGCTCTACCCGCTGCTCATCCGCTATGTGGACAACAGCCGGTGAGCAGGGGATGGGGACAGTGTCACAGGGGGCTGGGGACACTGCCATGGGGCTGGGGACAGTGCCATGAGGGGCTGCTCTACCCGCTGCTCATCCGCTACGTGGACAACAGCCGGTGAGGGCAGGGGACGCAGGGGCTGGGGACAGGGTCACAGGGGGCTGGGGACAGTGCCATGGGGCTGGGGACACTGCCAGGACATTGGGGACATGGCTATGGGGCTGCTCTACCCCCTGCTCATCCGCTACGTGGACAACAGCCGGTGAGGATGGGATGGGGACAGGGTCACAGGGGACTGGGGACAGTGCCAGGGGTTTGGGGACACTGCCGGGGGCTGGGGACATGCCCAGGGTGAGCCAGCCATGGTGGCCTTGGGGACACGGCTGTGGTGACCCCAACCATGGTGGCCTTGGGGACACGGCTGTGGTGACCCCAACCATGGCGGCTTTGGAAACCCAACCGTGGTGACCCCAGCCATGGTGGCCTTGGAAACCCAACCACAGTGGCCATAGGGACTCATTAATGGTGGCCATCGGCCATGGTGTCCATGGGGGTGGTGACCCCCTGGTGACGTCCCTGTGACCCCCGGTGACCTCCCAGTGTCCCCCGGTGTCCCCTCAGGGCCAAGTGGCTGACGGAGCCCAACGAGGACGCCGAGGAGCTGTTCCGCATGGTGGGCGAGGTCTTCATCTACTGGTCCAAGTCTCACGTGAGTGGGGGTCCAGAGGGGTCCAAGGTGACCTTTGGGGGGTCCCAGGTGACCTTTTGGGGGTCCTGACCCCTTGTCCGTGTCCCCCCACCCCAGAACTTCAAGCGTGAGGAGCAGAACTTTGTGGTGCAGAACGAGATCAACAACATGTCCTTCCTGACGGCCGACAGCAAGAGCAAGATGGCCAAGGTGGGCTGGGGGGGACCCCAAACTGCCCCTGACCCCCCCAGGACCCCCTGCCCACCTGGCCCCACCTGGGCTCCATCCCATCCAACCCCCCCCAGAGCCCTGGAACCATCCCAAACTCACCTGGAGCCCATAATTCGCCCCAAAATCCCACCTCAAACCTTTAATTTGCCCCAAAATCCCACTTGGAACCCATAATTCACCCCAAATCCTGCCTTAGAGTCCTAATTCTCCCCAAATCCCACCTCAAATCCCTAATTCACCCCCAAATCCCACCTCAAACCCTTAATTCACCCCAAAACCCAACCTCAAAGCCCTGATTTACCCCAAAATCCACCTGGAACCCGTAATTCACCCCAAATCCCACCCAGGACCCCAAATCTTGGCCCAAACCCCACCCTGGTACCCCCAAATCCCACCCAGGACCCCAAACCTGCCCACCCCCAGGTGTTTCCACCCCACCCAACCCCCAAAGTCCCCACCTGCTGCCCCCCAGCCCCATTCCCACCCCAGATCCTCATCCCAGTGTCCCTAATTCTGTCCCACGTCCCCAGTGATGTCCCCAACGATGTCCCCAGTGCTGTCCAGTGTCCCCAACACTGTCCCCATGTCCCTAACGGTGTCCCAGTGTCCCCAGCAATGTCCCCAATGCTGTCCCCATGTCCCTAACGGTGTCCCCATGTCCCTAACGGTGTCCCACTGTCCCCAGCACCGTCCCCCTGTCCCTAACGGTGTCCCACTGTCCCCAGCACTGTCCCGCTGTCCCTAACGGTGTCCCACTGATGTCCCCCTGTCCCTAACGGTGTCCCCCTGTCCCCAGCACTGTCCCCCTGTCCCTAACGGTGTCCCACTGTCCCTGACTCTCTCTCTTCTCTCCCCTCGGCTGCGGGTGCTGCTCCCAGTCTGGAGATGGACAGGTTAGCGGGGAGGGGCTGGGGGGGCACACAGGAGCCCTCGGTGGGATCACCACAGCTGGGACCCCCAAAACTCCTGTCCTGTGGGGCCACAACATCTGGGACCCCCAAAACTCCTGTTCTGGGGGGTCACCAGGCTTGGGACCCCCAAAACTCCTGTCCTGTGGGGTCACCAGGCTTGGGACCCCCAAAACTCCTGTCCTGTGGGGTCACCACAGCTGGGACCCCCAAAACTCCTGCAGGGTCACAACATCTGGGGTCACCACAACTGGGACCCCAAAACTCCTGTTCTGTGGGGCCACCATGCTTGGGACCCCCAAAACTCCTGCAGGGTCCTGTTCTGTGGGGTCACCACAGCTGGGACCCCCCAGGACCCCTCTGTGGGGTGACATTGGCTGGGAGCCCCTTGTCTTGTACTCCTGGGGTCCCTGCTGACCCCGTGTCCCTGTCCCTGTCCCCATCCCAAGGGAGTGGCTCTGAGCAGGAGCTGACACTGTGTCTTTGTCCCCATCCCTGTCCCCATGGTGTCCCCATCCTGTCCCCTCAGGGAGGTGGCTCTGAGCAGGAGCTGACACTGTGTCTTTGTCCCCATCCCTGTCCCCATGGTGTCCCCATCCTGTCCCCTCAGGGAGGTGGCTCTGAGCAGGAGCTGACACTGGTTACGGGGTCCCTGTCCCTGTCCCCACGCTGTCCCTGTCCCCTCAGGGTGGTGGCTCTGAGCAGGAGCTGACACTGGTTATGGGGTCCCTGCTGACCCTGTGTCACCATCCTGTCCCCATGGTGTCCCCTCAGGGAGGTGGCTCTGAGCAGGAGCTGACACTGGTTATGGGGTCCCTGCTGACCCTGTGTCACCATCCTGTCCCCATGGTGTCCCCTCAGGGAGGTGGCTCTGAGCAGGAGCTGACACTGGTTATGGGGTCCCTGCTGACCCTGTGTCACCATCCTGTCCCCATGGTGTCCCCTCAGGGAGGTGGCTCTGAGCAGGAGCTGACACTGGTTATGGGGTCCCTGCTGACCCTGTGTCACCATCCTGTCCCCATCCTGTCCCCTCAGGGAGGTGGCTCGGAGCAGGAGCTGACACTGGTTATGGGGTCCCTGCTGACCCTGTGTCACCATCCTGTCCCCATGGTGTCCCCTCAGGGAGGTGGCTCTGAGCAGGAGCTGACACTGGTTATGGGGTCCCTGCTGACCCTGTGTCACCATCCTGTCCCCATGGTGTCCCCTCAGGGAGGTGGCTCTGAGCAGGAGCTGACACTGGTTATGGGGTCCCTGCTGACCCTGTGTCACCATCCTGTCCCCATCCTGTCCCCTCAGGGAGGTGGCTCTGAGCAGGAGCTGACACTGGTTATGGGGTCCCTGTCCCCACACTGTCCCTGTCCCCTCAGGGAGGTGGCTCGGAGCAGGAGCGCTCCAAGAAGCGCCGCCGCGGGGACAGGTACTCGGTGCACACCTCGCTCATCGTGGCCACGCTCAAGAAGATGCTGCCCATCGGCCTCAACATGTGCTCACCTGCCGACCAGGAGCTGATCGCGCTGGCCAAGGGCCGCTACGCCCTGGTGGGTGCCCGCCTGGGCACACCTGGGCACACCTGGGCACACCTGGGCACACCTGGGACCCCTCCGAAACCCCCGTGGGATCCCCCCTGGGACAGTGGGATTTGGGACATGGCGCTGGCCAAGGGCCGCTACGCCCTGGTGGGTGCCCGCCTGGGCACACCTGGGCACACCTGGGCACACCTGGGCACACCTGGGACCCCCCAGAAACCCCCGTGGGATCCCCCCTGGGACAGTGGGATTTGGGACATGGCGCTGGCCAAGGGCCGCTACGCCCTGGTGGGTGCCCGCCTGGGCACACCTGGGCACACCTGGGCACACCTGGGGACACCTGGGACCCCCAAATGTCCCCTGGGTTTAGGGACAAACCCAGACAAATCCCTGGGGTTGGGGACATGGCGCTGGCCAAGGGCTACTGCATCCTGGTGGGTGCCCAGGGACACCTGGGGACACCTGGGAACCCCAAATGTCCCCTGGGATTTGGGACATGGTGCTGGCCAAGGGCCACTACGCCCTCATGGGTGCCCGGGACACCTGGGCACACCTGGGGACACGTGGGAACCCCCCCTGGAACCTCCAAATGTCCCCTGGATTTAGGGACAAAGCCCTGGGTTGGTTGGGGACATAGTGCTGGTCAAGGGTGGCCACTGTGCCCTGATGGGTGCCCAGGGACACCTGGGGACACCTCCAAGGGTTTGGGGACACCTCCAAGGGTTTGGGGACACCCCCCAAGGGTTTGGGGACACTCCTAAAGGTTTGGGGACACCTCCATGGCTTTGGGGACACCCCCCAAGGGTTTGGGGACACTCCCATGGGTTTGGGGACACTCCCATGGGTTTGGGGACACCTCCAAGGGTTTGGGGACCCTTGCTGATTGTCCCCTGTGTCCCCCACCTGCAGAAGGACACGGACGAGGAGGTTCGGGAGTTCCTGCACAACAACCTGCACCTGCAGGACAAGGTGAGCTGGCACGGCCCCGTGTCACCTGTGTCACTGTGTCACCTGTGTCTCCTGTGTCACCTGTGTCCCCTGTGTTACTGTGTCACCTAGTCCTCTGTGTCACTGTGTCCCCTGTGTCACCTTGTCTGCAATGTCACTGTGTCCCCACCCTGTGTCACTGTGTCCCCTGTGTCACTGTGTCCCCAGGAGCCCCTTGTGCCCATTTTCCCAATGTCCCCAATGTCCCCAGTGCTGTCCCCAATGTCCCCAGGTGGAGAACACGGGCTCAGCTCGCTGGCAGATGGCCCTGGTGCTGATGTCCCCAATGTCCCCAATGTCCCCAGGTGGAGAACACAGGTTCAGCACGCTGGCAGATGGCCCTGGTGCTGATGTCCCCAATGTCCCCAATGTCCCCAGGTGGAGAACACGGGCTCAGCTCGCTGGCAGATGGCCCTGGTGCTGATGTCCCCAATGTCCCCAATGTCCCCAGGTGGAGAACACGGGCTCGGCTCGCTGGCAGATGGCCCTGGTGCTGATGTCCCCAATGATGTCCCCAATGTCCCCAGGTGGAGAACACGGGCTCAGCTCGCTGGCAGATGGCCCTGGTGCTGATGTCCCCAATGTCCCCAATGTCCCCAGGTGGAGAACACGGGCTCGGCTCGCTGGCAGATGGCCCTGGTGCTGATGTCCCCAGTGCTGTCCCCAATGTCCCCAGGTGGAGAACACGGGCTCAGCTCGCTGGCAGATGGCCCTGGTGCTGATGTCCCCAATGTCCCCAATGTCCCCAGGTGGAGAACACAGGTTCAGCTCGCTGGCAGATGGCCCTGGTGCTGATGTCCCCAATGTCCCCAATGTCCCCAGGTGGAGAACACGGGCTCAGCTCGCTGGCAGATGGCCCTGGTGCTGATGTCCCCAATGTCCCCAATGTCCCCAGGTGGAGAACACAGGTTCGGCTCGCTGGCAGATGGCCCTGGTGCTGATGTCCCCAATGTCCCCAATGTCCCCAGGTGGAGAACACGGGCTCGGCTCGCTGGCAGATGGCCCTGGTGCTGATGTCCCCAATGTCCCCAATGTCCCCAGGTGGAGAACACGGGTTCGGCTCGCTGGCAGATGGCCCTGGTGCTGATGTCCCCAATGTCCCCAATGTCCCCAATGTCCCCAGGTGGAGAACACGGGTTCAGCTCGCTGGCAGATGGCCCTGGTGCTGATGTCCCCAATGTCCCCAATGTCCCCAGGTGGAGAACACGGGCTCGGCTCGCTGGCAGATGGCCCTGGTGCTGATGTCCCCAATGATGTCCCCAATGTCCCCAGATGGAGAACACGGGCTCGGCTCGCTGGCAGATGGCCCTGGTGCTGATGTCCCCAATGTCCCCAATGTCCCCAGGTGGAGAACACGGGCTCAGCTCGCTGGCAGATGGCCCTGGTGCTGATGTCCCCAATGTCCCCAATGTCCCCAGGTGGAGAACACAGGTTCAGCTCGCTGGCAGATGGCCCTGGTGCTGATGTCCCCAATGTCCCCAATGTCCCCAGGTGGAGAACACAGGTTCGGCTCGCTGGCAGATGGCCCTGGTGCTGATGTCCCCAATGTCCCCAATGTCCCCAGGTGGAGAACACGGGCTCGGCTCGCTGGCAGATGGCCCTGGTGCTGATGTCCCCAATGTCCCCAATGTCCCCAGGTGGAGAACACGGGCTCGGCTCGCTGGCAGATGGCCCTGGTGCTGATGTCCCCAGTGCTGTCCCCAATGTCCCCAGGTGGAGAACACGGGCTCAGCTCGCTGGCAGATGGCCCTGGTGCTGATGTCCCCAATGTCCCCAATGTCCCCAGGTGGAGAACACGGGTTCGGCTCGCTGGCAGATGGCCCTGGTGCTGATGTCCCCAATGTCAATGTCCCCAATGTCCCCAGGTGGAGAACACGGGTTCAGCTCGCTGGCAGATGGCCCTGGTGCTGATGTCCCCAATGTCCCCAATGTCCCCAGGTGGAGAACACGGGCTCAGCTCGCTGGCAGATGGCCCTGGTGCTGATGTCCCCAATGTCCCCAATGTCCCCAGGTGGAGAACACAGGTTCAGCTCGCTGGCAGATGGCCCTGGTGCTGATGTCCCCAATGATGTCCCCAATGTCCCCAGGTGGAGAACACGGGCTCAGCTCGCTGGCAGATGGCCCTGGTGCTGATGTCCCCAATGTCCCCAATGTCCCCAGGTGGAGAACACGGGCTCAGCTCGCTGGCAGATGGCCCTGGTGCTGATGTCCCCAATGTCCCCAATGTCCCCAGGTGGAGAACACGGGCTCGGCTCGCTGGCAGATGGCCCTGGTGCTGATGTCCCCAATGTCCCCAATGTCCCCAGGTGGAGAACACGGGCTCAGCTCGCTGGCAGATGGCCCTGGTGCTGATGTCCCCAATGATGTCCCCAATGTCCCCAGGTGGAGAACACGGGCTCGGCTCGCTGGCAGATGGCCCTGGTGCTGATGTCCCCAATGATGTCCCCAATGTCCCCAGGTGGAGAACACGGGCTCGGCTCGCTGGCAGATGGCCCTGGTGCTGATGTCCCCAATGTCCCCAATGTCCCCAGGTGGAGAACACGGGCTCGGCTCGCTGGCAGATGGCCCTGGTGCGCCAGGCCGGGCGGGACGAGGACCCCGACAGCCCCGAGCAGGTCGTGCGCCGGGTGCAGGAGGTGTCGGCCGTGCTCTACCACCTCGAGCAGGTCTGGGGGCTTGGGGGGGTTTGGGGGTGCCCAGGGGGCTCTGGGGGTGCCCAGGTGACCCCGGTGACCCCCCCACAGACAGAGCACCCCTACAAGCCCAAGGTGGCCGTGTGGCACAAGCTTGGGGTGCTCTGTGCCCTTTGGGTGCTCTGGGGGATCCCAGGGGTGCTCAGGCTGTCCCAGGAGTGCTCAGGGGGGTTCAGGGGTGCCCAGGGGGTTTGGGGGTGACCCCGGTGACCCCCCCACAGACAGAGCACCCCTACAAGTCCAAGAAGGCCGTGTGGCACAAGCTCCTGTCCAAGCAGCGCCGCCGCGCCGTCGTCGCCTGCTTCCGCATGACGCCCCTGTACAACCTGCCCAGGTGGGCACTGCGCGCACTGCGGGCACTGGGGGGCACTGGGGGGCACTGGGGGGGCACTGGGGGCACGTGGCATCTCCTGGGTGCCAACTGGGAGCCCCTGGGTGACACCTGGGACTCACGGGATGATACCTGTAACCCCCTGGGTGACGCCTGGGTGCCAGCTGGGACCCCCTGGGTGACACCTGGCACCCTCCAGGTGGGGATGGGTGGGCCCCCAGGTGGGCACAGGTGGGCACAGGTGGTGCCAGGCTGGCACACAGGTGACAGTGGTGTCCCCAGGCACCGTGCCTGTAACATGTTCCTCGAGTCCTACCGGGCACGGGTGGTGCCAGGCTGGCACGGGTGGCAGTGCCAGGCTGGCACACAGGTGACAGTGGTGTCCCCAGGCACCGTGCCTGTAACATGTTCCTTGAGTCCTGCGGGGCACTGGTGGTGCCAGGCTGGCACAGGCAGGCACAGGTGGGCACAGGTGGTGCCAGGCTGGCACACAGGTGACAGTGGTGTCCCCAGGCACCGTGCCTGTAACATGTTCCTCGAGTCCTGCGGGGCATGGGTGGTGCTAGGTTGGCACAGACAGGCACAGGTGGTGCCAGGCTGGCACAGGTGGTGCCAGGTGGTGCCAGGCTGGCACGGGTGGCAGTGCCAGGCTGGCACACAGGTGACAGTGGTGTCCCCAGGCACCGTGCCTGTAACATGTTCCTCGAGTCCTACCGGCTCTCGTGGCTGGCCCGGGAGCGGCCGCCCTTCGAGGACCGAATGATCGACGACCTCTCGGTGAGAGGGGACATCCCTGGGGCTTGGGGACATCCCCGGGGCTTGGGGACATCCCCGGGATTTGGGGACATCCCTGGGGCTTGGGGACATCCCCGGGGCTTGGGGACATCCATTTAGGGTTTGGGGACATCCCTGGGGGGCTTGGGGACATCCCCGAGGGGTTTGGGGACATCCATTGGGGTTTGGGGACATCCCTGGGGTTTGGGGACATCCCCGGGGCTTGGGGACATCCATTGGGGTTTGGGGACATCCCTGGGGCTTGGGGACATCCCCGAGGGGTTTGGGGACATCCATTGGGGTTTGGGGACATCCCTGGGGCTTGGGGACATCCCCGGGGCTTGGGGACGTCCATTTAGGGTTTGGGGACATCCTCAGGGGTTTGGGGACATTCCCGGGGGGTTTGGGGACATCCATTGGGGCTTGGGGACATCCCTGGGGCTTGGGGACATCCCCGGGGCTTGGGGACGTCCATTTAGGGTTTGGGGACATCCCCGGGGCTTGGGGACATCCCCGAGGGGTTTGGGGACATCCATTGGGGCTTGGGGACATCCCTGGGGCTTGGGGACATCCCCGGGGCTTGGGGACGTCCATTTAGGGTTTGGGGACATCCTCAGGGGTTTGGGGACATTCCCGGGGGGTTTGGGGACATCCCCGGGGATTTGGGGACATTCCCAGGGGGTTTGGGGACATTCCTGGAGGGATTCCCAGGGGGTCTGGGGACATCCTGACATCCCCCTGACCCAGGGTTTGGGGATACCCCCAAGGGTTTGGGGACATCCATTGGGGTTTGGGGACACTCTGAGACCCCTCTGACCTGGGGTTTGGGGACATCCATTGGGGTCTGGGGACATCCCCGGGGGGTTTGGGGACATTCCTGGGGGTTTGGGGACATCCGTTGGGGTTTGGGGACACCCTGAGACCCCTCTGACCTGGGGTTTGGGGACGTCCATTGGGAATTTGGGGACACCTTTGGGGTTTGGGGACACCCCTGGGGGGTTTGGGGACACCCCAGGATGGTTTGGGGACACCCCGAGCCCCCCCTGACAGGGTTTGGGGACACCTTTGGGGTTTGGGGACACCTTTGGGGTTTGGGGACGTCCATTGGGAATTTGGGGACACCTTTGGGGTCTGGGGACACCCCGAGCCCCCCCCTGACAGGGTTTGGGGACACCCCAGGATGGTCTGGGGACACCCCGAGCCCCCCCTGACGGGGTTTGGGGACACCTTTGGGGTTTGGGGATGTCCATTGGGAATTTGGGGACACCTTTGGGAATTTGGGGACACCTTTGGGGTCTGGGGACACCCCAGGATGGTTTGGGGACACCCCGAGCCCCCCCTGACGGGGTTTGGGGTTTGTGGGCGCAGAAGTCGGGGCGGGAGGAGGAGGAGGAGGAGGAAGAGGCGGAGGCGCGGCCGGACCCGCTGCACCAGCTGATCCTGCACTTCAGCCGCACCGCCCTCACCGAGCAGAGGTGACCCCGAATCCCAGGGGGGACCCCAAAACCCCGGGGGACCCCGAATCACACTGGGGACCCCAAAACCCTGAGGGGACACCAAATCTCTGTGGGGACACCAAAACCCTGAGGAGACCCGAAATCCCACGGAGACCCCAAATCCCAACGGGGGGACCCCAAAACCCCAGGGGACCCCAAAACTCGAGGGGACACCAAAGCACGCTGGGGACCCCAAAACCCCACAGAGGAGACCCCAAATCCTGCAGAGATCCCAAATCCCGTGGGGACCCCAAATCCCTGAGAGGGGACCCCAGATTCCTGCAGGGATCCCAAATCACACCAAGGACCCCAAATCCTGAGGGGACCCCAAACCCCAATGGGGACCCCAAATCCTTGTGGGGACACCAAATCCCGCAGGGATCTCAAATCCCCAGGGGGACCCTAAATCCCATTGGGGGCCCCAGATCACACTGGGGACCCCAAAACGCCACAGAGGAGACCCCAAATCCTGCAGGGGACCCCAAATCCTGCAGGGGACCCCAAATCCCTGTGGGGACACCAAATCCCGGTGGGGACCCCAAATCACACTGGGGACCCCAAATCCTGCAGGGGACCCCAAATCCCTCAGAGACCCCAAATCCTGCAGAGGACCCCAAATCCCTGTGGGGACACCAAATCCCGATGGGGACCCCAAATCACACTGGGGACCCCAAATCACACCGGGGACCCCAAATCCTGAGGGGGGACCCCAAATCCTGAAGGGATCCTAAAACCCAATGGGGACCCTGAATCACACTGAGGACCCTAAATCTCACTGGGGACCCCAAATCCCTGAGGGGACCCCAAAAATCTGGGGGGACCCCAAATCCCTCGGAGACCTCAAATCCCTGAGAGGACCCCAAATCACACTGGGGACCCCAAAATCCCACAGGGACCCCAAATCCCTGCAAGAACCCCAAAACCCCATAGGGACACCCCAAATCCACCATGGGCATCCCAAATCCCATTGGGTGAGACCCCAAATCCCACTGTGGGCACCCCAAATCCCACAGAGGAGAACCCCAAATCCCACCCTGGGCACCCCAAACCCCACTGGGGGAACCCAAATCCCACCCTGGGCACCCCAAACCCCACTGAGACCCCAAACCCCAGTTTGGGTGGGGGGAGCTCAAACCTTGGGGTCACCTGGGTCCCCTTTTTGGGGGGTCCAGGGTGTCCCCCCTGTCCCCAACCCGTGTCCCCCTTACCCCCGCAGCCACCTGGAGCAGGATCACCTGTACATGGCCTACGCCGGCATCATGGCCAAGGTGGGCACCCCAAAAACGGGGACACCCCAAAACCTGGGAACCCCAAAAAATGGGGCACCCCAAAAATGGGGCACCCTAAAAATGCGGCACTCCAAAACTGCGACACAACAAAAACGAGGGGACCCTTAAACTGGAGGACTCCAAAAATGAGGGGACCTCTAAACTGGGGGGATCCCAAAATTGAGGAGACCCCAAAACCTGGGCAACCCAAAACTGGGGCGTCCCAAAAACGTGGCACCCCAAAAACGGGGGGACCACAAAACCTGGGGCACCCCAAAACCGCTGCATCCCAAAAATGGGGCATCCCAAAAACGTGGCACCCCAAAAACGGGGGGACTCCAAAACCAGGGGCACTCCAAAACCAGGGCACCCTAAAAATGGGGCACCCCAAAAAGAGGGGGTACCCCAAAAAGGAGGGGACCTCTAAATTGGGGGGATCCCAAAATTGAGGAGACCCCAAAACCTGGGCAACCCAAAACTGGGGCGTCCCAAAAACGTGGCACCCCAAAAACGGGGGGACCACAAAACCTGGGGCACCCCAAAACCGCTGCATCCCAAAAATGGGGCATCCCAAAACCGGGGCACCCCAAAAACGGGGGGACTCCAAAACCAGGGCACCCTAAAAATGGGGCACCCCAAAAAGAGGGGGTACCCCAAAAAGGAGGGGACCTCTAAATTGGGGGGATCCCAAAACTGGGGCATCCCAAAAACTGGACACCCCAAAAAGGGAGGTACTCCAAAACCGGGGCACCCCAAAACTGGGGCATCCTAAAAACAAGGGGACCCAAGGGATTTTGGGGGGGGGGGGGGGGTGGGTGTTCAGGGATGGGGGGGTTTTGGGGGGTTCCCAGGGATTTTGGGCCCCCCCAGGTTGGTTTTGGGGTGAGGGTTCCTAATTTGGGGATCCCCCCCCCCGTCCCCAATTCCCCCAGAGCTGCCACATCGAGGAGGGGGAGGAGGAGGAGAAGGAGGAAGAGGAGAAGGAAGAGGAAGAAGCCGAGGATTCCTTTGAGGTGGGGAGGGGGGGACCCCAAAAACCCCCTGACCCCCCCCTGTGACCCCCCCTGACCCCTGTGACCCCTCCTGACCCCTGTGATGTCCCCAGTGTCCCCAGGAGAAGGAGATGGAGAAGCAGAAGCTGCTGTGACCCCCAATGTCCCCTGTGACCCCCATGACCCCCCAAATGTCCCCTTGACCCCCCCTGACCCCTGTGATGTCCCCAATGTCCCCAATGCCCCCAGGAGAAGGAGAAGCAGAAGCTGCTGTGACCCCCTGACCCCTGTGACCCCCATGACCCCCCAAATCCCTGTGACCCCACAATCCCTGTGACCCCTCCTGACCCCTGTGACCCCCATGACCCCCCAAATCCCTGTGACCCCACAATCCCTGTGACCCCTCCTGACCCCTGTGACCCTCTCAGTGTCCCCAATGACCCCAGTGTCCCCTGTGACCCCCAGGAGAAGGAGATGGAGAAGCAGAAGCTGCTGTGACCCCCTGTGACCCCCATGACCCCCCAAATCCCTGTGACCCCTCCTGACCCCTGTGACCCCTCTGTGACCCCTGTGACCCCCCTGTGACCCCCAGGAGAAGGAGATGGAGAAGCAGAAGCTGCTGTGACCCCCAATGTCCCCTGTGACCCCACAATCCCTGTGACCCCTCCTGACCCCTGTGACCCCTCCTGACCCCTGTGACCCCTCTGTGACCCCTGTGACCCCCCTGTGACCCCCAGGAGAAGGAGATGGAGAAGCAGAAGCTGCTGTGACCCCCTGTGACCCCCATGACCCCCCAAATCCCTGTGACCCCACAATCCCTGTGACCCCTCCTGACCCCTGTGACCCCTCTGTGACCCCTGTGACCCCCCTGTGACCCCCAGGAGAAGGAGATGGAGAAGCAGAAGCTGCTGTCGCAGCAGGCCCGGCTGCACACGCGGGGGGCGGCCGAGATGGTGCTGCAGATGATCAGCGCCTGCAAGGGTGAGTGACCGCCAGTGACCCTGAGTGACCACTGACCCCTGAGTGACCATGAGCGACCGTGACTGTGGGTGACCACTGAGTGACCACTGAGTGACCCTGAGTGACCACTGACCCCTGAGTGACCATGAGTGACCGTGACTGTGGGTGACCACTGAGTGACCAATGAGTGACCCTGAGTGACCATGAGTGATCATGACTGTGGGTGACCACTGAGTGACCACTGAGTGACCACTGAGTGACCCTGAGTGACCACTGAGTAACCAATGAGCAACCGTGACTGTGGGTGACCACTGAGTGACCACTGAGTGACCACTGACCAGTGAGTGACCATGAGCGACCGTGACTGTGGGTGACCACTGAGTGACCACTGAGTGACCCTGAGTGACCACGAGTGACCACTGAGTAACCAATGAGTGACCGTGACTGTGAGTGACCACTGAGTGACCACTGAGTGACCACTGACCAGTGAGTGACCATGAGTGACCATGACTGTGGGTGACCACTGAGTGACCAATGAGTGACCCTGAGTGACCACGAGTGACCACTGAGTGACCACTGAGTGACCAATGAGTAACCAATGAGTGACCACGAGTGACCACTGAGTAACCAATGAGTGACCGTGACTGTGAGTGACCACTGAGTGACCACTGAGTGACCACTGACCAGTGAGTGACCATGAGTGACCATGACTGTGGGTGACCACTGAGTGACCACTGACCAGTGAGTGACCATGAGTGACCACTGAGTAACCAATGAGTGACCGTGACTGTGAGTGACCACTGAGTGACCACTGAGTGACCACTGACCAGTGAGTGACCATGAGTGACCAGTGAGTGACCGTGACTGTGAGTGACCACTGAGTGACCCTGAGTGACCACTGAGTGACCACGAGTGACCACTGACCAGTGAGTGACCACGAGTGACCCTGAGTGACCACTGACCATGAGTGACTGTGAGTGACCACGGAGTGATCACTGAGTGACTACGAGTGACCAATAGTGACCACTGAGTGACCCCTTTGGTGACCACTGAGTGACCCCTTTGGTGACCCTGTGCTGACCCCGCGGTGACCTTTTGGTGACCCCGCGGTGACCTTTTGGTGACCCCGCGGTGACCTTTGGGTGCCCCGTGCTGTCCCCAGGTGAGCGGGGGGCCATGGTCTCCTCCACGCTCAAGTTGGGCATCTCCATCCTCAACGGGGGCAACGCCGACGTGCAGCAGGTGTGTCCCCACCTGTCACCTGTGTGTCCCCCCCTGTCACCTGTGTGTCCCCACCTGTCACCTGTGTGTCCCCACCTGTCCCCAGTGTCCCCACCTGTCACCTGTGTGTCCCCCCCTGTCACCTGTGTGTCCCCACCTGTCCCCAGTGTCCCCACCTGTCACCTGTGTGTCCCCCCCTGTCACCTGTGTGTCCCCACCTGTCACCTGTGTGTCCCCACCTGTCACCTGTGTGCCACCCCCGGGTCCCCAGTGTCCCCTCCTCTGTCACCTGTGTGCCACCTCCGGGTCCCCAGTGTCCCCACCTGTCACCTGTGTGTCCCCACCTGTCACCTGTGTGTCCCCCCCTGTCACCTGTGTGCCACCCCCGGGTCCCCAGTGTCCCCTCCTCTGTCACCTGTGTGCCACCCCCGGGTCCCCAGTGTCCCCCCCTGTCACCTGTGTGTCCCCACCTGTCACCTGTGTGTCCCCCCCTGTCACCTGTGTGTCCCCACCTGTCACCTGTGTGCCACCCCCGGGTCCCCAGTGTCCCCCCCTGTCACCTGTGTGTCCCCACCTGTCACCTGTGTGTCCCCACCTGTCACCTGTGTGCCACCCCCGGGTCCCCAGTGTCCCCCCCTGTCACCTGTGTCCCCTCCTCTGTCACCTGTGTGCCACCCCCGGGTACCCAGTGTCCCCACCTGTCACCTGTGTGTCCCCACCTGTCACCTGTGTGCCACCCCCGGGTCCCCAGTGTCCCCCCCTGTCACCTGTGTCCCCTCCTCTGTCACCTGTGTGCCACCCCCGGGTCCCCAGTGTCCCCTCCCGTGTCACCTGTGTGTCCCCACCTGTCCCCAGTGTCCCCTCCTCTGTCACCTGTGTGTCCCCACCTGTCACCTGTGTGTCCCCACCTGTCCCCAGTGTCCCCTCCCGTGTCACCTGTGTGTCCCCTGCTGTCCCCAATGTCCCCTCCTGTGTCACCTGTGTGTCCCCAGCTGTCACCTGTGTGTCCCCACCTGTCACCTGTGTGTCCCCAATGTCCCCTGTGTCACCTGTGTGTCCCCACCTGTCCCCAGTGTCCCCTCCCGTGTCACCTGTGTGTCCCCACCTGTCCCCAGTGTCCCCTTTTGTGTCACCTGTGTGTCCCCAGCTGTCCCCAATGTCCCCTCCTGCGTCACCTGTGTCACTCCATGTGTCCCCAATGTCCCCTGTGTCACCTGTGTGTCCCCACCTGTCACCTGTGTGTCCCCAATGTCCCCTGTGTCACCTGTGTGTCCCCAGCTGTCCCCAATGTCCCCTCCTGCGTCACCTGTGTCACTCTGTGTCCCCAATGTCCCCTGCTGTCCCCACCTGTCCCCTGTGTCCCTGTGTCCCTCCTTCTGTCCCCAGTGTCCCCTGTGTCTCCACCCGTGTCCCCAGCTGTCCCCACCTGTCCCCACCTGTCCCCACCTGTCCCCAATGTCCCCAGTGTCCCTGTGTATCCCCCGGTGTCCCCCAGTGTCCCCAGTGTCCCCAGTGTCCCCAGTGTCCCCTGTGTATCCCCCAGTGTCCCCAATGTCCCCGCTGTCCCCAGTGTCCCCAGTGTCCCCCAGTGTCCCCCAGTGTCCCCAGTGTCCCCAGTGTCCCCCAGTGTCCCCCCCGGTGTCCCCAGTGTCCCCAGTGTCCCCCATGTCCTCTCCATGTCCCCAGTGTCCCTGTGTATCCCCTGGTGTCCCCACCTGTCCCCAGTGTCCCTGTGTATCCCCCAGTGTCCCCAATGTCCCCACCTGTCCCCAGTGTCCCTGTGTATCCCCCGGTGTCCCCCAGTGTCCCCAGTGTCCCTGTGTATCCCCCAGTGTCCCCAATGTCCCCACCTGTCCCCAGTGTCCCTGTGTATCCCCTGGTGTCCCCACCTGTCCCCAGTGTCCCTGTGTATCCCCCAGTGTCCCCAATGTCCCCACCTGTCCCCAGTGTCCCTGTGTATCCCCCAGTGTCCCCAATGTCCCCACCTGTCCCCAGTGTCCCTGTGTATCCCCCAGTGTCCCCAATGTCCCCACCTGTCCCCAGTGTCCCTGTGTATCCCCCGGTGTCCCCCAGTGTCCCCAGTGTCCCTGTGTATCCCCCAGTGTCCCCCATGTCCTCTCCATGTCCCCAGTGTCCCCCCCGGTGTCCCCGGTGTCCCCAGTGTCCCCACCTGTCCCCAGTGTCCCCTGTGTATCCCCCAGTGTCCCCCATGTCCTCTCCATGTCCCCAGTGTCCCCCCCGGTGTCCCCAGTGTCCCCAATGTCCCCGCTGTCCCCGCTGTCCCCACAGAAGATGCTGGAGTACCTCAAGTCCAAGCGCGAGGTCGGCTTCTTCCAGAGCGTGCAGGCGCTGATGCAGACCTGCAGGTGCGGGAACTGGGGACCCCCCGTGGGAACGGGGGACCCCCGCTTACAATTGGGGTCCCCCCGGTGGGAATTGGGATCCCCGCCATGGGAATTTGGGACCCCCAGTTGGAATTGGGGTCACCCCATGGGAATTGGGGTCACTCTGGGGGGATTGGGGTCACTCCAGTGGAAATTGGGGTCCCCCTGTGGGAACTGGGGTCACTCCAGTGGGAACTGGGGTCACTTCAGAGAAACTGGGGTCACTCCAGTGGAAATTGGGGTCCCCCCATGGGAATTGGGGTCACCCCGTGGGAATTGGGGTCACCCTGGGGAAGCTGGGGACCCCCAGTGGGAACTGGGATCCTGCTGGGATATTGGGGTCACTCTGGGGGAATTGGGGTCACTCCGTGGGAACTGGGGTCACTCTGGGGGAATTGGGGTCACTCCGTGGGAACTGGGGACCCCTCGTGGGAATTGGGGTTCCCCCAGGATATTGGGATCTCCCCGTGGGAATTGGGGTGCCCCCCGAGCTATTGGGGTCACCCAGATCAGCAGGCCCCCCGGGTGGGGCTGTGCTGATTTTGGGGTCCCCCTTACCCCCATTTTTGGGGTCCCCCTCGGGCTATTGAGGTCCCCCAGATCAGCAGCACCCCCCCGGGTGGGTCTGTGCCATTTTTGGGGTCCCCCCGACCCATTTTTGGGGTCCCCCCTTGCAGTGTCCTGGACCTGAACGCCTTCGAGCGGCAGAACAAGGCCGAGGGGCTGGGCATGGTCACCGAGGAGGGCACCAGTGAGTGGGGGGCCGGGACCCCCAAAGGGACCCCCCCCCCAAAAAGGGACCCCCGGAGGGGTGGGGCAGGCTGGGATTGAGGGGGGGCGGGGGCCCATTCTGCACCCCAAAACCCCCGCGCTGCTCCAGCCCCCCAACACCTGCTGAGATGTGGCTCCCTGACCCCGAAACACCCCAAAATCTAATGCCCCCCCACCCCCAATTCCTACCCTGAAACACCCCAAAATCTAATGCCCCCCCACCCCCAAAACACCCCAAAATCTAATGCCCCCCCCAAAGTTCCTCCCCTGAAACACCCCAAAATCTAATGCCCCCCCACCCCCAATTCCTACCCTGAAACACCCCAAAATCTAATGCCCCCCCACCCCCAATTCCTACCCTGAAACACCCCAAAATCTAATGCCCCCCCACCCCCAAACCACCCCAAAATCTAATGCCCCCCCCAAAGTTCCTACCCTGAAACACCCCAAAATCTAATGCCCCCCCACCCCTAATGCCCCCCCACCCCTAATGCCCCCCCCAAATCCACCCCTAAAACCCCCCAATTCTTCCCCTGAAACACCCCAAAATCTAATGCCCCCCACCTCTAATGCCCCCCAATTCTTCCCCTGAAACACCCCAAAATCTAATGCCCCCCACCTCTAATGCCCCCCAAGTCCACCCCTAAAGCCCCCCAAAATCTAATGCCCCCCCCCCACCCCAAATTCCCCCCTTTGTTTGTCATCCCCCCAAACCCTAAATCCCCCTTGGATCCCCTAAATCCCCCCTGGATCCCCTAAATCCCCCTACCCCTAATTCCCCCCACCCCAATTCCCCCCCTGGATCCCCTAAATCCCCCCTGGATCCCCTAAATCCCCCTACCCCTAATTCCCCCCACCCCAATTCCCCCCCTGGATCCCCTAAATCCCCCCTGGATCCCCTAAATCCCCCTACCCCTAATTCCCCCCACCCCAATTCCCCCCCTGGATCCCCTAAATCCCCCCTGGATCCCCTAAATCCCCCTACCCCTAATTCCCCCCACCCCAATTCCCCCCTGGATCCCCAGTTTCCCCCCAGTGCCCCCCAAAACCCCAAATCCCCCCCCGCTCACTGTCTCTTCTCTCCCCCCGGCTCCGCTGGCAGTCATCAGCCGGGAGAACGGTAAATATGGGGTGGGAATAGGGGGGCTGTGGGGTGGGTTATGGGGCTGGGGGGGCTGGGGGGTCCATCAGCCGGGTGAACGGTAAATATGGGGTGGGAATAGGGGGGCTATAGGGTCAGGGAGGATCTGTGGGGTCAGTTATGGGGCTGGGGGGCCTGGGGGGTCCATCAGCCGGGAGAACGGTAAATATGGGGTGGGAATAGGGGGGCTATAGGGCCGGGGGTGCTGTGGGGTCAGTTATGGGGCTGGGGGGGCTGGGGGGTCCATCAGCCGGGAGAACGGTAAATATGGGGTGGGATAGGGGGGCTGTGGGGTGGGTTATGGGGCTGGGGGGGCTGTGGGGTCCATCAGCCAGGAGAACGGTAAATATGGGGTGGGATAGGGGGGCTATAGGGCCAGGGGGGCTATGGGGTCAGGGAGGATCTGTGGGGTCAGTTATGGGGCTGGGGGGGCTGGGGGGTCCATCAGCCGGGAGAACGGTGAATATGGGGTGGGAATAGGGGGGCTATAGGGCTGGGGGGCTGTGGGGTCAGTTATGGGGCTGGGGGGCTATTATGGGGTCCGGGGGGGGCTATGTGGGATTTGGGGCTGGGGCCTATAGGGGGTTATTGGGGGATTTGGGTCTGGGGGCTACAGGGGATTATTGAGGCTATGGGGGATTTAAGGGGGCTGGGGGTCTCCAGGTGGTCTCAGGGCCATAGGGGGGGACAGGGTTGGGGTCCCTAAAGGCTCCATGGGGCTGGGGGGGGTGGCCCTGTCCCCATGTCCCTGCTTGTCCCCTGCGTGTCCCCTCCCTGCTAACCCCCACCATCCCAGTGTCACCAATGTCACCTTGCTTGTCCCCGTGCCACCCCAGCATGTCCCTGTGTCACCCTGCTTGTCCCTGTGCCACCCCAATGTCCCCATGCCACCCCAGCATGTCCCCGTGCCACCCCAGCATGTCCCTGTGTCACCCTGCTTGTCCCTGTGCCACCCCAATGTCCCCATGCCACCCCAGCATGTCCCCGTGCCACCCCAGCATGTCCCTGTGTCACCCTGCTTGTCCCTGTGCCACCCCAATGTCCCCGTGCCACCCCAGCATGTCCCTGTGTCACCCTGCTTGTCCCTGTGCCACCCTAGCATGTCCCTGTGCCACCCCAATGTCCCCTATGCTCTCCCTGTGCCACCTTGCTTGTCCCTGTGCCACTCTCTGGTGTCCCTATGCCACTCTACGGTGTCCTAGTGCCATCTCGGGGTGACCCCGTGCCACCTCAAATTGTCCCTGTGCCACTCTCTGGTGTCCCTATGCCACTCTGCGGTGTCCCCATGACACTCGGCGGTGTCCCTGTGCCACTCTCTGGTGTCCCTGTGTGATCTCAGGGTGTCCCTGTGCCACCCCGGGGTGTCCTGGTGCCATCTCGGTGTGCCTGTCACGCCAGAGTGTCCTTGTGCCACCTCTGATTGTCCCCGTGCCACTCTGTGGTGTCCCTGTGCCACCTCAGATTGTCCCTGTGCCACTCTCTGGTGTCCCTGTGCGATCTCAGGGTGTCCCCGTGCCACCCTGGGGTGTCCCTGTGCCACTCTCTGGTGTATCTGTGCCATCTCGGGGTGTCCCCGTGCCACCTCACATTGTCCCTGTGCCACTCTATGGTGTGTCCCTGTCACGCCAGAGTGTCCCCGTGCCACTGGGGCATGTCCCCGTGCCACTCTGTGGTGTCCCCGTGCCCCCGGTGACGCCGCTGTCCCCGTGTCCCCTCCCGTGTCCCCCCAGGGGAGAAGGTGATGTCGGACGATGAATTCACCCAGGACCTGTTCCGGCTGCTGCAGCTGCTCTGCGAGGGCCACAACAACGGTGGGGACACCTGGGGACGCACCTGGGGACACGAGGGGACCCAGGTGACACCGAGGTGACACCGAGGTGACCCCGGGGTGTCCCCAATGTCCCCCCAGACTTCCAGAACTACCTGCGGACGCAGACGGGGAACACGACCACCATCAACATCATCATCTGCACCGTGGATTACCTGCTGCGCCTGCAGGTGACACACGCACACCTGGCCCCGGGGTGTCCCCAGTGTCCCCAGAGCCACCGGGGACTGTCACCGTGTCCCCAGTGTCCCCAATGTCCCCAATGTCCCCAGGAGTCCATCAGTGACTGTCCCCAGCCGTGCGTCACTGTGTCCCCAATGTCCCCAATGTCCCCAGGAGTCCATCAGTGACTGTCCCCAGCCGTGCGTCACTGTGTCCCCAATGTCCCCAATGTCCCCAGGAGTCCATCAGTGACTGTCCCCAGCCGTGCGTCACTGTGTCCCCAATATCCCCAATGTCCCCAGGAGTCCATCAGTGACTGTCCCCAGCCGTGCGTCACTGTGTCCCCAATGTCCCCAATGTCCCCAGGAGTCCATCAGTGACTGTCCCCAGCCGTGCGTCACTGTGTCCCCAATGTCCCCAATGTCCCCAGGAGTCCATCAGTGACTGTCCCCAGCCGTGCGTCACTGTGTCCCCAATGTCCCCAATGTCCCCAGGAGTCCATCAGTGACTGTCCCCAGCCGTGCGTCACTGTGTCCCCAATGTCCCCAATGTCCCCAGGAGTCCATCAGTGACTTCTACTGGTACTACTCGGGCAAGGACGTCATCGACGAGCAGGGCAAGAGGAACTTCTCCAAGGCCATGGCCGTGGCCAAGCAGGTGTTCAACAGCCTCACCGAGTACATCCAGGTGAGACCCCAAAACACACCCCCAAACCCTCCTGGGACCCCCCAAACCCTCCTGGGACCCCCAAACCCACCTGGGACACCCCAAACCCTCGTGGGACCCCCAAACCCTCCTGGGACCCCCAAATCCCCCATGGCCGTGGCCAGGCAGGTGTTCAACAGCCTCACCGAGTGCATCCAGGTGAGACCCCAAACCCTCCTGGGCCCCCCAAACCCTCCTGGAACCCCCAAACCCACCTGGGACCCCCAAACCCTCCTGGGACCCCCAAACCCTCCTGGGACCCCCCAAACCCTCCTGGGACCCCCAAACCCTCCTGGGACCCCCAAAACCTCCTGGGACCCCCCAAACCCTCCTGGGACCCCCCAAACCCGCCTGGGACCCCCAAACCCGCCTGGGACCCCCAAACCCTCCTGGGACCCCCCAAACCCTCCTGGGACCCCCAAACCCTCCTGGGACCCCCCAAACCCACCTGAGATACCCCAAACCCACCTGGGACCCCCCAAACCCTCCTGGGACACCCCAAACCCACCTGGAACCCCCAAATCCCCCATGGCCGTGGCCAGGCAGGTGTTCAGCAGCCTCACCGAGTGCATCCAGGTGAGACCCCAAACCCACCTGGGACCCCCCAAACCCTCCTGGGACCCCCAAACCCTCCTGGGACCCCCCAAACCCTCCTGGGACCCCCAAACCCACCTGGAACCCCCAAATCCCCCATGGCCGTGGCCAGGCAGGTGTTCAGCAGCCTCACCGAGTGCATCCAGGTGAGACCCCAAACCCACCTGGGACCCCCCAAACCTCCCCAGTGTCCCAGTGGCTCTCGGGGGTCCCTCCCAGTGTCCCCCTGTCCCCCCAGGGGGTCCCTCCCAGTGTCCCGAGGGCTCTCAGGGTCCCTCTCAGTGTCCCCCCAGTGTCCCCCAGTCCCCCCAGTGTCCCTCCCAGTGCCCTCCCTGTGCTCCCAGTGTCCCCCAGTCCCCACAGTGTCCCCTCAGTGTCCCCCTCAGTGTCCCCCAGTCCCCCCAGTGTCCCCTCAGTGTCCTCTCAGTGTCCCCCCAGTGTCCCCCTGTCCCCCCAGTGTCCCTCCCAGTGCCCTCCCTGTGCTCCCAGTGTCCCCCAGTCCCCACAGTGTCCCCTCAGTGTCCCCCTCAGTGTCCCCCTGTCCCCACAGTGTCCCCTCAGTGTCCCCTCAGTGTCCCCCAGTGTCCCCCTCAGTGTCCCCCTGTCCCCCCAGTGTCCCCTCAGTGCCCCCTCAGTGTCCCCTCAGTGTCCCCCCAGTGTCCCCCAGTCCCCCCAGTGTCCCCTCAGTGTCCCCTCAGTGTCCCCCTGTCCCCACAGTGTCCCCTCAGTGTCCCCCTCAGTGTCCCCCTGTCCCCCCAGTGTCCCTCCCAGTGCCCTCCCTGTGCTCCCAGTGTCCCCCTGTCCCCCCAGTGTCCCTCAGTGTCCCCCTCAGTGTCCCCCTGTCCCCCCAGTGTCCCCTCAGTGTCCCCTCAGTGTCCCCCTCAGTGTCCCCCTGTCCCCACAGTGTCCCCTCAGTGCCCCCTCAGTGTCCCCTCAGTGTCCCCCCAGTGTCCCCCAGTGTCCCCCTCAGTGTCCCCCTGTCCCCCCAGTGTCCCCCAGTGTCCCCTTCAGTGTCCCCCTGTCCCCACAGTGTCCCCTCAGTGTCCCCCCAGTGTCCCCCAGTCCCCACAGTGTCCCCCTGTCCCCACAGTGTCCCCTCAGTGTCCCCCCAGTGTCCCCCTGTCCCCACAGTGTCCCCTCAGTGTCCCCCCAGTGTCCCCTCAGTGTCCCCTCAGTGTCCCCCAGTGTCCCCCTCAGTGTCCCCCAGTCCCCCTCAGTGTCCCCTCAGTGTCCCCACAGTGTCCCCCTGTCCCCACAGTGTCCCCTCAGTGTCCCCTCAGTGTCCCCCTGTCCCCACAGTGTCCCCTCAGTGTCCCCCCAGTGTCCCCCAGTGTCCCCCTCAGTGTCCCCCTGTCCCCACAGTGTCCCCTCAGTGTCCCCTCAGTGTCCCCCTGTCCCCACAGTGTCCCCTCAGTGTCCCCCTCAGTGTCCCCCTGTCCCCCCAGTGTCCCTCCCAGTGCCCTCCCTGTGCTCCCAGTGTCCCCCAGTCCCCCCAGTGTCCCCTCAGTGTCCCCCCAGTGTCCCCCTGTCCCCCCAGTGTCCCCCAGTGCCCCCTCAGTGTCCCCCTGTCCCCACAGTGTCCCCTCAGTGTCCCCCTCAGTGTCCCCCAGTCCCCCCAGTGTCCCTCCCAGTGCCCTCCCTGTGCTCCCAGTGTCCCCCTGTCCCCCCAGTGTCCCTCAGTGTCCCCCTCAGTGTCCCCCTGTCCCCCCAGTGTCCCCTCAGTGTCCCCTCAGTGTCCCCCTCAGTGTCCCCCTGTCCCCCCAGTGTCCCTCAGTGTCCCCCTCAGTGTCCCCCTGTCCCCCCAGTGTCCCCTCAGTGTCCCCCCAGTGTCCCCCAGTCCCCCCCAGTGTCCCCTGTCCGTCCGCAGGGCCCCTGCACGGGGAACCAGCAGAGCCTGGCCCACAGCCGCCTCTGGGACGCCGTCGTCGGCTTCCTGCACGTCTTCGCTCACATGATGAAGAAACTGGCACAGGTGGGCACTGGGGCGTACTGGGAGCACTGGGAGGGCACTGGGAGGGGACTTGGAGGGGATTGGGGGCACTGGGATGTACTGGTTGGGCATGGAGGGCACTGGGATGTACTGGGAGGGCACTGGGAGCACTGGGAGGGCACTGGGAGGGGATTTGGAGGGGATTGGGGGCACTGGGATGTACTGGGAGTAACTGGGAGGTAACTGGGGTGTACTGGGAGGTGACTGGGAGGGCGCTGGGAGGGCACTGGGAGGTGACTGGGGTGTACTGGGATATACTGGGAGAGCACTGGGGTGTACTGGGAGTTACTGGGAGGTAACTGGGGTGTACTGGGAGTTACTGGGAGGGCGCTGGGAGGGCACTGGGAGGTGACTGGGGTGTACTGGGATATACTGGGAGGGCACTGGGGTGTACTGGGAGTTACTGGGAGGTAACTGGGCTGTACTGGGAGGTGACTGGGATATACTGGGAGTTACTGGGAGGTGACTGGGGTGTACTGGGAGTTACTGGGCAGTGACTGGGGTGTACTGGGAGTTACCGGGAGCTGACTGGGGTGTACTGGGAGTCACTGGACGGTGACTGGGGTGTACTGGGAGTTACTGGGAGGTGACTGGGATATACTGGGAGTTACTGGGCAGTGACTGGGGTGTACTGGGAGTTACTGGGAGGTGACTGGGGTGTACTGGGAGTTACCGGGAGGTGACTGGGGTGTACTGGGAGTTACTGGGAGGTGACTGGGGTGTGCTGGGAGTTACTGGGCAGTGACTGGGGTGTACTGGGAGTTACTGGACGGTGACTGGGGTGTGCTGGGAGTTACTGGGCAGTGACTGGGGTGTACTGGGAGTTACTGGACGGTGACTGGGGTGTACTGGGAGTTACTGGGCAGTGACTGGGGTGTACTGGGAGTTACCGGGAGCTGACTGGGGTGTACTGGGAGTTACTGGACGGTGACTGGGGTGTACTGGGAGTTACCGGGAGCTGACTGGGGTGTACTGGGAGCTGACTGGGGTGTACTGGGAGTTACTGGGAGCTGACTGGGAGCTCTGGCGCGCAGGACTCGTCCCAGCTGGGGCTGCTGAAGGAGCTGCTGGACCTGCAGAAGGACATGGTGGTGATGCTGCTGTCCCTGCTCGAAGGTACCTGGGGACGGTCACCTGGGCAGGTGCCCTGTGCTACCTGCGGTGTCACCAAGGTCTGCAAGGTGTCCCCTGACCATCCAAGGTGTCCCTTGATCCCAGGATGTCCCCTGATCTCAGGATGTCCCCTGAACACCCAAGGTGTCCCTTGACCATCCAAGGTGTCCAACCAAGGTGTCCCCAAGTTCCCAGGGTGTCCCTTGACCATCCAGGTGTCCTCTGACCCCTCAAGGTGTCCCTTGACCATCCCAGGGTGTCCCTTGACCATCCAAGGTGTCCCCAAGTTCCACAGGCTGTCCCCTGACCATCCAAGGTGCCCCCTGATCACCCTGGTGTCCTTCGAGCACCCAAGGTGTCCCTTGATCCCAGGATGTCCCTTGACCACCCAAACTGTCCCCTGAACACCCAAGGTGTCCCTTGACCATCCAAGGTGTCTCCTGTCCTTCCAAGGTGTCCCCAAGTTCCTCAGGGTGTCCCCAAAATTCCACAGGGTGTACCTTGACCATCCAAGGTATCCCCTTGACCACCCAGGTGTCCTTTGGCCACCCAAAGTGTCCCCTGACCATCCAAGATGTCCATCCAAGGTGTCCCCAATTCCCCAAGGCATCCCTTGACCACTCAAGGTGTCCTTTGGCCACCCAGTCTGTCCCTTCACCACCCAGATGTCCCTTGACCACCCAGGTGTCCTTTGACCACCCAAGGTGTCCCTTGACCACTCGGATGTCCCCACACCCTCCAGGGTGTCCCCACACCTCCAGGTGCCACCCTCAGGGCTGTGACACCTCCGTTGTCCCCTCAGGGAATGTGGTGATGTCCCCTGACCACCCGGGTGTCCCTTCACGGCCCAGATGTCCCTTGACCACCCAAGCTGTCCCTTGACCACCGAGATGTCCCCTGACCACCCAGATGTCCCCGCACCTTCCGTCCCATCCCCACCTCTCCGGGTGCCACCCTCAGGGCTGTGACACCCCCGTGTCCCCTCAGGGAACGTGGTGAACGGCACCATCGCCCGGCAGATGGTGGACATGCTGGTGGAGTCCTCCAGCAACGTCACCATGATCCTCAAGTTCTTCGACATGTTCCTGAAGCTGCGCGACATCGTCTCGTCCGACGCCTTCCGCCACTTCGTCACCGACCCGCGCGGGCTCATCTCCAAGAAGGACTTCCAGAAGGCCATGGACAGCCAGAAGCAGTACGAGCCCGACGAGATCCAGTTCCTGCTCTCGTGCTCCGAGGCCGACGAGAACGAGATGATCGACGTCGAGAGCTTCGCCCAGCGCTTCCAGGAGCCGGCGCGCGACATCGGCTTCAACGTGGCCGTGCTGCTGACCAACCTGTCGGAGCACGTGCCGCACGACCAGCGCCTCAAGACCTTCCTGGAGCAGGCCGAGAGCATCCTGGATTATTTCCGCCCCTTCCTGGGGCGCATCGAGATCATGGGGGCGGCGCGGCGCATCGAGCGCATCTACTTCGAGATCAGCGGCGCCAACAAGGCGCAGTGGGAGATGCCGCAGGTCAAGGAGTCCAAGCGGCAGTTCATCTTCGACGTGGTCAACGAGGGCGGCGAGGCCGAGAAGATGGAGCTCTTCGTCAACTTCTGCGAGGACACCATCTTCGAGATGCAGATCGCCTCGCGCATCTCCGAGGAGGAGGCGCCGCGCGACGAGGAGGAGGGGAGGAGGAGGACGAGGACAGGGAGGAAGAGGAGCCGGGCGAGGCGCCGGCGGCGGCGCCGCCGCTGCCGGGTCTGGGGGCGCTCCGGCGGATTTTGGGGTCCCCCCAGACGTGGCGCCGCAAGATCAGGAGGCTGCGCAAGAAGTCGGGGCGGGAGCTGGCGTGGGAGGCCGGGGCGGGCGTGGGCAGGGCGGCCGTGGGGGGGCTCCTGGGCGGGCTGGGGGTGCTGGGGGCCGTGGGGCGCCTGGCCTGGAGCTCGCTCTTCGGCGGGGGGCTGGTGGAGGGGGGCGCAGCGCCTGGGCGTCATCGAGGTGCTGGGCTCCATGCCCGACCCCACGCAGGACGCGGTGGGGCGGCGGGGAAGGAGGGCCGGGCGACGAGGGGGGACCCCCGGAGGCCGAGCAGCCCCCCGAGGCGCAGCTGGAGGCGGCGCCCGCCGGGGAGGAGGAGGAGGAGGAGGAGGAGGAGGAGGAGGAGGAGAGGAGGAGGAGGGAGGCGAAGGCGGCGCTGCCGGCGGGGGCCGGGGGCGCGCAAGGAGCCCCACTTCAGGCTGGCGGCTCCCGACGCGCCCGGGGGGCTCGGGGATATCGGGGAGCCCCCCGGCGCTGAGCCCCCCACGCCGGAGGGGACCCCCATCCTGCGCAGGAAGATCGGGGTGAGGGGGGAAACGGGGTTTGGGGGGTTCTGTGGTGGTTTGGGGGTCCCTGGGGGGGGGATTTGGGGGCGTTCCTGTGGTGCTTTGGGGGGTTACCGTGATGCTTTGGGGGTCCTGAGAGGGATTTTGAGGGTCCCTGGGGAAATTTTGGGTGGTCCCTTCGGTGATTTGGGGGTTCCTGAGGGGGATTTTGGGGTTCCTGTGGCGCTTTGGGGGACCCCGGGAGGGATTTTGGGGGTCCCTAGGGGGGATTTTGGGAGGTTCCTGTGGTGATTTGGGGGTCTCTGGGGTAGTTTTGGGGGTCCCTATGGGGGATTTTGCGGGTTCCTGTGGCGCTTTGGGGGTTCCTGGGGGAGATTTTGGGGGGTCCCCGTGGTGCCTTAGGGGTCCCTGGGGGGGGATTTTGGGGGGTCCCTGTGGTGGTTCTTGCTAGGGGGGTTTGGGGGTCCCTGGGGAGGTTTTGGGGGGTCCCTGGGGGGATTTTGGGGGGTTCCTGGGGGGGGGGGGATTTTGGGGGTCCCTGTGGTGGTTCTTGCTAGGGGGGTTTGGGGGTCCCTGGGGAGGTTTTGGGGGGTCCCTGGGGGGATTTTGGGGGGTCCCTAGGGGGGGATTTTGGGGGGTCCCTGTGGTGGTTCTTGCTAGGGGGGGTTTGGGGGTCCCTGGGGAGGTTTTGGGGGGGTCCCTGGGGGGATTTTGGGGGGGTCCCTGGGGGGGGATTTTGGGGGTCCCTGTGGTGGTTCTTGCTAGGGGGGGTTTGGGGGTCCCTGGGGAGGTTTTGGGGGGGTCCCGGGGGGGCGATTTCCCCCCCATCCCCGCCCCATCCCCCCCCCTCTGACCCCCCCCTTTTGCCCCCCCCAGGAGATGGCGGAGCAGGTGGGGGAGGGGCAGAAGGAGGAGGAGCCCCCCCCGGCCGAGACCGAGAAAGCCGAGTAAGGATGGGGGGGGGGGGAATTTGGGGAGGGGTCTCCACCCACAACCGGGGGAATTTGGGCAATTTGGGGAATTTGGGGAGGGGTCCCTGAGTCCCTCACCCATTTGGGGAGGGGTCCCTGAGCCCCCACAACAGGGGGGAGGAATTTGGGGAGGGGTCCCTGAGCCCCCCCACCCACAGCCGGGGGAATTTGGGGAGGGGTCTCTACCCACAGCCGGGGGAATTTGGGCAATTTGGGGAGGGGTCTCTGAGCCCCCACAGCCGGGGAAAAAGGGAATTTGGGGAATTTGGGGAGGGGTCTTCACCCACAGCCAGGGAAAAAGGGTATTTGGGGAATTTGGGGAGGGGTCTCCAGCCACGGCCGCTGTCCCCCAGCACAGAGAACGGCGAGAAGGGCGGGGAGGGCCCCGAGGAGGGGCCGGAGCCCCGAGCCCCCTCCCCAAAAAGGCTGAAATCGGTGCCCGGGGGGCGGCGCGAGACCCCCAGCGAGGGCGGCTTCGACTTCTGGGGGGGAGCTGGAGGTGCAGAGGGTGAAATTCCTGGTAAGGGGAGGTCAGGGGGTCTCTGGGGGGCGTTTGGGGGGATTTGGAGGGGTTTGGGGGTCTCTGGGGGTGAATTGGGGGTCTCTGGGGGGGTCTCTGGGGGGATTTGGGGGTCTCTGCTGGGGGGGGGTTGAGGGGTTTTGGGGTCTCTGGGGGGGTTTGGGGGGGTCAGTGGTCTCTGGGTGGGTTTGGGAGGTCTCTGAGGGGGTTGGGGGTTTCTGGGTGGGATTTGGGGGTCTGTGGGGGGGGGGTTTGGGGGTCTTTGGGTGGGGTTTGGGGGTCTCTGGGGGGAGCTGGAGGTGCAGAGGGTGAAATTCCTGGTAAGGGGAGGTCAGGGGGTCTCTGGGGGGGATTTGGGGGTCTCTGAGTGGGGGTCAGGGGTCTCTAGGTGGGGGTTTGGGGGTCTCTGGGGGTATTTGGGGAGGTTTGGGGGCGGTTTGGGGTTTCTGGGGGGAGTTTGGGGGTCTCTGGGGGGGGTTTGGGGGTCTCTGGGGGGAGCTGGAGGTGCAGAGGGTGAAATTCCTGGGAAGGGGGGAGTTGGGGGTCTCTGTGGGGGGGTTTGGGGGTCTCTGGGGGGGATTTGGGGGTCTTAGGGTGTGGGTTTGGGGGTCTCTGGGTGGGGTTGGGGGGGTTTGAGGGGTCGGGGGTCTCTGGCTGGGGCTGAGGGGTCTCTGGTGGGGGGTTTTGAGGGGTTTTGGGGTCTCTGGGTGGGGGGTTTGGGGGTGCAGAGGGTGAAGGGGGGGGTCGGGGGGTCTCTGGGGGGGGGTTTGGGGGTCTCTGGGGGGTCCCTGTGTTGATCATCTCCCCCTCCCCAGAATTACCTGTCGAGGAATTTCTACAACCTGCGCTTCCTGGCGCTGTTCCTGGCCTTCGCCATCAACTTCATCCTCCTCTTCTACAAGGTGGGGGAATTTGGGGAGGGGGTTCAGGGGGTCCTGGGGCTGGGGGTGGGATCTGGGGGGGCTTCAGGGGGTCCTGGGGCTGGTGGGGAAAATTTTGGGGGGGGGGTTTAGGGGGTCCTGGCGCTGTTCCTGGCCTTCGCCATCAACTTCATCCTCCTCTTCTACAAGGTGGGGGAATTTGGGGAGGGGGTTTCGGGGGTCCTAGGGTGGGGGGGGGGGGATTTGGGGAGGGGGTTTCGGGGGTCCTAGGGTGGGGGGGGGGGGATTTGGGGAGGGGGTTTCGGGGGTCCTAGGGTGGGGGGGGGGGATTTGGGGAGGGGGTTTCGGGGGTCCTAGGGTGGGTGGGGGAATTTGGGGAGGGGGTTTAGGGGGTCCTAGGGTGGGGGGGGGGAATTTGGGGAGGGGGTTTAGGGGGTCCTAGGGTGGGGGGGGGGATTTGGGGAGGGGGTTTCGGGGGTCCTGGGTCCCCACAGAGCTGCTGGGATGAGCTGGGGACACCCCAGAGCCCTGGACTGCGTCAGGGGTTGGGGTGGGGGTGAACAGAGGGGGGGTTTGGGGACACTTTGGGGGTCCGGCACCCCGTTTTGGGGGGTCCCCAGACCCCCATGTCCCCACAGGGGGGTTTGGGGACCCCTAGACCCCAATAACCCATTGTTGGGGGGGTCCCCAGACTCTTTTGTCCTCATAGAGGGGCTCTGGAGCCCCCACATCCCCCTGGGTGTCCCTCACTGTCCCTCACCTGTCCCTGTCCCTGTCCCTCACCTGTCCCTGTCCCCCCTGGTGTCCCTGTCCTGTCCCTGTCCCTGTCCCTCACTGTCCCTCACCTGTCCCTGTCCCTGTCCCTGTCCCTCACCTGTCCCTGTCCCCGCAGGTGTCCCTGTCCCTGTCCCTGTCCCTGTCCCTCACCTGTCCCTGTCCCCCCTGGTGTCCCTGTCCTGTCCCTGTCCCCGCAGGAGTCCCTGTCCCTGTCCCTCACCTGTCCCTGTCCCCGCAGGTGTCCCCGTCCCTGACCTGTCCCTGACCTGTCCCTGTCCCCACAGGTGTCCCTGTCCCTGTCCCTGTCCCTCACCTGTCCCTCACCTGTCCCTCACCTGTCCCTGACCTGTCCCCATCCCCGCAGGTGTCCCTGTCCCTGACCTGTCCCTGACCTGTCCCTGTCCCCGCAGGTGTCCCTGTCCCTGTCCCTGTCCCTCACCTGTCCCTCACCTGTCCCTCACCTGTCCCTCACCTGTCCCTGTCCCCGCAGGTGTCCCTGTCCCTCGCCTGTCCCTGACCTGTCCCCGTCCCCGCAGGTGTCCCTGTCCCTGTCCCTGTCCCTCACCTGTCCCTCACCTGTCCCTCACCTGTCCCTCACCTGTCCCTGTCCCCGCAGGTGTCCCTGTCCCTGACCTGTCCCTGACCTGTCCCCGTCCCCGCAGGTGTCCCTGTCCCTGTCCCTGTCCCTGACCTGTCCCCGTCCCCGCAGGTGTCCCTGTCCCTGTCCCTGTCCCTCACCTGTCCCCGTCCCCGCAGGTGTCCCTGTCCCTGTCCCTGTCCCTCACCTGTCCCTCACCTGTCCCTGTCCCCGCAGGTGTCCCTGTCCCTGACCTGTCCCTGACCTGTCCCCGTCCCCGCAGGTGTCCGAGCACCCCCCGGGCGCCCCGGAGGAGCCCGAGGGTTCTGGGGTGGCCCCCGAGGAGGACGGGGGGGTCTCTGGGGGCGCGGAGCCCCCCGGGGGGGTCCCCGAGGAGCCCGAGGTTTATTATTTCCTGGAGGAGAGCACGGGCTACATGGGGCCGGCGCTGCGGGGGCTGGCGCTGGCGCACACGCTGGTGGCCTTCCTGTGCATCATCGGCTACAACTGCCTCAAGGTGACCCCAAATCGGTGTCCCCAAACCCCTCTGTGTGTCCCCAAATCCCTCTGTGTGTCCCCAAACCACTGTGTGTGTCCCCAAATCCCCAAATCCCTGTGTGTCCCCAACCCTGCGGGGGCTGGCGCTGGTGGCCTTCCTGTGCATCATCGGCTACAACTGCCTCAAGGTGACCCCAAATCGGTGTCCCCAAACCCCCCTGTGTGTCCCCAAACCCCTCTGTGTGTCCCCAAATCCCTCTGTGTGTCCCCAAATCCCTCTGTGTGTCCCCAAATCCCTCTGTGTGTGTCACCCCAGCCCTGCGGGGGCTGGCGCTGGCGCACACGCTGGTGGCCTTCCTGTGCATCATCGGCTACAACTGCCTCAAGGTGACCCCCTGAGTGTCCCCAAACCCCCCCGAGTGTCCCCAAACCACTGTCTGTGTCCCCAAACCACTGTGTGTGTCACCCCAACCCTGCGGGGGCTGGCGCTGGTGGCCTTCCTGTGCATCGTCGGCTACAACTGCCTCAAGGTGACCCCCGGGACCCCCACAAAGTGTCCCCAAATCCCCCTGTGTGTCACCAAACCCCCTGTCTGTGTCCCCCAAACAGCTGTGTGTGTTCCAAACCCTGGGTGTGTCCCCAAATCCTTGTGTCCAAAATTCCTTTGTGTCCTGAAATCCCTGTGTGTGTGTCTGTCCCCAAATCCCTGTGACCCCTCCTGGTGTCCCCAGTGTCCCCTGTGGTGTCCCCAGATCCCCCTGGTGATCTTTAAGAGGGAGAAGGAGGTGGCGCGGCGCCTCGAGTTCTGGGGGCTCTGCTGTGACACCCCAATGTCCCTGCTGTCCCCTGTGACCCCTGTGACCCCTGTGACCCCTCCTGGTGTCCCCAATGTCCCCTGTGGTGTCCCCAGATCCCCCTGGTGATCTTTAAGAGGGAGAAGGAGGTGGCGCGGCGCCTCGAGTTCTCGGGGCTCTGCTGTGACACCCCAATGTCCCTGCTGTCCCCTGTGACCCCTGTGACCCCTGTGACCCCCGCAATGTCCCCAATGTCCCCTGTGGTGTCCCCAGATCCCCCTGGTGATCTTTAAGAGGGAGAAGGAGGTGGCGCGGCGCCTCGAGTTCTGGGGGCTGTGCTGTGACACCCCAATGTCCCTGCTGTCCCCTGTGACCCCTGTGACCCCTCCTGGTGTCCCCAATGTCCCCTGTGGTGTCCCCAGATCCCCCTGGTGATCTTTAAGAGGGAGAAGGAGGTGGCGCGGCGCCTCGAGTTCTCGGGGCTCTACATCACCGAGCAGCCCGACGACGACGACGTCAAGGGACAGTGGGACCGCCTGGTGCTCAACGCCCAGTACGGCACTGGGAGCACTGGGAGGGCACTGGGAGCACTGGGAGGGCACTGGGAGGGACTGGGAGGGCACTGGGGGGCACTGGGAGGGCACTGGGAGCACTGGAGGGCACTGGGAGCACTGGGAGGGCACTGGGAGCACTGGGAGGGCACTGGGGGGCACTGGGAGGGCACTGGGAGCACTGGAGGGCACTGGGAGCACTGGAGGGCACTGGGGGCACTGGGAGGGCACTGGGAGGGACTGGGAGGGCACTGGGGGGCACTGGGAGGGCACTGGGAGCACTGGAGGGCACTGGGAGCACTGGGAGGGCACTGGGAGGGACTGGGAGGGCACTGGGGGGCACTGGGAGGGCACTGGGAGCACTGGAGGGCACTGGGAGCACTGGGAGGGCACTGGGAGCACTGGGAGGGCACTGGGGGGCACTGGGAGGGCACTGGGAGCACTGGAGGGGCACTGGGAGCACTGGAGGGCACTGGGGGCACTGGGAGGGCACTGGGGGGGGGACTGGGAACAACTGGGAACCACTGGGAGGGCACTGGGGGGGAATGGGAGGGTACTGGGAGGGCACTGGGGGGGCATTAGGGGGCACTGGGAGGGACTGGGAACAACTGGGAGGGCACGGGGAGGGGACTGGGAGGGCACTGGAAGGGAAGTGGGGACATGGGGAGGGGACTGGGGGCACTGGGAGGCACTGGGAGGGCACTGGGAGCCACTGGGAGGGCACTGGGAGGCACTGGGAGGGCATTGGGAGCCACTGGGAGGGCACTGGGGGGGAATGGGAGGGTACTGGGAGAACTGGGAGGGCATTGGGAGAACTGGGAGGGCATTAGGGGGCACTGGGAGGCACTGGGGGGTACTGGAAGGGTACTGGTGGACACTGGGAGGGCACTGGGTGGCACTGGGAGGCACTGGGAGCACTGGGGGGCACTGGGAGGGACTGGGAGAGCATTGGCAGGGACTGGGGGCACTGGGAGGGCACTGGGAGCCACTGGGAGGGCACTGGGGGACATTGGGAAGCACTGGGAGTCACTGGGAGAGCACTGGGGGCACTGGGAGGGCACTGGGAGGGACTGGGGGGGGCACTGGGGAGCACTGGGAGGGCACTGGGAGGGACTGGGGGGTACTGGTGGACACTGGGAGGGTACTGGTGGACACTGGGAGGGCACTGGGAGCACTGGGGGGCACTGGGAGGGCATTCGGGGGCACTGGGAGGGCACTGGGGGGGGGACTGGGAACAACTGGGAACCACTGGGAGGGCACTGGGGGGGCACTGGGAGGGCACTGGGAGGGCACTGGGGGGCACTGGGAGGGCACTGGGAGCACTGGGAGGGCATTGGGGGGCACTGGGAGGGCACTGGGGGGGGGGGACTGGGAACAACTGGGAACCACTGGGAGGGCACTGGGGGGGAATGGGAGGGTACTGGGAGGGCACTGGGGGGGCATTAGGGGGCACTGGGAGGGACTGGGAACAACTGGGAGGGCACGGGGAGGGGACTGGGAGGGCACTGGAAGGGAAGTGGGGACATGGGGAGGGGACTGGGGGCACTGGGAGGCGCTGGGAGGGCACTGGGAGCCACTGGGAGGGCACTGGAAGGCACTGGGAGGGCATTAGGGGGCACTGGGAGGGCACTGGGAGGCACTGGGAGGGCACTGGGAGGCACTGGGAGGCACTGGGAGGCACTGGGAGGGCATTAGGGGGCACTGGGAGGGACTGGAGGGCACTGGGAGGGTATTGGAGGGGTACTGCGAGTCACTGGGAGGGCACTGGGAGGCACTGGGAGGGCATTGGGAGAACTGGGAGGGCACTGGGGGGGAATGGGAGGGTACTGGGAGGGCACTGGGGGGGCATTAGGGGGCACTGGGAGGGATTGGGAACAACTGGGAGGGCACGAGGAGGGGACTGGGAGGGCACTGGAAGGGAAGTGGGGACATGGGGAGGGGACTGGGGGCACTGGGAGGTGCTGGGAGGGCACTGGGAGCCACTGGGAGGGCACTGGGGGGGAATGGGAGGGTACTGGGAGAACTGGGAGGGCATTGGGAGGCACTGGGAGGCACTGGGGGGGCACTGGGGGGCACTGGGAGAGCACTGGGAGGGCATTGGGAGAACTGGGAGGGCATTAGGGGGCACTGGGAGGGACTGGGAGTCACTGGGAGAGCACTGGGGGGCACTGGGAGAGCACTGGGAGGGCATTGGGAGAACTGGGAGGGCATTAGGGGGCACTGGGAGTCACTGGGAGAGCACTGGGAGGGCACTGGGGGGCATTGGGAAGCACTGGGAGTCACTGGGAGGGCACTGGGGGGCACTGGGAGAGCACTGGGGGGGTTCCAGGGGGTCCAGAGGGGCTGGAAGGGAGGTTTGGGGGTTTTGGGGGGGGTGGGGGTCTCACAGAGGTTT